ACCGCCTTGTGCGGTACTACTGGTAGATAGTTGTAGCCAAGTTGCAGGATTCATGGCAATCCCTGATAAATACTCTCGCCGAAAGTCAACAATGTCAAGCAGATCCGCGGGCAGGACACCACTCATGGGGGTACCCTGCGCCTTCCAAAACCATCATTTGGTCTGCAAAAAGCACGTAGAAAAATGATCAAAACGAACGCATTGATGGTTTTGGGGATGGCCTTTCACTGAACTATATTCTTGTTGGTTATACTATATGAAAGAACCATGAGAGATCAGTTAGAAGAGATGCAGCAAGATTGGGATGGGATCAAGGTCTAGAAGAGGGATTTGCAGCTTCAGCGTCAGCACTAGGTTCATCATCAGGGTGAATGGTGAATAAGAAACACAAGAATGACAAGAAACAGAGGAGGGATGAGACAGGGAAAGGTCACTAACCCGAAAATTGCTAATCTAGTACCACAAACAAATCACGGGATCAGAGAGGGGCTTTACTAATGCAGGGGGTCGCGCTATTATGAACGGGGTACAAAACCCCTTAAATTACTTTAGTATCGCCCAGCAAGCTGAGGAGCAACGGGCTAACTGGGTGGGATGTATTATATATATATAATCCTTCTACATTATATCACATTTCAGGAAGGCTATAACTTATAAGTTATAAGTTAACCATTGTTTTACGCATGTATAACCTCAACTGGAGTAGTGGCTTATAACCCACTTCCGCAGCATTTTTTGGCCCATGCGCCTGGGTTGGCGCACGTATGGAGTGACCTGGCATGATGGTTGCGTCAAGGCGTCAGAGGAATTTCCCCATGTCCAGCGCCCTTCGCATTTGTTTCTTTTCCAAGAAACTTTTTCCTGTTGAACTGGACAAGAAAATGTCTGCAGATACATGCATGAGATCTGTAAATATGTGTTTGTTCTCCTGCTATTTATATAGGGCCCTGGCAAGCACATTTCAATTTAAGTATACATAAATTGGAAGTACTTCACACACGTAAGGTCTATGTGAGGCCTACAACAGAGAAGAGAATAATGATAGGAAACAAAACATGGGTGTGGTTCACCCGCCATGATTCCCCGCTGAGAATCCCAGACCACGCCAACCATGCAATCCTCAGCAAGATGAAACGATGACAGCTCCACAGAAGCTCAGTATTTGCGAGCTGAAGAATTGCTGTATTTTGTATGTTGTTTGTCGGTAATCCCATGGTATTAGTATCCTCGTGGTTGCTCATCAAATATCTAAAAAAGCTTTATCGAAGGAAGTTTAGAAGTCAAACTTCCGACAATATGGACAGATGAAAAGCAGAGTAGGGGAGAGGCAGAGAGAAGAGGAAGATTAGAAGAGAGAAGATGAGAAGAGAAAGAGTCAGAAGAAAGAAGATACAGATGCGCGAAAAGGTCGGAAAGTCGCGAAACACTGTGTTTTTCCAATGATGTGTGGCTCAGGAGGGTCGAAAAGTAGGCTCGCTAAAGCGGCGGGTGCGGAGCCAGCTGGTCACAGGAGCGATGAAAAATTGCACGCCGTTGTGGCGCGAAGCACATTTCCAAGTCAAAATGTACAAAGCACACCATTCTCGGAGCACTTTTGGAAGTTGAGATGTTGAAAAAGTGCACCCCGTTGTAGCGCGAAGCACATTTCCAAGTCAAAACGTTGAAAACACCACATGTTTTGACCACTTTTGGAGGTTCAGATGTCGCTTTTCCGTGGCAGGCGCATGGGATTGTGCACCTTGTCAAAAGTGAGCAAAACGTGAGGGTTTTCTGGCATTTTCAAAAACGATGGCAGGCGTGGGACATTTGAAGAGGATCTGCAAAGATATGCAAAGATGCATTTCGCGTGGCAGGCGCAGTACAAGAGACACATCAATTAGATGTGTTAGGAGATCAGGGCAGAGATTTCCTGAGAAGGGTTTCATTTTGGAGCATGAGATCTTCGGGTTTGCTAAGATGATTGTGCGTGACAGGTGCAGCACTTCGTATGACCTGGCTTCACCTTTTGTGGCAGGCGCAGTACTTTAGAGGGATGGAATGGAAAATCGCAAAACGCATTGGTACGAGGCCGTCAGCTCTGCACTCAACTTTCAATTTTTGAAGGAAGTCTTGCAGAATTGCTTCGTTTTTGATGTTGTCAAATTAGAAAAATGAGGAAGTCTCGCAGAATTGCTTTGTTTTTGACGTTGCCACGTTCAAAACTTGAGGAAGTCTCGCAGCATTGCTGCGTTTTTGATGTTGCCAAGGTCAAAACTTGAGAAAGTCACGCAGAATAGGTTCGTTTTCAAGGTTACAGGTAGACAGATAGATAGATAGATAGAAAGATAGAAAGATAGATAGATAGAAAGATAGAAAGATAGAAAGATAGATAGATAGACAGATAGATAGATAGATAGGTAGATAGAGTAACTACAACTACCACAACACTAAACTACAACTACAACTACAAATGCAAATATACTACGCTACATTGCACTACACCAATTACACTACACCAATTACACTACAACTGCAACTGCAACTACAACAACAACAACTTCTACTACTACTCCTGCTACTTCTTCTACTGCTACTGCTACTGCTACTTCTTCTACTGCTACTGCTACTGCTACTGCTACTACTACTGCTACTACTACTACTACTACTACTACTACTACTACTACGACCACCACCACCACCACCACTACCACCACCACCACCACCACCACCACCAGCGCAGCTACAACTACAAGTACAACTACACTACATTACACAACACTACGCTACACTTATTAACATACATTTCACTACAACTACAGCTACAACTGCAACTACATTACACTGCACTACACCACAACTACAACTACAGCTGCAACTACATTACGCTGCACTACACTACACTACAACTACAACTACACTACTTTACGCTACACTACCTTACACTACACTAATTACACCACACCACAACTACAACTGCAAAAGCAACTGCAACTACACTACACTACAACTGCAACTACAGCTGCATACATCACACTACACGACACTACACCCAGCAGTTGTGGTGAGGTGACCACTGCAATCATTGCAACCACTCAAAAAATACAACTCCAACCACCTTTCGGTCCATCAGTGGATTCGCTTTGCCATCCGTGCTTCACAACAACCAACCTCTCCTATAGTTTTCTATCATTGAAACTTCCGCCACCGCCTTGTGCGGTACTACTGGTATAATATAGTTCTGGTTGACGAGCATCGTGAATTCAAAGGCTTGTTATCTCTTCTCCACTTTTTGGCGGGTTCTATCAGCATTTATTTTTAACAATCATTCATGAGAAGCTGCCACATTCCCAAACAGTATGAATGGAGTTGTTGTCCAATCACAATATTTGTTTGTACCCTAAGTACGCTACTCCAAACCCCATGCTTTATCATCTTGTTTTGTGTTCATCCATTTACCCCATTCAAATTGGAACTTTGGGGGGTATACCCATGTTTGGACGACGCCAAATGCGTACAATACCAATTGAATCTGAATTCAAAAGGTTGGTTTTCTAGGAAACCACATTTATAGTCCATAGTAAAAACACACGATACCCTCTGATAATCTAATATAGCTATGGAAAATCCATGACAATCACCATGTTTCCTAGTTAACGGGCCATTTTCCATAGCTATGCTAAATTACCAGAGGGCAACATGGTTCTGGCCATTTATCCTCATTTATCCCATGAACATCCATAAACTATCCCAATTTAATCGACACAAAATGATTGGTTCTCGCTGCCAAGTTACAGGGAGGGGCTCACGCGCCGCCCACATCCGCATGGCAGAACGCCACTTCCTGGGCAACCGGGATGGTTTCTGCCGTACATAGCATAACATAAGATAGCACAACATAACCTTCATATAGATGTCTATCTATCTATCTATCTATATATATATATACCATGTGGATCCAAGTACCTTCATAGGAAGTGATTGATGTATGATTTGGGGAGTTAACTTTTTTCTCAGGAGGTGTTTGGGTCCATAGGGATAAATGTATATATATATGTAAATATAATATATTTATATATGTATATATATATATATATGTATGTAAATGCATATGTATATGTATATGTATATGTATACATATTGTCGGTTGTTCAAAGGACTGGTTCCTGCACATTGCCGTTTCGCCATGCTTTCGCGCCCTTTAGCCTCCTTTCACCATCCACTCGACAAATGCGGTTTTGGGTTTCGTCTTTGCAGAAATCTAGGAAACATGATGGATGTATATGGATGTACAATTTACTCAACATTTCATAGCCATTGAGGACTAAGATAAACATGTTCGCTGCAACCCCTAGGTCCGCCCGCGGCCAATCCCGCATATCCTTTGACATGCTCAAATCCCTGCGCAGGGTTTAAGTTTTTTACTTTCCAAAACAACAAACACCAAAACCCTAAAACTTAAACCCTAAACTAAAACCCTAAATCCTGAAAACTTAAAGTCAAAATCACTGCGTATAGCCAGTGTTTTCATTCATCCTCTGGTGATACGTATATCATATTCTTTGGATGTGTTGTTTGAGTGTGGGCGAACCAGGGGGTTATGGGGAACATGTTTAATCACGTGTCCATACTCGGATACAAAAAAAATGCACATGGGTTTCAGAATGACTACCATATGATACGTGCATGTAAAGCATGTCTGAAATATATTTGCAGTAAATATAACGTAACTCTGTATAGATTGCCTGTTTATCTAAACATTAACATTCAGAAAAGTGTATCTACAGTATACATTCATGTATCTTGCGCACATACATACATACATTACATTACATTACGTTACGTTACGTTACATTACGTTCATTCATTACATTACATTACATTACATTACATTACATACATACAAACAATTTACATTAATGAACGTGTTTAAGTTTAAATAAATAAATAAATACATAAATATGTATATATATATATATAATATTCGTAGATGTATTAAGCACATGCATGTTAGGGACAACAACAAAACAATATTAAAAAAATAACAATATTGTTCAACGGACTGATATCAGTGAGCTTTGGCACCCATGGAGATGTGACTGGAGATGCTTGACAACCGACCAATAGTAGTAACTTAAAACTAACATTGTAGTGCTTGTGTGCTGACCTGCAATGTACCTATGTTGAACTTATAACTACTCACATCCGTCGCTTTATCGACACAAAATACAGTGTTTCAGCCACACCATTTCATTCGGACATGTTTAGGATCCGACATCAAGAACTGTCTGTGTAAGCTGCTTGGGTATTATGATGCATTACAAGTAGTACCAACCCGGTGCCTTCGGTCAAGGCCTCATACTCGCAAACACGGACATTGGTTACTACCATGATCTTTTGGAATCCAGCTGAGGTAAAGTTAGGGACTTGGCGACCAGTTTGCCTTGGCAAATTTTGCAATTTATGGATGAACAACAAGTTTTTTCACACAGTCGACCGAGAAGAACTGCGCGACGGCATCTATTGAATCTATTGGGTGTCAGGTGACAAGGCCAGGGTAAAACGATCACATCCGAAGCGGAAACATTGAGATGAGTTGCAATAGTCATCCGACAACAATCCCATAACATATTGATGATCAGAGACATTTCTGAGAATCTAGGTCCCTGGGTAGTGATGAACTTGGATTGCCAATGGACCTACACATTTATCATGGTTAAGTATTTGACTCAAACCAAAATCGGGTCACCGCTTTCCACCACTCAACAGAACAAAACCGACCCGGGAAGCAGCCTCTCGCAGTCCATGGTCACGTCGTGAAACGGTCGACAGTGCCTTAAAACTCAACTGGCTTTCTTCACACCTTTACCCAAATCATCCATGTATATCCATGTCTATCCATGGTTTAGTTTACTCACAACAAATGTATATCTACTATCTACCTATTACAATCTGTCCACAACATTATACAGTAGATTTAGTACAATTTATTTACCACCAAACGATGTATCTTTACCCCGACTCTATCCAAAGCCTTGTATATCTGCCGACAAACCAGCCAAAGGTATGCAATCATTCCATGCATGGATGGATGTGGGTTGGAATGGGCTGTGGGCAACAATGCAAGACACTGAATCAATAGGAATAAGATGTGGGGTGAAATTTAAGACCAAGGGGCATATATCGCTAAACAGCAGCCAATGCTTGGCATAACTACCAGAATCATAAACTAGATTATAAAACATAAAATGATATATAATATGACAATAATTGTCATAATTAATTATCATCAGAATTGTCATCGTCATCCTCTCTCTCTCTCTCTCTATATACATATTTGATATATTATTATATGTCTATACTATACGGTGTATTTGGATGTATTTGGTATAACTTTAACGTTATCTTCATGTTTCTTTAAACATCCTAAAAGAGATGCCGTGTTGTGCCCAACGTGCGCAGAGGACCCTGCTATACCCGGTACATCCTGGATGTCGGTGAACTAACTCTGTGCCTGAAGATGGGGTATACCCATATGGTCATTTTGGTAGGTAACATAGTTCTTGATCATGAAGTTTGGAGGTACCCACTTTTCAGGCAAACCCATATAAACATGGTAAACATGATGAAGTACCCTAATTGAATTCAAAACAAATCCATATGCGTTTTCTAGACAGTATGTTTTTTTTGAGCAAAAAAGAAAATCACCATTTACATTGCACACATTTCCCACCCCCAGACACCACAAAAAACCTAATAGTCAGTGCTGTTGGGAACTACCAAGTTTATCCTCCAGTGATCAATGTTTAACAGATCATTTTCTCAGGAAAAACCATATTCAACATCCATATTTTGTTCGGGGATTTCCCAGCGAGCCCTGAGTTTCCCCTGCAAGGCATAGTCATCTTCAAGGCCACGAACGCCCTGAGAAAAGTTACAACATATGGGGATATATGATATATGGTTGATTGTGGGTTTCCATAAATGGGAGATCCTCAAAGTGGTTGGTTTATAATGGAAAATGCATGAAAATCCTATTAAAATGGATGATTTAGGGGTACCACCATTTTAGGAAACCTCCATAGGAAACCTCCATGTGTTGCAGTGTGCATATATATTTTTTCTTTGCTGGGGGGGCTCCTCACAATGATATGTTTACAGAAAGGGTGATTTCCATTTCCAATAAACCAAAAAAACAGGGATACTGCATGCATGATTACGTGTATGGATGGATGAACGAATATATGGATGCATGCATGCATGTATGTAATGTAACCATTTAGATGACTGAACCATCAGTTTCGGGGGCTTCCGACATTTTAGCAAAGGGCCAATCTCAAAGCAAATCTCGAACATCTATAATTACCCACAGTACCGGCAGGTTCCATTCATGTCATAATTGAAGCATTCCACAATTTACAGTTGAAGGTGAAATATAAACCATTCCAAAAATAGTAGTGGTTCTGACAGATTCACCATTTTGATTATTTTGATATAGATGCCCCCCGAAGGCCCGTTCACGTGACTAAGAATGCAGCAGACTGCCAGTTCATCAACTCTTTCTTGTAGGCCAGGTATGCTTTCACAAAGTCCTGCATTGGTCGAGACTGTTTGGGTAATGTGACTGGATTTGGGGCTCAACTTGCGACATCCCAAGTGTTCGCTGGTTATACCAAGGACCATCCACCTGACTCCCAGTTTTGGTCTAAGAGCTTTCCAGCTTTCCAAGGGCAAGGCTCCCTGTCACCATGTCGCCCGGTCCAGGTGGGCTCGTTCGTAGACCTCGCTGGTGATCGGGAAAGATGACAAAGTTTAGCCGCTATCTGTTGAGATATCATATATATATATACATATACAAATGTATGTATGCATGCATGCATGCATGCATGCATGCATGTACACAGTGTGTGTGTGTATATATATATAGTATGTAGTACTTCTTTATTTATCCATGGAGTGAATTGAATCCTCTGGAAACCACAGTTTTACCACCCAATGTAGATACGTAGTGATATGTACATACAAGTATAATCAAGTATACACACCCTAGAAGGTTTTCAGTAATAGTCCATTCAATTGCTTCAATCTTGGGAAAATCCGCCAGTGACCATATTGCCTGCGCTCTGGTTATTATGATCTTCATTGAGCAATGAGAGTCCATACCGGCAGCCACCTATTTCAACTAGAGTTGGACATGGATATGCTCCTTTCAAGCCCGTCAGTGCCTGGGAAAAAGCGCCATTTTAGACACGCCCATTGTCAAATTATTGTTTATATAATCTTAATTAATGTTATGTATCCCAATTAGCTACACAATGTCCGTTAACATCCATTAATCCCCACTCTATACCTCTTAGTCCCATCACTAGAACCCATGTTGGTTCCAGACACCCATTCCTAGACCAGTCATGGACCCACATCCCCAATCAGCTATTCAACTGCTGAATGGGTAATTGATTAAATCTCATTAAATCACATCATATATATCCCAGTACTTGTTAGCTAATTCTATAACTACCTGTTTTGGTTTGTTAAATTGTTAAATCAGTTTAGATAATCTTAATTCCTCATGTTTCAATCTCCATGCTATCCCCATCGCAGTCGCCTCGACCTTCTCGGTCATATTCTTCAATTCCTGCTTCGACATCTCATTGGCCTGGAGGATCCGTTTAGGCCACGGATGGCTAGCCACCTTTGACGGAGGGTACATACTACTGATATCTACTGATAGCCTCAACTACAGATGCATACATATAATATACATATATATATAATATACATATGTATATATATATACACATATAATATACATATATATATATAATATACATATATATATATATAATATAATATATTTATAATATACATATGAGCTCCCGTCAAAAATCCTTTGCATCTCAGTAGTTGCTATTATTGGTTATCGTTTTTTTTTGGGGCGGCATATCGCTTTCCAGTGTTTCGTGCACATCTCTTCTAAAAAGTGCTTCCGGAATACTACACTGGTCTTCAACCATTTTGACCGTGACTCATATGTATAGTACTCGTATCTTCTAGAACCATCATTAAACTGTGTTAAATATGTACTGATCAACAGATATACAAGATATTACAAAATGATCAAATGTATGATTTACACTAAGGCGGAACAAGTAAGAATTTACGAGCTATGGGTATCCGTATGGTATCCGTATGGGTCAAATATGGGACCATGGGACCATAGAATAGGGGGACAAACATCTGTAACTATCTACTGGCTATTTTGATGCGACCAAGGTACTGGGGGTTTGACACACCAAGGGATGCCAAGGTATTTTGGAGGAAAACTTCAAGGCTTCCAACTCAGTGCTAGCATGTGCTAGCCATCCACATCGCCTTAACGTCAACCGGCTATCCCACCATGCAAACGTGTTAAACGGGGCGAAGGGTTTCCGGATACCCTGCTAAAAATTAGACCTTTAGCTGGTTAGTAAACATTCTCAGCAAAAAACATACTAAACTATCTATCGATGTTTCACTTTTCTGATGCTTCAAGCCCTAAGACTTCCTCATCTCAGGATTGGTCCAACAAGCCCTTGTACCAATTGGAATGTTTCAGAAAGGGCCCTAATAACAGCAAAAACAATCGCAGAAGCACCGCCCTGGAGTCTGCAAACAATCCACAAAACATGCATTTGCTACTACTGAATACAGATGAATATTTTCACATATGATAACTGCATATAACTGCATTACCCTTTGTTCACTGACGCTGCCAATGAAACATTCCATTTTGAATCACCAATATGTTTCAATTTTCAGGTCCATGGATCCATTCTTTTGAAAAAGATCCGACTTCAAAACTCATTCACAGATTAAGAGTTCAACAATCATTCAGATTAAGCAATTAAAATTAAAATTCATTAATCAACAATACCCAATCCCTTTAAAATCACTTCAACCCGGCGATCCTGATCCATCTGGCTGGTGACCTCGAAGCACAAAATCTCCAAGTTGAGATGGTAAATTACATGTTTATGACATATATATATATTTACAGTAATATATATATATATATACATATATACATATATATATACATTCTTATACATGTCTATAGACTATAGATGTTTACAGATGTTTACAGATGTTCATACCATCCGTGCCTGTGAAAATTGGGGATGGTTGACGATATTTCATGATTGAATTTACCACATGAGAAATGACAATCAGAAAAGTGGCCAAGCCCAGGCATTGTAAAATCACCTGCTAGGGTGATAAACGAACAGCACAGGGACCTTTGTAAGGGCCCGGAGTGCCACCAAACATTCATGATGTGTGTTGATGGGAGGACAGATTGCCAAGGATATTAGAACTGCAAAGGATCAAAGCAAACATCGACATGAATCAGAGAGTTGGCTATGTATTGATTGCTGTTGATTCCTATTGACCTATTGTCACCATGGTCTTGCTTCATTTCATGCTCACCCTTTTCCGGCCTGCAAGAAGTTGGATGTACCACAAGGGGATAATTGGGGTGCAGCCGCACACCGTGCTGGAAGTACCTGTAATACTCTCAGATCTGGGGTTTCCTTCGCCTTGAGTTCGAGACAACTCCCGCACTGTGAAACAAAACTCACATTTCGATTGGAGACCTCAATTCTCAAGGTCTACCCAATGGATATCAAATATGTCCATCCCCAACCAATCAACCTATATAATTAATTCGATGGAAAATATATTATCTACTTATCGTACATATATATATAATCGTATATTACATATTTACACACACATATATATATACATATATATATATACACACACATATATATACATAAATATATATATACACATATATACACATATACACATATATATATACGTATATGTATATATATATATACTACAGATATATGTATGGATCATCTACATTATAATCCATCCAAATATGTTAAACAAAACCCCAACAATCCCAACATAACTGGATGGATCACCAGGATGCCACCTGACTGGGCTTCCGACATCTTGGCTCCCAAGGAACCTCGGGCGTCAAGCCGGATGTAGATGTTGGGGCGTTCATGGAAAATCATGGGAATCGGGAAAATGCCATGAAATATCATCAAGTTAGTATTAGTATAGATATGCAATATTGTGCAACACTGGAAACTCAACATCAATGAATTGTTGCTCATTTCCTCGTGGAAAATATAGGTTTTCCGCATCTATGTTTGTTAGGGTGGCAATAATGTAACCCGTGTACACTTTATCTACCCATGTTTACCGTATGTTACCAGCAAGTAAAGTGTGGGGCCCCCTAGTTCTGTTCCATGGTTTAGTTTCACCCTATTCACTATAGTTGTATCATGTTATATCTACCATAAACATCATAAACAAGTTATAAAAATTGGTTATCACTATAATTCACTATAGTTATATCATGTTACATCTATTCAAATCACCAAAGAATTCACCAAGTTCTTTGCGTCAACCTCTGGCGATCGTGGGCCTCCCCTTGTACCTGCCCCGAAAAAACCGCCGTGGGACATCTTCGGTCGCAGCTGCATATCCGCCTGGAGTCGCTCCATTCGCCTTGGACGGGCTAAGCTGAACAAATGAGAATCTTGTAGAAAGAGAACCATTCCCATATGCTCCATGTAATTATCGGAAGTGTATATGTATATATATATATATAATATAGAATGTTGCAATATAGACTAATATAGAATGTCGCTAGTTCCATATTCTCTTGTCATTTGGGTGTAATGTGCTGGAATATTTACATTTACAGCCTTTTCATGACTGGCACTCCTGGCCGCCCGGTCCTTCACTCCAACCAGGTGCATCTTCATCGGAGATTGTCCATTTCGCACCGAGGCATTTTACGCTGACGACAGCGTAGCTTAAACATAGAAATCGGATGTTTATGGATGTTTTATGGATGTTAACTGTTAAATATATATATGTATATATATATACACATAGAGACTGTATATAATATAATACTAAATTTTACTAAAGATAACCAACATCTGTTTTTGTCCATGTTGAAACACCACATTTTGGGATCGACCCGGATTTTACGAGTCAGCCATTGGTGCAAAAGGTTTCTATCACCAATTTTTGGTGAAATTGAGGACGATCAATTTATTATTGGGATTTATTGGGTAAGTTTTTCACATTCATGCTTTTAGTATCTTTTAGTCCCACTTGCTTTTCCGGCTAATGCTTTCAACATCTTGCAATCCATCTGAGAATGCTAGTCAAATATGCTGATCATCAATAAATATTTATTGGGTGGTTTGAACTCGTTCAAGCATGTTCAAACTATCGGCCACTTGGAGAAAGTGTCACCATCAAGATAGTAGTTTCAAGATATTTGAGACCACCCAACCATTCTGCCTCTGCTGAGTGTCAGAACTTATCGAGAAGTGCTTCTTTCTCTTTGTTCATCGGCAACACCGACATGTTACACACCTGACAGTGGCGCCCTTGAATAAGACATCCCTCATTTGTGGTGTCTGGGGTTGGTTTTCTACGTGGGATGAGGTGGATAAGCTACCGATATTATTGATGGTCAATTACGTTTTATCCCACATCCTTTCAAAAGAACATGTATGTAATGCACCTGCATGTGTGTATCATTCACCTGTGAGGCAAGAAACGGTGATAGGATGTGATAGGCCGATAGGCCTGAAAAAATTCCATGCTTGATCGTTCCTTGAGGCTGTCCATCTCCTCAGGTCCTTTAAGGTCGTTATGGATTATCCCCAGCCACCAGTGAAACGACGAAACGGCATTTCCCTTGCTCCCTGTGGGTCTCTGATGGTCTCTGGCATCAACCATAGGACTGAGAAGTGTGCTATTCGAATTTTCATGGAACAAGAAATGGTTTTGTCTCAAAATCATAGGGAAATGCTGACATCTTAGTGGTCTATCATACCCTCATAGCCTCCAAACGTGGCAATAGAACATCCCTTCTGTCCTCGCCTGGCCCTGACGATTGAAACCTTGGTGGAATCCATGGGGAACTGCCCAGCATATTCCTTTGAAAAGTGGGAAAAAACAGTTGACCCGCTTCAAGAAGTTCGTGAATTTGACCCACTCTATAAGTTCGTAACTGATGTAAAGAAGTAAAATGACCCACTGACCCACTCACCTTCAGGGCTCATCGCAGGCTTATATAACTTCATGGAACATCATTGACTCCATGATGAGATCAAATATAGTGGTGAAATAAAAAAATAACGTGATTTGTCTTAACTTGTAGTTGTTTCATGTTTTCTCTCGTGCACATTGATTAGACATTGGGGAGCACCAACTTTGATCATATCCTTGAACCATCCATTGCTGGGGGTTGTTGAAGAGCTGGGGTCAGGTGAGAGTCGGATGTAACGTCTTAGTGTCGTCCTATAACAGGAATCCTCAGAATGGGTATTTGCCTATGAATGGATTGATGATCATCCCCAAACAATCAAACTTTTGACATCTTTTGACCATGGTACACAAAAATATAGCAACCAACTTTGCGATCAGGCCATATTAGGAAAAAGGCCATGGCAAGAGGACCTGAGCCACAGCTCTTTCCAGACCTGGGTTTTCCGGACATTTGGGGATGTCTTCTTCAAAGGATGTAGCTCCGGCCTAAACTCAGAAAGCAAGGCGGGTTGCTGGGAACCATTGGGGTTGAACCTGTCAAGATGGGAATTTACTTGACCAATTGGGGGTCTAAGCAGCAATATCAATAAAAAATACATGACTTAACTAGCAACAAACTTGAGGATTTCTCCAAGACACACACGTGCGGTAGGCCATGGAAGCAAATGATCTCACCATTTGACAGCTTTCGTATGCAGGGGTTTCCTCCAGATTTTCCCTTAAACTAATTATATATCAGATTCTGGGAGTTCCATCTTGTATCCTCATGACACCTTGGAAGTAATAGGCCTAAATTTTCCCATACATAGATAGCTCTTTGAGTCCACCAATGTTCCGTTTTCTATACGTCAGGTCCTTGTCCGCTAGAATGATCGGATGGGCAATCCACTAAAACACTCCAGCAAATCATTTTATCCATTTCCAGAAGAAACACCTCAAATTAAATAGTAAAGATAACGATCGATTTCCACAGCAGACCTGCCATCGTTTATTCTGTTTCACCAGCCCTCGCCTGCGGGGTCAGGTGTTTGTGATGCCCAAGGCCTGCCAGGAGACGCTACCCACCGTGTTGGGATATAACTTGATATAACCTGTATGGCTACGTATGATAACATCTTTTTCACGGGACTCAAAAATCAAAGGATCCACTACTAAACAAGAATTCCTTCTTTATATACAAGGCCCAGATCCAACTCTTGCTGCGACATTTGTCTCAAGAGGGTATTGAACCATGTTGAAAACACTTGCATCCCCCTGAAGTGATGTTGCGAGTTCCCCCTAGATATCTACATGCTTCATTGTCTGGGCATAAACCTAAACCAACTGAAATGTTATTTCCGACTTCACATTCAGAATGATAGCCCGGTAAATCAAAAACATTCAAAAACAACACATAACGAAACAAACTAATACCAACTATTCTCATCCATTTTCTAGGTGGCATGCATATACTATGACTTTCTATTACTAATGCTCCTACATTTCTAGCCCAAACATCAGTCAGTTTTCGCCAATCACCAAGGCATAGCCGTTGGTCACCGTCCAGGCCTGAGAAGAACTGGTTCGCGTCCTGGACCGTTGCAAGTCACCCGACCTTTGTTTATCCAAGCCTTGTCATGGACTAACAAAGATTATTGTATTATCATGTATCATCTGGGTAAATTGATGAACAGTAAATTGTAATATTTCACTAAGCTGAAACTCGCGGCCATTTGGGGATGATTCCCAAATCCTAATCATGATTCCTGTGAGGTCACAGTGAGGTCACTCAATTTTGCCCAGACAATTGGATAAATCAGTTATGACAATTGGAAGTTGGATTTAAGTTGGATAATCAGAATCAGATAAGTAGATGATGGCTCTGACAAGTGTGTATCAACACTTTGGTTTGAACGTGTAGATGGATTATGATTGGTTTACCAACTCCACTTATATCCTACCTTCTAGCCATGGAACTCATGGCCCATTTAATTGAAAAATGTCCCTACAACAAGGGCAATTTTTCATAGCCATGTAACAAATTACCTGATAGTACATCTGAATGTTCTTTTTTTCAGAACCTTAGGGTAACCTCAAGCGGACTTGTCTAAAAATGTTGGGAACATATCATAAAATCCAATGGTGTATAATAATCAGAACCTCTAAATAAAAACGGTCGTCTTCTGTCTGTACCAAATCTTCAGACACACCCAAATACTCTTCAGAAAAAAAGGAAACCCATTCTTATATAGTGATTCTGATACATATTACGTAAGTATTGCTCGATCAATGATCAAGAAGACTCAAAATTGACCGGTCCACCCTACCCTTCCATCTCAGCAGCTATACTCTAGTAAAGAAATATAATATAGCCAACTGACACAAAACCTATGCCACTGTCGGACGTCCATAGCAAGAATTGGTTCTGGGGCAAGAATGGGGTATCAATAGACCCATACAACATATGAAAACATATTAAAGCATAGTAAAACATGTGCTTGTTTGGCAGTAAACAATCCATTTACCCACACTGGATAATTCATAATGGTGCCGAGCCCGCCTCGGAAAGGTTGCTGAGAACTCCCATTGTCAAAGGGCACGGCTTGGAAGATTATGATCCCGTTTGTTGAAACCGATTCTGGCATCTGGGAGGGTTTGGTTCATTGCACCAAGTGTGAAGGTGGGAGCTGCTAATGTGCTTGCGAGAGTTGTCATTGGCTGCAGTGCTATGTGAACACCCACATGATGATTAGCCTACTTTTAACCTTCGATTTTGTCATTTCTTCATGTCTGCGAACAACGCCGAGAGAGGCAAGAGTAAACCACAGGTGCTGCAGTCCCAACAGAAATCGAAACCTGATTTGTTGAATCTACCCATTTCTACTCAGGGTTTTCCCTGGGCCATATCAAGTTTGAGCCCGCTGCGGTACCCACATAGCAAATCTCAGGTTCAAGGGATACGACCGGAACTCCATTTGGCGTGAGATCTTGTGTGGCAGACTCTGCTCACTATGCTCCACCCTAGGTCATCTCTTTATATAATAATACATATACATATATATACATATGATTATATATGATCATGGAACCATCTACACCTCAAACATCACCCATATTGTACAAATTCGACCATCCCATGCAATCGTCGTAATGTCGACCCTGGATTAATAAACCCCTGGGCTGTTTAATTGGGAGGGTACCATTTAAGTATTAGATTATGACTATTGGAGGAGTACCCCCCTAATTAATAAACCATGGTTTATTAATCCGGGGTTGACATTATAGCTCATCTTTGCTCCGGTGATCGGCTCAATCTCTTTGGGATCAGCGCATCAGCTTCACTCAGCTTCTAAGATCAGTTTCGTGGCGTTCTTCTCCAAATATCTGCCCTTCAACACCTCAGCTGATCGGACCCGGGACCTGGGGGCTTCATCCTGCGCTTGGAACGTAGGGTATTTAAGGCGCAGTGGGTCAGTGTGATCCGCTCTGAACATCTGTCCAAACAGTTGAAATTTCCACGATTCGGACAATTTTGACATATCCACATGATCTACATTATACTTATTGTTGAGCTTCATCTCTTCCTACTTGGTTCGTCTGACTTCTGTCGACAAAAAACTGGGGAATTCGCGGACGCAGTTCATTAGAACAGCATCTACCTGCATCTAGCTTGTTCATTTCTCCGTGGGTCAGCTGGAGTGTTTCGAGCCCAAATTAAACATTTTGAATTTATAACTGAATTGAAGGCTCGTAGTTTCCACATATTTGTATTTGTATTGGCTTTGTCCCAGAACAATTTTAATTGAACATAGGTTTTATTTGCAAGTGCCAAGCCGTTCTGAATTCCCTTCTTGTTATCTGCAGCATCCGTGAGAATCGTGCCTACGTAGACAGCTTGGCGTTGCTGCGGCACTGCCGAGCAGTGAGCAAAACTTGATTGTGGATGTCTTCTGAGCGGTGGATGATGTTGACGCAATTTTTGGAATTGAGGTTCAATTGCTTTCAGCAATTTGTTGACTGAAACTGTCTGATCTCCAAAAATGATGCTGTCGTTCTGCATCACTGATGTTAAAACCAGATAAAACCAGAGGAATTTGAGCCAGAATCTGTGGCTCAACCATGGTGAATCATCATCTTTACCCTTCAACCTAATTTCATGGCTATGTGGGAATACCAGCCATATTTCTGGACGAAAGCCATGATTTATCATGATTTCATCAGTTGGTTTTCCCTGGGCTTCCGTGCGCCGAAGAGCAAGGAGAGCACGATCAATCCGCTGATTCCTGGCCGTTTTACAAAGCCGTGGCTTCTTGGGTCACGTGGTTTTTAGCATCCCTCCACTTCCCTTAACAACAAAAACATGTGGGGAAAATTCATGTAAATCCGAGCCCAACAAAAACTCTGGAAATTTCTGCGCGCTGCATTGCGCTGCATCCAATGCTGATTGCCTGCCATCTGCGGATCCCGCGGACGACCAGCTGGCCCCTGGGTTGCCACACCCAATTTCCACTTCAGCAACCAGGGCCTCAGAGAAGCTATGCGAAGCTGTTGGGGCAAATCTGGTCAGGGGCGTATGATGTCACTTCTCAAACTCGAAACCCTAAGTGAAGTTTGATGAAGTTTGATTCTTATGGGGCATGCTATGAATCACGACTCCAGAAAATCCAACTTTTGCTGGGCAGTGTGGATCTATCTTGCGGACCAACAAACTAGAAGTAGGTTCCTCTCTTTGTCATGCCTAAAATGTCCAGAAAGCGGAGTGAACATGAGTACCCTATTCCATTCACTCAAGATGATTTCACTTGGACACGGTTCAAACACTTAAGAATAGCATAGAATAGCCAGGTCTTTTCAGGTCTATGCCCCTGGTGAATCCTGGTGATACCACCACCGTTTGATTCGCGGCTGGACCACCCAGGCCGCCCGACGGCAACAACTTCCGACGAGCCAATGCAACATCAAAGGCCGACATGCCTCGCACCAGATCGGGTCAGGACCCTGGATGCTTAGGAAGTAGGCAACATTGGGCGTTAGATGGGCATGCAGTACATATGTATATATAATATCTAATATCTAATATATAATATATAATATAAAATATGAAAATAACATAATACAATAAAATACAATATAATATAATATAATATAATACTATATAATAAAATAAAATAACATATAATATAACATATAACATTATAATTCTATATCTATAGATACATCAAACGACGTGGACTCGGACTAAGAAAGTAATCCACGTAAATCCCTTGTTGCATCTGGGTGGGGGTATACCATTTTAGTAGTCCGCACAACGTAATGGTCAATTAACCGCTGGGCTGTTGTTGAAAGCGATCAAACCCATTGTGAGGTGGTGTCCCCTACTTGTATCTACAGTGAAAATCTCCTGATTTCAGTAGGCTTCGAACAGATCAAGAATAGAATCAGATTCTTAGGGATAGCTGATAAACGCCAGTCGGTGCACCGTCACTGAGCTTTAGAAACACCATAGTGCCTTGTTTTCTGGTTTTTGGGATCAGGACTTCTGGCCCAATGACCTCTGGTGGTTGAGCCAATTGGATCATCTCAATGTTGGGAAACAAAAATGACACCTCCAACTAGTCATTCTCTGTGAGTTTCTGTGTAACTACATAATCAGTCCAATAAAAAGAGATGTGAAGGGACCCTGGGGCACATATAGCACCCAATCGGCGTCCTGAGTAGCAAATGATCATGAGCCAATAGCTCGGCCTTGGCCAGGGCAGGGTTTCTGTCCATGTTACGTATGGTGAGTTTTACAGTTTGCATCAGCACAAATGGCTCATTTAGTTCAATGAATTAGCTCATGATTTATCAATAATTCTAGGGTGACAAATATAAACTAATTTACCATATATATATAGACATGCAGTATAGGTAAATATTTATGAACTAGCTTTTATTTGAATGATGACTCTGCATAGGAATGTGACACATTACCAGAGGGTACCAAGGAATCCAAGAAGTCGAGCCCAGCTAAGAATGGGCATGCCAACATGACGGAGAATGAGGAATCCCATTTCAACCATTAAAAGAATGTACTTATGAACACTAACCATATTGATAATCATAATAATCATCTTCCAAACGCCAAAGCCATTTCTCATGTTTGGTGCTCTGTTGTCGTTTCCAGGCTTTCCAGGACAGCTTGAGCGGAATGAAATAGGACTGAAGGACTGGCTTGAAGGGCTAGCTACAACAAATATGGAGGAATCATTATTTTTTGTAGACTGACTTAGACGTGTAACTGACATATATTATTATTGCTACTATGATTATTATTATTATTGCTAATAATAATTATCATTATTTATTATTATTAGGACATGTGCAGCTCCTGACACGACCTCGATGCTGCATGCGTGAGATAGCCACGCTGAGCCCTTGAACTGCAAATTGAATGTTACCTGGACTTCCTCAATCGATGTTATGTGCTATTGCTAGCTATTGCTAGCTATTGCTAGCTATTGCTAGCTATTGCTAGCTATTGCTAGCTATCGCTAGCTATCTATCTATCTATCTACCTACCTACCTACCTACATATATATATGTATATATATATATTTAATCATCATTCAATCACACCATACACAACCGCAAAAACAAGTAGGTCAAGTGATGTTGATACAAGCTTAAAAGTTCCATATGCCCCACAGCCCTCGCTCTCTGCCATCCGCTGAAGAGTCATGATGGCTACCTACCACTGATACCGACTAATGCTTTGGATTTCAACTGCGATGACTTGAAATATACCTTGCCGAAAGAACAACACACAGCCACCGATGAAGTATGGGTCCACCCCAAAAGGTCTCTTCAGTTTCGCAGACCCATCCCCGGATTTTCTTATGAGATCGTTCGACCCAAATGGTCGTTTCAATAAAATGTCCGGAAACTTATCATCAACCATCAAAATTAGGGCCTATTCAAAAAGAAAATAGTTTTGGTATGTTTTGGTGGCGCACATGGAGATTGAAGGAAAGTGTATTGTTGGCGGTTGGGCTACACTTACGACCCAGTCATGTCCTATCTTTGTCTGCCTCCATTGTGGCAAGTGACCATGGACCCATTCCGGCTACACCATCTGCCAGCGCCAAACCAGCAGCCTCTATGGGATTCGATGGGATGGGTGTTCGGTGATAGTAAAACTCTAAGAATGCTAGGGATGTTTTTTTTGACCAGGACGATTGATTTTTCAAATAAACCACTTAATAAGACCCAAACTACTAGCTATCAAACACCATGAGTTCCGTGCACTCCCCAGTTCGTCCTGCTCTTCTAGGCGAGGAAATAGCTTAAGATTTGAGTAACATATCGAGCTACATTGGGTTTCCAGCGTTTTCAATTTCAAACACTCTTTATTTCTGACATCGATTGAGTATACCATGGGGATAGATCCTGAAATCCATTTGTGGACACACCACCTTTATATAATCCCTAGGCACAACGAACCAAAAGAGAGCAACCAAGAAGAGACACATCATTTCCGTTTAATCTTGAATCGGTGTTTGACTGCATTACATCATTCCACATAGTCCTCAATCGGCCATCCCTCGCATTGGTTTTGACTTTTTTGAGCAACTGTACTCCTGTTGTGTATGCTACAGAATGCTGCTGATATCTTCCCACGTCAGTAGCAACATTCTCCATGCCAGTGTATCAACAAAAAGAGCAACAAATCAGAACAAGTTCTGTATCTATGTTTGATGAAAAGAAACTGGATTTTTTCAGCCATTCCGACTACAGCAGTATACTACAGTAATTTTGTGTCCGTCTGAGCGGAATGCTTAGACACATAACTATGTTTATTTCAAAATCGCCTCCAATGTTCTTGTTTGGGATGTTCAGCAGCGACCTCATTTACATATACAACATATCTTGGATACCTGCAAAGATACTCTCGAGCAGGATGCAGGATTCCTCCATTTGTAGCATTTTATAGCATCAAATTAATACCATTCACCTCAGCTTAGTAGCTGGTTTATACCTCATCTGTCCATCGAAACAAGTCAACCGACAGATATCGACAGATATAGTTTCCTCATATCACAAATATGTTTTCCCATTAAAAGACAGTTAGCCGTTAGCCGATTGGCAAATTGTTCCAGAAGTAGTCGGCATATTCAACTGGTTGGTAGCTCGGATCATCCTCCAAGGATGGACAGTAACACATATTCAAATCCATCAACCAGATATACCCTCTGGTAAACTAACATAGCTATTGAAAATGGCCATTAAAAAAAGTGGATTTACCCATTAAAAATGGTGATTTTCCATAGTTACGTTAGTTTACCAGAGGGTAACATAGTATAGTTATGACCACGTGATAACCAACTAAATATGTGTATATATACATATATTCATATTCCCACATATCGACTTATCCACATAATATGTATATATATATACAATAAATATATACATTTAGAGTAACACCCTAAAACGATTGAAAAGAAACTCATCCGATTTTATCAACTTCTCTCATCTTCTATCTTGTTTGGGGGTTGCTAGTATATATATATAAATACGTATATATATATATAATTATATATATAACTTATGTAAATACTATAATCTTATTAGAAAACAAACATAACCACCCATAGTTCTGTGCTTTATACCACTCATTTATGATAAAATTGGGGATGGTTTACTATTGTTTTACCAACATTAATCCCTCCCCCCCAATATTACACACCCAGAACACCATGATTTTAGTAGGCAAATTCTACTTCGTTGGGACCATTTTAGGGGATGTTTCATAACAAAATGATGTGTTTTTTTTTTGGACATTTGTATACAATCCGACGAACTTGACAGTCTGACAGTATCTGACAGTATCTGACAGTATCCCCAAATGTGTTTGATCCATTCACCATGTCATTCACCATTGATCTTGGCGAAATCTGGGGTAAATCCCATGAATCCAGCCCGGTTCCCGCACCCCCAAGGTGACGCCCACGGGAGCTGCCAGGGCGCGGCTGAAGATCCAAGGACCTGGCAGTCCTAAAATGGGGACCTAAAATGGTGATTTCATGGGAAATCTACGGAAAAAATGATGGTTTCAGGGGAAAAATATGGAAAACATATGGAAACTTGGTTTCATGGGAAAAATATGATTGGGATTCCATGCAAAAAACCTTCAAAACATGGGATAAAATTGGGATTCAACCAACAAAAATGGTGGTTTAATTATCAACACATGGGGGGATTCACGAGTACCCTCCGGTAATCTAGGGTAGCTATGCAATTAAGGCTTCAATCATCTACAAATGGGCCATTTTCATCCATTTTCCATAGCCATGCTAGATTATCAATATTATCATAATCCATGTACCCATTTCATCAACTGGTTAGTACGTGTAGTATAACTGAACAGTGGCTTCCACAACCCAGTTACCAACCAGTGAATCCCGCGGCCGATGTTTCGTCCCACCTGAGTTTTTGTTTCAGTTTAACCGCCGAAACCCAACTTGTCGAAACCTGAACTATAATTTATGACATATCCCAAAAACTATTGCTTGAAATTTGAGTTACATGATGTTGCATGATAGATGTGTATGTACTTCAAGTATATTCAAATATACTGCATACTATATAGTCTACTATATATGTAAAATGAACAGCTACTGTATATATATATAAATAATATATCATATTCATTCATATTCATACACGATCCATACAACCTGGAGAGTTTGTTGGTACGCAAACCACGATCCGAAAAAAAAAAACGCGCACCCCAAGATCCTCACAATGTCCATCTAGTGGCTGGTGATGTAGCAATCCAGGCTGACTCACCAATGATAAATGGGGATTTCCTGGATGGGGGTGTCCCGTGGAAAGATGGTTTATAATCGAACATCCATCTATAAATGGATGATTTGGGGAATTTGGGGGTAGCCCTATTTTAGGAAACCTCCAAATCTTTCTTATGATCCTCTTATGATCCAAGCCTCTTAAATGACATCACAATAGATACACTACATTCCACAAGGCTCTGGGAGACGCCTTCCACCAAGGGCCCAAAGCGGGCTGCGTTCAAGCCTCGTGTCAAAAGATCATCTGCTACTAAAATGCTACCCCATGGTACTTCCCCATTAAACAGGCTGCGGATTTATTCATCCGGGGTTAACAATATGTAGTTTATTCATGTTTATTCACAGGCCTGTTTTCATCGTACCCCGTTCCTGGAAGTAAGAGCCATTATGGTCTGCACATCCAAAAGAGGAAAAATACCCTCAGGTTTACAAACGGGCGTCGCAATGACAAGTCGTTAGAAATGAAATAACCATCAGAAACTGGCAGATTGCGGGCTTTCGGTTTAGTTTTCTATAATCTCAAACCTTGGGGCGAGGGGATATATGATGATATATGTTTTCATCCGGAGAGCTTGCGAGTGGCTATCTAATTTGGGGATTCAACCATTGTACTAGCTCCCCAAAAACGTTCATGTCACCAATCACCAAGCATTATTGAAATCTCGTGGCCGTGCAAAACAGGTCGTCCCTGGGCCCCAGGCGGCCTGATTCAAGGGGCCGTTTTAACATTTTTCAACCATCAACTCACTGCACTGGCTGCTGAGTAGCAGTTTTCTATCACTATAATGCCCAAAAAAGGGTAGCAAAGTACCATCCCGACCCTGTGGGGAGGTTACCCGAGCAGCCCAGCCGAGATAAGTGCCGCCCCACCATGCAAAGACCAGCCTGAGGAGCAAGTCCAGTGATTTGAGTAACTTGACACATGTGGATTTCTCCAAAAATTGAGGATTTCATCTCCCAAAATGATCACTTTGATTATGCATATCTTTAATGATGGGAAAATCAACAGGATTCTTTTTGGGTACCGATTTCCAACAAACCCGTGTTCGACTTATACTTAGCCAAACAAGAAAGGATAGCAATGCCCTGATGGCTAGAGAAACATGTGCCGTGTTTCACAAAATGGTTTGGTTGGGCCGAAGATATACGACTCTACCTGCTCAATGTGTATATACAAAAGACGGATTCCCAGCAGAAATAATGGAACAACCATTAAATATTGGGCCGGTCGTTAAAACGAACTCATATTTGTTTGCCCAAATCATCCGTATAGTGTATGTTCATGTATGTTCACTGTTGACTTATTTTCCAACGTGTTTCAAATGTATGATAAATAGTGAAACCCAGTTGGGACATGATTTCACTTACAAATAGAACCATTGCGTACGTCGTAGCTGAGGTCGTAGCTGATTTTGGCAAAGTAGAAGTCACCAGGCATCTAAACACGTTCCATTTTGACACGTTCTCCAACCATTCAAGAAGGGTCTTATCCATCAACTGTATACAAGGCGAACCCGAACAATCCCCAAAAAAACACGAGTCGCCACCAAATTATATTGTTACGGTTAAAACAAGCAATGGATCGACAAGGAACCTGTGATACCCCCCAAAAAGTCTTCGTTGGGATTAATCCTTTCCACCTTTATGGTGAACAAATATTACATCATGAATGGGGCTGCTTTCAACCACCAATCGTCCCCTTGGCAGGGCCCCCCTGGGTTCTGAGGGACGCGGTGTACTTCAAGTGGTAGGGCCTCAAAATTTCGATGACGACTGACCAATGTGGAATTTTCCTGAATTTTCGGCTTTAACAAAACAAAACAAACATGTAGAAACTCAGCATCTGAAATATATAAAACACATTTTGGTATCTGTGGCCGACCAGTGACTACCTCGACTTTTGCTCTGGTTATCCGAAGGTTAGATTACCCATCCACGTCTGAAAGAATCATTCGTGGTCAAACGGGATAATCATGAATAGCATCAAACATACTTCAAACTTGACAACGTCTTCCAAATTCCATTGGTTGATACTGGTTGTTTTTTTGGCACCACATTTTGCGATCTGGGGCCGTGGCATAAACATTTCGAAAATCAGAGGAGAATAGGTGCCAATGTTGACACCTCAGAAACGTTTCAAACACCTTCAAGGGTGGCCTCGGGCATCAAGAGTGGGTGTTGTTGAAATCACTTTTTTCTTTGGAGGGCACGAACATAGCTGGATGGCAAATGCCTCTTTCAAATGTGGGGATATTCCACTTCCATCCACTTCCAGGTTTGTGTACTTGAGAGTCCTTCCTGGTCCTGCTGAAGTTCTCGAGTTCCTACACCAAACTGGCTCACATCATGGAACATCTGCAAGAATAAGAAACTTGTATGGTAAAATGTCTTCACAAGAACCCTCCAAGGAAATACCAAAACATACAAAAATACGGAATAATGTTTGCAAATTAATCTAAATTTTGTCCGTCAATCTACCTTTTTACATCCTTTTAGATGAGCAAAAGGATGAAAAAAGGGTATCCTTCACCCATAACCCTGGGACGAGGTGCACAAGAAAATGCCTTCAAGAACAGCGCAGGAGACGAAAACCTCGGAAACATCCCATCAGGGGACGGCTTAGCAAGCTTCCAAAAATTGAAATCCAATGGAATGAGCATTGTCATTAATAGCAGATAGTGCCCGGCCCATGCCGAAGCGGAAATTTCGAAAAAATGACTTGGGTATTGAGCAGTGAATGGCCTATAGGAAAGGTTTGCGATGCAGAAACAATGAATGGTTGAAGGTGCGAGGCGCATCAACGAATCAGCAAATGGTGGTTGATATGCGAATGAAATGACACGAAAAAATCCATGCAGAGCATGAACCAATGAATCAATGAATGAGTGAATTTGTGAGTCGATGAACCAATGAACCGATGCATCAACGAATCGCTGATTCAGTGAATCAATGAATGAGTGAATTGGTGAGTCGATGATTCACCGATGCATCAACGAATCGATGATTCAGTGAACCAATGAATGTGAATTGAGTCGATGAACCAATGAATCCATGAAAGGATGAAGTAGTGAGTCGAGGAGTCAATGAATCAATGAACCAGTGAATCAATTAATCCATGAAGTCAATGAATCGATGAATTGACGAACCCATGAGTTCATATGAGTTCAATGAATCAATGAATCGATGATTCAGTAAGTCAGTGAGGCAATGAATAGGTATATAACGCAGTGAACCAATGAATCAATGAGGCAGTGAGTCAATGAAGCAGTGACTCAATGAATCCACCAGTGAAATAATCGATGAACCAATGAGTCAATGGATCAGTGAATCAATGAAGCAATGAATCAGTGAACCAATGAAACAATGAATCAGTGAATCAATGAAGAGTGAATTTGTCAAGCAATGGGTGAATGAACTAATCATTGAATCAACCAGTGAGCGACTGAATGGATGGATGGATAGAGGCACGAGTGAGCTACTCTTCTTTGTTGAGCTGCCTCTTCACTGAGCGACCTCTTCGCTGAGGTACCTCTGAGTTGCCTCCCAGCTAGCTCTTCTGTAGCTTCTTGAACCCAATTCTTCTCTTTGCGCGGCTGTTACTTTAGCAACCTTCAGCTGCAATCTCGCATAGCACAAGAGTAGCACTATGGTCAAGAACTACCTTTCGCACAGCTGTTACAATGCGTTTAGCCGCGTCCCGCGTACCAGGAGCGTCGTAGAATCACTCATGCTTTGCTGCGCACCGCAGTGCCAATGCATTTTGTCACAGCCGCGGTTGCAAACCCGCATAGCAGGAGTGTCGCGCCAAATCGACCAAGGTTCGCGCAGCGTCAACAGCGGGACTCGACCACACTAATCCGGGGCCGCTCCGAGCGCCTCAGTTTTTTACGTTTTTTTCTAAAGCGGAGCTCTTGCTACAGTCTACAGTGCATATCGTGCACTTTGCCAACCTCATCTTCCAACAGTGCTCCGCGCCCGTCAGTGTTTAAACATTTTGAAGTGCACATCGAGCTCTCGCCACAGTCCTGTGCACTTTTTGTCGGCAACTTTTCCAGATCGAGCCCTGTTACCGCGGAAACAAAGACCCCTGGAGCTACATTACCGAAAAAACATGCCCGAGAGTGTTTTCACCCTTGAGTTCACTAGGTACCGACCTTTTACTCTTCTCTAGTGATCCCACACGCGAACTCCTTTTGCTTACTACGTTGTTACGAACTGCTTTTGCTCAATATAGTGTTAACATGACCATGGCATGATGACAAGACTGCCCCTGGACATGATGATAATATGATCGATGATGACATGATGACAAGACTGTCCCTGGACAGTCGTCTGTAAGTCCGTAACTCGGAAGTTTTCGAACTAAACTTCCTTTGATAAATCCGCAAAACAAACAAACACATACTTTTTATGGCATGATGTCCCTTACCAGTCGCAGTTGTTCTTCTTTACATTTGCCAATCGGAGACCTTGGCTCCTGCACCACCCGCAACAAATCGCACGTGGAATCAAACAGAATGTCAAGAACTCTCAGCTCAAAGTGTTGAACATGGGTTTGTCCAAAAAATGGTGTATACCACAGATCCCTCAATATAAAATCACAATTCCCCATGAAATGAACATAAAATGGAGAAGAACATGTGTTCAACACACAGACCCAATTCATATTCCCATCTTCTAGTTTGGTACCTGTGCTGTGAGTTCAATCAACACATTCAATGGCGATCTGGCAGATCGTGACCCCATGTACTCTGCCCTGGATAGTATACGATAAAACATGTTGAAAAATCAAAATCCCTCAGGATTCCGCAAAGTTGATTTATGGTCAAATTGAAATGGTTTTCCCCTATCTCTGTGAAAGCAGGACAAAACAATGCACATTATATATATACAATATAAGCAGTTCAAACAAATAGACCATATAGCAATATATATATATAGATAGCAATATATATATAATAATATATAATATAACTTAGTGGATATTTCACTGTGGTATCATGTATCGTATATATATATATATCAGAAATCTGAAGCAACACCGCCCCCGGTGCCCGCACATGTGCAGCAGATGGAGGAGTCACCACCATCCTGGTGGCTCGCTTTAGCCGCGTCTCTGTATAACACATGTAGCTCTATTATTATATGGCAGTGGGTCAAAACCTTGTACCCCTGGTGAACATCAAAATAGCTGGTAAATGGATGTTCATCCCACTAAAAATGGTATTAATAGGTATTGATCCATAGCCATATATTTCTGTTCAAGTAGTTGTAGATTTATAGATGTAGAAACACACACACATATATATATATATACACAAATAGAAACATTAGATATACATATACCAGCAAACGTGCATAGAAAGTGTCCAACGTGCAACACGCAGGAGGTAATTGCCAGTATGTGTTGCTGTCAGCATGCCACGGTACTCCTGTAACTCTTCAATCTCTTCAAAGATTTACTCAAACGATGCAGGGGCAAATCTCTTGCAATTTGTTCACCTAAACATGAGCTCTTTAGTTCTTTCATTATTGCCTACATTTGGACAGGCGTGGTTGACGTCTTCAACGTCTTCACTATATAGTGGAAACAAATCTCTACCCGAAACATCCGCAAACTGTTTTGCACCAGTGAAACAATCCCACTTTGGGTAAACATCCCCTGATCAGTCGGTATTAACACTGAAGTTGTTTATGGGTTCATGAGAAAATTTGCCATTAGATGCCGTTAGACCTTGTTAGGTAAAACACCGATTTTCTGGTTAAATCGAGGGTCTGCGGTATAGCAACCCCAAAACACATAGAAAAGTAGCTCCCACTAACATCATTGTAATTTCATGTAACTTAAACCTGTTCTGAATCTTTTTGTCATTTGCATTCATTTGCTATATACCTCATCGACCATTTTGGTCATATAGTACCAATTCCTGTCCACCCTGACCAATGAGCAAACTGAGCACAGGACTTGTCACCAAAGACCCGCGTCAGCTTCCATTGGTGCGCCTGGAAAGTGGCAAGGAGACTGGGCATAACTGCAGTACCCCAAGTCTTGCCAATGCCAAAAGGAAAACACATACTGCAATTCTGTCATATTTTGAATCTTTTGATTCATTTCAATTAAGTGCATATGCATATATATATATACACACTATACATATATATATATGTATATGATATAGTCACTGCAAAGCTCTGCCATGATTTGTGTTAACGTTATTTTCATTGCAGTTAAATACTCCAGACGTTTCACTAGGCCCAAGCCGGGCGCGGCTGAAAATCTGGGCCCCCGGGCATCATCGAAATGCCGCCGCAGCCTGATGGAAAATGGATGATGGATAGAACATGTTGGTGTTATAAGTTTCATATCTGTATCTAAACCCCCAATTTGGATCAATTTGGAAGATGAGAAAAAATCTGGTTCATGCCAGTTATTAAGTGGGTTGTAACCCAAGCTGCTGGATTTATAAGTGGATTAACCTGATTAATCCCTATTTATCCAACTTACAGCTAGGGATATGACCTACTTAGCGAATGGGATGAGCCACCAAGTATGGAATGTGATATATGTATAAGTCTTAGAGTTTAGATCTTGAATCAAACTAAAGCAAGCCACCTATTATCATTCATTATCATTCATTATCATTGATCTAATGATCATTTATATGAAGAAGGAATCATCATAAAATGTGAGAACATGTAAAATTTCACTACTGTATATTATCAGTGATGATGATAATCTATGAGAATGATAAATTGAACAAATAGACCCTGTTGATTGATGAAACAAATGAGAATTTGAATGAAAAGGCAATCGGTAAATACCCTGCACCCCTCTTTTGTTCTTCAGATCCTCACAAAATGAAATGAACCGCAAACACATCGAAATTGTGCGTTGAAGCAACTACACACACATACACGTATGATGGAGTTATTTTGGGATACAGGATACTACGCCCATTCCCCTAATATTGAGCATCCCCCTTACATGGTACCTTCCTGAGCGCCACCTTGTTCCCTTGGGAGCCCCGTACTCCGCACTGGATGGTGTGGCAAGGTCGCTGAGGTGCCGGAATGTCCTGGAGGTGCCATGGCGCCATGTGTGCCCCAAAAGTCTTGGTATTTTCAGAGAAAGACATACGGAAAAAAAAAGGTAAAATATAATATTACACACAGACCCCGAGGTTTGCCCAGACCCAGAATAGCGTAAATACCAGGGAATTCTGTACCATGTCAAACAGCGACAATGCTTTTATGTTCTATATATATGTATATATATATATGGTGTCAACCAGAACATGTTGCTTCTACATATCATATAACCAGAACATGTCACTTCTACATATCATAGGGAGTTAACCATACAGTCATTAGGGTTTCTTATAGGGTTTCAAGAAGATATCAAAATCCTCCGGCCCCATGGAACAATTCACCATGCAGTCATTACGGTTTCTGATATGGTTTCAAGAAGATATCAAATCCCCCGGCCCCATGGAACAATGAACCATACAGTCATTAGGGTTTCCTATAAGGTTTCAAGAAGATATCCACATCATCATCATCATCATCACCACCACCATCATCAACATCAATGCTATCATCATCACTGTTATAATTATCAATGCTATCAGCACCAATGTTATCATCACCAATGTTATCATCACCAATGTTATCATCACCAATGTTATCATCACCAATGTTATCATCATCAATGTTATCATCATCAATGTTATCATCATCAATGTTACAATCATCAGTGTTATCATCATGAACGCTTTCATCATCAATGTTTTCACCATCAATGTTTTCACCATCAATGTTTTCACCATCAATGTTGTTGTCATCATGAATGTTTTCATCATGCATGTTTTCATCATCAATGTTTTCATCATCAATGTTTTCATCATCAATGATTTCATCATGAATGTTTTCATCATGCATGTTTTCATCATCAATGTTTTCATTATCAAGGTTTTCATCATCAATGTTTTCATCATCAATGTTTTCATCATCAATGTTTTCATCATCAATGTTTTCATCATCAACGTTTTCATCATCAACGTTTTCATCATCAAGGTTTTCATCATCAATGTTTTCATCATCAATGTTTTCATCATCAATGTTTTCATCATCAATGTTTTCATCATCAATGTTTTCATCATCAATGTTTTCATCATCAATGTTTTCATCATCAATGTTTTCATCATCAATGTTTTCATCATCAATGTTTTCATCACCAATGTTTTCATCATCAATGTTTTCATCATCAATGTTTTCATCATCAATGTTTTCATCATCATCATCATCATCGTCATCATCATCATCATCATCATCATCGTCATCGTCATCGTCATCATCATCATCATCTTGGCTTGCCCGGTTGCTCGTTGCGAGTCCGGGCAAACCTCAGGGTCTTGCCGTAATATTATGATTAAATATAGAATTTTACATATTAAATATAATATAGAATATATATCTATATGTACATCTTCCATCAACATGGCTACAAATTCAGATATCGCCCCTTTTCAAAACAGACCCACATCATCGAGTAACCTTGACAGGGTTTGTAGTCCCACTCATAATGTAAGAATATATATATATAGTACTATATATAGTACTATATTGTATTATTGTATTGAATTGTATTGTATTGTATTATATTATGTAATCATATAATATAATATAATATTATATTATATGACGCGTCTCCTATCATATAAAGGAGGAAAGGTTGGAATTTTCAGCAAAACAACATCACGAGCAAACCTTGGTACTTCAACAAAGACAATGACTATCAAACCAGCACCACAAGGGTATATTTTACCTGCAAAACTACTACAGGGGATGTACCAAACAACAAATGAGATATAGACATGGATATTAATCCATGATGGTGGATGCATAGAGAGGGCAATTAGTATTAATCCATATTAATCCATATTAATCCATATCAATCCATATTAATCCATATTAATCCATATTAATTCTTATAATCCTATCAATCAAGACTCTCAAAATATGCGGTGGCCCATAGAGGGCCCAACCCTAGGATAATTCACTGAAGTTGCGGTGAATGGCTAGGATTGGCAGCACCTCTGATAGGTTCGGTTATGAAATATTGTGCACACCTTTGCACACAGAAGAAATGCATTGTTTCTCCCAAATAACAATGGGAAACCAAGGACTTTCCCTGTTGAAAAGTGACAACACGATCATCTTCAATGCGGCGCACAGCTTCACGCAGCTACACTAATTACAGTATCTTTTAGATCGAACCCCATGCAATAGTACAACACAATAAGAAGCCTTCAATTTTGGCGGATTTATACCATCCAATTCTGGTGAATTTGGGGACGGTTTATTATTGGGTTTACCACATCCTTTTACAGAATGAAAAATATGATGACACGTCATACAAATCCATCAAGCATCCCTCATGGGAGACTGATCTACAACAAACATCAACAAACATTGTACTTTCATCCGCTCCCATGTGCGCCACGATTGGCATCTCTGCTCCTCAAGCAATGCCGGGAAGGGTAAGGTTTGGCTCCGCAAGAGCACCAGGACCTGACAACGGAGTCTGAAGCCACTGAAACCATGAAACATATCATTACTTTAAACAGTGATTGGTTTCGCAGATCACGTTCTGAGTTCAATGATTGCCCATTTGATATTTCGTGTAAGTTTTCTCTACCCCGCGCGTTCGTGAGCAGTGTCACTATTCAAGGCTGCATCTACTCATGTGACGCGTGCACCTTAAGGGCTGTGCGCATCCTTTCACACATATACAGTATCTTATTATTTAATTTCATATATATATAATTCTATCAAATGCTTGATTCACCCAAGACTGATCAAATATTGGGCTGGGATGTTTGTGTGAAAATCACAACTCGGAAACCTGATTTTGGGTAATGTTTGATTGCTTCCCCAATGATATATTTACCATCATACATGTTGATCTGATGCGAGGGTTCTACCCAATCACCATGTGAACTTGCCATCAACAATGGGAGTCTGTTGGGCCTTTCACATCATCTGATAAAATCTGGCAAGACTGAAGCTATCTAAGATGAGTTTGTTTTGTTGGCACTATAACATGCTACAACATGGTGACTATAAGGTATCACTCTAAAGCCATGGATCTGGGTTACTGCTCGACCACCGATCTCCGCCACCTTCGTTTCAGACTCCGTTGCCAGCTGCCACGGAGCATGGCGCGTGGGCGTGGTATGGTCAACTGGAAATCATCATCCCATGGAATCCAAAAAAACAAGGAAAAGATAAGGGAAAACCACCTGGTATCTGGGTTACAAGGTAGCAGGTGTCCGATAAACAAGGATAAAAGGATCACACACACACACACAATCACACACATACACCCCCTTGAAAATAAGTGATAGTCAATGTGTTCAGGAGTCTTTGAGAACATCCAGAGTTTTGTTGGTCTCATTCACTTATTTCTCAGCCCGCGTTCTTCGCCACATATTCAGTCGATTTTTTGGGGTACTCCAAAGTAATTCATTAGGTTCCCATAGCCATAGCTTCAAGGTTTGATCAGTTGCCATAGATGGCATCTTAGAAGGATTTGACCATAGACTCGTATGTCAAACATGATCTTCGCTGAGGGACACAGCATCAAACAGTCATGTTTTCAGCCCCTCTGCGATATCGTTTCATTCTGAGCCTTCCATCATGTATTGGTCTGTCAGCTGTAAGTCACTATCTTCTGACGAACTTGTTTGTCCAGAGGTCTCATTTTGAGATTCGGGGAGCTTGAACTGGAACAGGCTGACGGAGGCCTAGGTCCAGTGTGATCAGGTCTTTATTCAGTGGTGGAAATGCTGAGGATATGTTGAAAAAGGAAACCTCTTATCCAAACCATCAAAAAGTCAATCGGGCTGTGGCCAAAACCCTGCCGAAGATTTTCCACCATACAGTAGGGCCTATGATGCGTCTGCAGTGCTTGTTCTATTCTTAGCTTATGTCAGCAGTAGTAGCTAATGCTTATGAAAAACCAGGAGGATCCCAATGCTTGTTGGTTGCATCAATATGTTTTTCTTCCGCAAGTTATGTCCAAGGATTTGTTAATGATTCCAAATCAACAGCGATCAGTGATTAGTGGATTTAGCTTCCATCTTTCCAACCAAAATCATCATTTCTTTTGGTTAGTACCCTTACATTTCACCGCCAACTCTCGTCAGCAACTGGTAGGGTACCTCCCGGAGTGGCCCTTTTTCACACCGCCAGAAAGTCGGCACAGTCGGCGCGTCGCCGACGCCTCAAAGAGAAGATTCGAAGATTATGAAAAAGGTGGACACAAAACACATTTCGGGTGTCACCAAAACAACACCCCAAACACATAACCTCACAAGCCCTGGCTTATGGCCAATCTAATTGATACAGCACCGTACAAAAGATGTCAATGCATGCCACTGTATGTTGATTTTTGGCTTGGGATCGTGTCAAAAACCCTTTGGGGATCAAATTCGCAAAACACGAGCTCCTCTACAAGGTCTGTCCACGGCTGGAAAATCCACATGTTTTCTCGAATGTTTTCCCAATAAAACTTGCTCCATCTATAGACCATTTCCATCCATTTCCCAGCTAGCCATGCTTAAGTAATGCTTAAGGCTACTGAACAAAAAAGCAGGTAATTACATCATATAAATGCATACCACAGACACACGGGTGGCATGAGTTTGGAATGACGTCGAGCAGCTTTGAACCAATTTCAGAATCAGACTGGCCAGTAGGAACACTATATAAAATTATATAAAGGGGAAAAACATGCAGAGTTTGATCGAGACAAAAACATAGAATATGTAGCTCGGACATGGTTTTTTATCGCTTCAAACGCTGATCCCTCCAGGTTCGGCCAGGTGAAAATGCGGCGCACCAGGGACCACACTGGCGGCTGGCTTCCTGCAGGTCGAGGTGGAAACAGGGACATCTAGGGGGGCTATAACGGCATCTTTGAGATCAAATGGATTCAAATGGGATATAAACTTATAAACAACATACTTGAAATCACAGAATATATGGACTTCAACCATCATCCCAGCATCTGCCAGCGAAATCACACATTTTTTCCTGCTTGGGCTTATATCTACATCATCTCCAACTCTCTGATACATATTGTATCATAGTGGTTGCCCTTAACAATCATATACATATTTTATTCTTGGGGGTCAGCTTTGTTGGTTGAATAGCCACCATTTTCGGCATCCCTTGGGATGAACATCTTGAACATCGTGCCTTGAATCTCCAGCTTGGTGCGACGAAACTCATGCAATGCTGCGCTGGACTCGGCTGGGCAAAGGTGGAAAACCCACTGGACCTGGACCATCAAAGTTGGGAACGAATCAAAGTTGGTGCAGCGAAAAAGGGACTTGACGAAATCAAAGACACATCGATAAAAATGGGTTGAACGAAAGGGAGATTCTGCCCAGGCTGCTCATAGTCTTGACCCAACGGGCAGCCAGTCTCGAAAACCTGCTTTAGTATTCCATGCATCGATGTTGAAATGATCAAAACAAGAAACAATCCTGGGTTTGGCAGCTCTTTTGGAGGAAACATTAAGTTTGCAAAACACCTGCAGGCTGCCACAGAACAAACATCTGCATGAATCAACTACCATCTCAAGCTTTCCACTTCTGATGTAGTTGAAACTATTTTGGTACTTGATGACGGATCTAACTGTATACTGTATCACAGCTATATTAACATGTGACCGCGTTCGCGCACATCCCATTTTTCGTCACGTTTAGGGATTTTAGGGATGCAACACACATCTTCAAAACCAATGACCTCCGTTGACTATCGCATAGCTAATTGGCTCAACCAAGTCCATTTAAACCAGTTTGGATCATCATCCCAAATTTCCGAGGATGTTCTATGAATGCTGGTAGATTCATTCCCAACCTGCTCTGCGCAATGAAAATCTCTGAGGACGACACGTCACTTGGTCTGCCACCTGCGTTTTTGCACGTAGCTTGTGAGAAAATGGGTGGACCATGGTGGATCATGGTGGACCTTAGCCTTGATCTCCCAGAAAGATGGGCTAATGGCCCAACATGGCCGGCAGGTCGTCTTTGGTCCGTGTGTATTGGTATACATGATGTATGATGTGATTATCTGTTGTATGATACGTATACATATGTGTGCCAAAACGTATGCTTAATATATATATATATATGTATATATATATATGCTATACATACAAAAGTAAACTATAGAATTGTGAGTAATTATGAGTATGTATGTATAATATACATAGTTATAGACAGACAATATAAATATCTAATAATATTCATATATATATATAATATGTGCATGCGTCCGTGCGTGCCATATTATGATTTAAGGACATGAGATTCATTGCCTTCCACAGGTAAGCAGCTCACTGCAGGAAGTCGAGGTAAAATGCTGTAAATTGTGAAGTTGGCCGCAGCAGGTTGCAGTACTTTGACAAGTAAGTACCCACGCATCGGTTCATTCTATTCATATGCGGGGTACTCTGCGGTCACAGCTATTTCTGTTCCTGTTGGCATCCAAGATAGCAAGTTGCCGGCGATTGATCGCTCCGGTAGTATGAGTAGCAGCACAAAATGCTGGAACCCTAAACCGACTACGTTTTGCGTCCCCGTCTCTAAGTGGGAATATTGTCTATATATCTATATTGTCTATATATCTATATACGTATGTGTGGGCAAAAAGCCAAACATCTTTCTCAAACCTTATGTGTCAGTGACTGCAGGATCATCGGTTGGCTCGCTAATATCACCCAAACGTCGATTGGGGTCATGGATCAAAATTACGTCCACCATAAAATTAATGGGAACCAGAATTTGTGGGTCCTTTGGGACCCGATGTTTGACCCGCAGCCACACGACCCGGAAATGCATCGTTATCTATCATCATCTTTCCCCATCAAAATTAGAATAAAAGCGACCACATTATGATTCCATTTTACTAGTTACTACAGTAATTCACCCGTTTTGCGACTAAAATCACCTGGTTGCTTCTTAAATCCCGATTTTTTGACCCATAGCCATATATCTGTGATTCTGGATTTGCTTCAGGGGTCTCCCGCTCAAAAAAAAAACAACAACGTTGATATTAAGATTCCCGATTCCCCTTAAATAAATGGTGGAATTTCCAATCAATTTTCCAGCGGGATAATTTTCACATCGCCTCAGCATTGCTCAGAGCTCCTGCTTTGGCACCTTGGGAGGAAACGGGACCAAGATTTCACCAAGATGGGAGTTGCAAAGATGTCTTGGCATATCTTGGCCAACAATTGGTATTTAGATTTGATGGGACAACAAATAGGATTTAGTAGGATTTCATGAAAAAATATCATTGGAATGCAATTTTTTAGAAAATGATAATGGGATTTACCCTCTGATAATTTGTTACATAGCGAACTGGAGAATCACACTTGTTCATACGTAAGCCATCTTAAAAGGGGCCATCTTTCATGGCTACGATATTTCTCATTGTGGAAAGAAGTCATCGTTTGGAAAATGAGTCCCCGGACTAGTCATCTATGGTGAGGCTATCATTTTCCAAAAAAAGAATACGCATTATATCACCAACCTGTATCGATGTATGTGAATAAACAAACACCAGTATCTCAACGTTGCCAAATATGGCATGATAAATTCATATATAAATCCGGGTATACTATATCATTCCTGAAGTATACATTCTTCACCTAAATTATGCATATTCATATGATTTCATATGTACATTTGGATCATTTACAATATTTTAGCCAACCGGAAATGTTGGCTTTTAACACACATCATTTGCGGTGAAGTCGTGATGGGGTGATGGGAAACTACCAACATGTACATATGCGTATATTATCATATATTCATGGTGTATACATACATCAAGCCTCGTGGCATATATTCACATATCATATACATATAATAATACATATATTATATATACATTGATATATATATATACATCATATGTATATATATATACATATATATATATATGTACACATATACAGTACGTATATATATATATATGTATTGGTATAAATGGAGGCAAAGGATAAACAAGGGAAACCAACCACAATGGTGGTATAGCCGGATGAAGTTTAGAACGTCGCAATTCAGATGGCCATTTTAGGTAATACTTGGATAACTTTGAGCAAAACAGCAGAGATATTGACTGGTGAGCTAGCAACCAGTTTGATATGATGTGATATGTTGAACATCTGCGAACATGTGTATATATATATATATAAATAATTGTATATATATAAAACAAACTCAATTATTTTTGTATAACTTACAACCGTATGTGAGTATCTTGGGCAAAAAAGCCAAAACCTACATTTTTTCCACAACAAACGGGGATCTTCACCTCACTGAGCATTGAACCAGCGATCCAGTCACATGGTTCACCACCAGAAAATCAGGGGATATCTAGGGATATCTATCACCAAATGGTGTTGGTAAATGGAGAACTTATACTTCTTGGCGTTTTCTCGCATGGAATAGGCACTGAGGCACATTGACATTCATTGATTCAGCTTGGGATTTGCGGCAGTGCGTGTTGGGAAGTTGTGACCGAGCCCTTTCCGCGCCAAGCCCTTATTTCCATTGTGTGCACCGATTTTTGAAATGGCCACATATTAAAACATACAGTATAAATAACCCTGCAAAACTGAACACAACAAATCCAACCCATGTCCAATAGGGTTGAATCAATGTTTGATAAACCAGAAACAACTTTGAAGATTGCACGTGAAAATCCGAAGGAGTCTGCATGGCTAAATGATATAAACGCCTCCAACTTGAGCAAACTTGCGTTCTTTCTGAATTAGCGTATCCTGTTCATGTTTGGGAAGGTCACCATTGTGTGGCTTCACCCGTTCAACATGTTCAACTGCTTATCATCAACGAACTTCCACCTACTCCTCTGCAGCCGTGTCACGCAACGAACCACCTTCAAAGGGAGGCGGTTCTCCATTTGCTTTCTGCGAAGCGGAGGATTAATGAACATGGGTCAAATTGACAGATTTTTGTTGGCGGTGAAGTACCCAGTCTTTAAAGGTCGATTCTGAACATATGTCCCAAACAGATTTAATGTGGGGGCCCTCTCACAAGCCATCACGACTAGGCAATTAAGAACCTTCACTCGCTTTACTGCCACCCATCCCAAACAACGCACAGGCACAGGAGTCGGAAGTCGCGAGTTTAATGATGTTTACTACTTGATTTTCAGGTTCATATCATATCAATTCATATCCTCGTTTTGACTGACCCTGAAAAACAAGGCTAATTTCAAGGGCCACACACATCTTGACGGAACAGCTTTTAGCAGGATCTCATCCATGATCTACAGTATAGATTGTGTGTATATATATATATGTATTACAACCAAGGTACTGTATCATAACCAAGGGCAACACATATTATGGCTTCAAGGGTATCATCCATCGCACGGGTGGCATTCAGGCTTTGGTGAGCCAACACAGTATAGGATCCTTGTGTGCAATTGTGCAAAACATGTGTCCCATCTTTTAAGCATTGGTTACTGGTGGTGGATACATATACATTTATTATATACACTATATTATTGTATATATATATATACATGTATATATACGTAAACTATATATGTAAGATTACATCATAATATTTACATTATGTATACACGTACTGTATCTCATATTTTCCAAGTCAGAAGCGCCTCTTCCTGGCTAAGCATCTCATCAACCTTGGAGCTACGTCTCGGTGTCCGGTAAGGAGGTTGGCCAAACGTACGATTTATGGGGAAACAATGGGAAACAATGGGAACCATTGGTTGTAAACACCGGACTTTGCTTCAGAAATCCTTTTGGCTAAAATTTTGCAAGATTACACGTGTGTTATATATAATTATACACACATGTATATATATAGATAGATAGGTATATCTGTATATGTATTCCTTATATATCTATACAGCTTATTGTATTGGAACCTTATAATTGCACATGTACATTACAATATTACATAGTCATACATATACTAGTCATACATTCTAGGACACGTAATACACACATGTTTTCCAGAATCATGGATCCAGAAGTCAGTAGCCCTTTTCCAAAATTGGAGCCAAACATGCTTGAACCGCAAACATGTTGCCTTTGGTCGGTCTCCTCCGGCTGTTTGGCATGGCAGGCGCTGCACTTCGTAACTCTCTAGACACTGGGCTGCCCGGCAGCTTTGCACATCTTCTGTTGTCGGACTTTCAACTTGTCGAGCGCCTGACATAGGCATCCGAATTTCATGATACATCCAAGTAGTTACCTTTGCCCTCCAGGAAGCATACAAACAGGTATGGACATCATGGACATCTCCATGGTTGTTTCCCTTCGAAATGACCTCATGAATTTGGTGGATTTTCCAGATCAAATGGGTAAGAGTGCATTTTTTTAAGGCGCAAAGTGAAGTACATTTTTTAATGTGCAAAACTTGATGGAGGTGGATTCAGTGGGGTTGGAAGTTTCATGGTCATTCAGGTTGCCATTCCTACCTGGGATGCTGTGACCACTGCATCTCTTTACCAACAAATAGCCCTAGAATGCACAACCTACTGCTAAATAATGCTGAATATTGAATATAAATGAATATAATATATCTAAACACAATCTAAAACATATCTCAGAGGATCCAAGACCCACAAGGGGATGGGGAGTTAGCCTTGAAACGATCCATCATGGCATCACCACCAGAGGCCCCCTTCAGCTCGGCACCCGTGTGATCTCTTCGTTTCCAGTGTAGCAGTTCAAGCGCTCACACCTGGTGAAAGCCCCGGAAAGGATGGGGCAAGTCTTTTCATAGACTAAACCACGCTAAACCACTGAAAAAACTGTGAAGTTCTCCAAGGTCATCGATTTTGAGCATGTTTTAATTGGACATATCTCAACTGGGAATTGTGGCAAGACGCCCAATTTTGGGGCCCAATTTTGAAGTCATAGGGGGCCTCTCACCCAACATGAAGTGGGGTCCCTCATTCGGGTGATATTTTTTCTCCGAAGATGATGTACTCCTCATCCACGGATGACACTGCCCTTCTACAGTACCCCTGGCCCTTCTCAGCCACAATGTATCCAAAAGTCCTTAAGGTACAAGCCACTGGATTTAGTGTCTGGCAAAAACAGCCACTGGTCATTTGACTCCGGACCATCTCCAGGAACAAAAGCTGCAAAGTTGCTGCAAAACAAAGATATGTGGGCCACTCTCACTGTTTCACCCTTCTTTGCACATAACCCGGCCCCGCCTTCCGCCATCACCTCTGCCGGGGATCCAAGAGGCCATTGCAAGCCAACAAAATAGAGATTTTGAGGCAGTGATTTCAGGGACCATATCAGAAACCCTTATAGATTTTGTGGTAAGAGGAAGGGTTTTCCGTAGAATTGGTTGCCTTTACAACATCCATTGAAATTCCATTGAACAATGCGGGCCAAGCCATGAAAAAACAGCAATCATCAAAAGTGGAATACACTCTGTTTAGACAATCAACATGGATCAAAACAGTGCGTTTTACCATCAGTGGACGATCATTTGGATATCTGGATTTCTCTGATGGAAACCACATGCCCCTCATGTGGCGAATCTCTGACGTTTGTTCTTCCATTGTAGGAGACAAGTTGCCACGCCCTGAAATGGCACGGCTTAGTCTGGAAAGTATCCTCCAAATGGTCATTTGAATAGGGACATGACCCTCTAAACCATGACATATCATGGAATAGTATGGAATATGTTCAGACAAATGCAACCCAAACGTCTTCATTGTTTTCCCTAGCAAACGTGTTTGGCAATGACCTAAGGGACTGAAGAATAGCCTGCTTGAGTCAAAAAGAGAAACCCTTACAGTAAAAGTCTCATGACTGGGCCATTGCAACCTGTTGATTTGGGGACAACCATCTTAATCACTCGTGCTCATCTGATTTGACAACTGCATTTTTTTTTGTTCAACTGCTTGATGTTTCCAAGCCTGCACTCTTCTCCCGTCACCCCCATGGAGCCCATTTGCCACCAAGCTACCCATGACGCAATGAACCCTCGGCAAGCACACCGCTTGACCAACCAGCCCTATACATCATACACATATATATATAATATAATATAATATAATAGTAAAATACAATAATGTAATATGATATAATACTATAATATAATATAATATAATATAATATAATAGTAAAATACAAATGTAATATGATATAATATAATATAATATAATATAATATAATAGTAAAATACAATAATGTAATATGATATAATAATATAATATAATATAATACTAAAATACAATAATGTAATATGATATAGTAATATAATATAATATAATATAATTTTACATAATGTATAATATATAATATACAATATATAATAAATAAATATATATAATATACTATATACTATATATTATATACTATATACATATACACACCATTTTTCTTCCCACAAATATCGAGCCCTGCAAACAAACAGCAGTGAAGCGACCTTCTGTCGAATCGACCAAATCTGCTTCTCTTTTAGGGGGACGTCACTGCAACCCTTCTTGTTGCCATCATCTACGTGCAGTCCAGGTTTTTAGGCCAAACCAGCAATTTGAAGGATGATCCCACTTGGGAAGTGGCTTATCATCATGCTCAGTAAGTCCCCCCACTTGAGCTATGAGTAATTATGTGTGCTTCTGACCTAGTTATGTATGGGTTATCCCATCTGCAAAGTGGCAAGAATCACCACACAATACCCAATCTTAGATACCCTGCCACAAGCAAAAACCAAAGCTGGTACAAAGTATAAAAATAAAGATGACGTTGGACTAAACTACCCATCAAGTTGGTTTCCCAAGATACTTCAATCCGTTCCCACCTGAGCAGTGTTCAAAAAACTGCAATGTTATTCCATAAAATCCTGTTTGGTTAATGATTTCGGGTTACATCCCGCTGTAAATGATGGTTAAAACCCCTTTCTTGATGGTTAAAACTCTACAAATGATGGTGAACACCCCTCTAAATTCTAAATCATGCTTAAAACTTAAAAAAACCACAGGAAATGGTTGGCTAAAACCACTGTAGTTGATGGTAAATCATATTTTATGGTTAATAACCCGATTCAGTACGTCCCCATTCAGCAGGGTTGTCACATTAATCTCACTGGCTTTACCATCTCCCCCGATCACCGTTGCTGCCCAGCAGCATCTGACCGTTCGCCTCGTTTTCAAATTTGATCTCTTTCGCCAAGGTCTCAGCCTCAGGGCAGGGAGGGCTCAGAGGCTCAGAGGGACTGCTGTGTCCTACACACATATATATATATATTATATGGGTGTGTCTGAAAATAGTGTACCCTAAACCCAATGGTTAATGATCATGATCCCTATTAAATGGCTATAATAATTGGGAATATACCCTATTTTCAGACAACCCCATATATATATATATATATATATAGATTGAGATATGTATAACACCCAATAGAACACACATACACCGCCAGGACAAAAGTTTCTTCCTCTTGGGCTTTCCAACACCCTTTCCTCACCTACCAAAAAAGAAATTCTACGTAAGAAGTTTCTGCTTGGGTCGTGGACCACGGATCACATTCGTAACCTTTAAACGCATTCTGCTTTGTTCTGAAACAGAGGACGGGAAAAACGTTTGTCCTAGTGAAGTATATATATATATATGTGATTTATATAATATGTATATTATGTGTACCTAAGTACTATCTGCATCTCTATGCCAAAAGTAATTCACAATATAGTCATGTATAGTCACTGTGGATTGATACGGTATGTGTCTATGAAAGCTGCACACTGATGTGTCATGATGTGTCAATAGTATAGGTCGATAGACATATACAATATATAAATATATAATATAATAGACTATGGACATGATACAGACATATACAGACAGTGCGCAAACGAACCTGAAGATGCAGGTTATCTGTTTCGTCTGCCCTCAAGAACAGAACATGCCTCCGCTTCATCAATCTTTATATTGTTGTCATAAATCCTTTTCTTGAGTCTCCAATAGGAGTTGGAATTTGGTAACCACACACTTAGGACCAAAAAGACCAGCGCAGTTAATTACTTGCAAGAACCCTCCGCACTACTTGAGGACCCGCCCTGTCTTTTGTGCCAAAACAGTAGGCTGAGTACCAGGTGACATTTCTTCACCCGGTGGACCATGATTTCGGTACACTACAGAGTACTACAGAGTCGAATGGCTCGAACCCCAAGAATCGCTGTTTCTAAGAGCAAAAATCATCCAGCTTCCTTTGAGCTCTATACGCCTTCAGAGAGGACCAGGGAAGACCAGGATTTTTTTTCTGCCCTAGGCCCAACCACACATGTATTGAATGTGTTCCTGCTTAAAAGTAATCCAATCATGGACAGTCATGGAGTTTATGAGGAGTTGTCACTGGCTTTATTATACCTCTTCCAAAACATCACCCTTCCGTGGGCCAAGCACTACTCACTGACCATCTACTGCAAAAATCAGAAGTTCTTACTTAACAGTTCGACACTTCGAAACGCCTAACATTGGAAAATAGAAGGACCCCTCGGATCATGACCCTCAATCAAAGAGGTGCCTATCTCCCTTCACAATGACAAAGGCTTTGCTTCTGGATAGACCCTGGAATGGCTCACCAAAGTCGTTTACCATGGATCACACGCTTTTGGGATTCCCCATTCAGAAGCAGAGAGGCAAAGCGCCTACGATCTACAGCAAGAACTATCAGGAAACATAGCGGCTGATTCGCAAGCCATGCAACCCGTACCCAACGTACTGGTTGGTCAATCAGAAATTCATACAGTCATAGATTGTCTGGGAAAGTCAGCAAAGCAGGAGCAACAGAATCCCTTCCAGAAAAGTGAAGCAAATTTCCTGTGAAGAATGTCCACCCCGGATTTATGAACCCTAACCCTAACCATAAATTGAGGGGGTCCCCAAAATAGTGATACGGTAGAATCTAAGAATCGTACTGCTTCTCTGCGGGATGAATCAACTGCTGACAACACACGACCTCAAAAACTTGGGTGTACACATAAACACCAGTACTGCTACATGCATATGATGTATTTGTTTATGTGTATAATTATGTATGGTTATGTTTTGTGTATGTATAATATTATATATATATGTGATATATATATATGATATATATATATATATGATATATATATATATATATGATATATATATATATGATATATATATATATATAAACATGTTATGTGACATGAGACAAACAACTGTAATTTATTGTGATTTAGCATAACGGCGCGCAATGTACAGCAATGAAAAAAATGCATGCATGATTGTGTTCAAAAAGCTGCACATGACATATAATAATATGTACCTATGGAATCCTATGGATAGCTCAATACATGACATAGACCCCCAAGAATGGCAGGCCCGGCAGGTACATCAAAGCATCATCCTATAGAGGTGTGCAGCTTGGACATCGCTTGCCATGTGTTTCCTGTTGCCTGTTAACCACCCTGTCTTTCAGGTGGCTATCAGTTTTTTTTTGAATCGCTGATGGCCATGATGGGTCGCACTCAACTGGCCGACAATTTCGCCAGTTCCATCTCGACCATGTCCTGAATATTTGGCAATGGGAAAACTGGTCACATTCGTAGATTCAATGGAGATAGAACGTGGGGTTAGAGTTGAGATGTCATGGAATATGCAATTAAACAACAAGCAACAACCCTATGGTTTTGTCCAAACACGGGTGGATAGTTCAAAATTGTAAAGTCAATTTTGATTCAATGAGAAAATGATGATGATGATGACGATGACGATGACGATGATGATGATGATGATGATGATGAAGAACCAGTGAGGTTAGCGGTGTCCACACTCAAAATGTTCCAGAAAGTTTGGAATGCCATATTGGCATGCTGAAAAAGACTTTGACTTTAAACTACCAATGAACATGGTCAAAATCTTGGGGTAAAAGACTCTGCAACTACCAACATCATCCAAACATCTGAGTTTAGTCCTAGAATTCCAACTACAATTCTGGGGTATCAACATTTTTGTGTGTTTTTTAATGGTTTTCTTCCCGCATTTTCCGTCTTTTTCACAAAAAACCATGCCGCATCATGCCGCCTGCCTGTTGCGAAGGTTTCCGGACACCTGGCGCCGCCGGCGCTCCTGGGAAATGATCAACAGATATCAACAGTTGGAATTGGTTGGATACCCTATGTTCACGCAAACCCATAGCTGCCACAGCTTATAGATCAACAAGTAAATCAAATATATCTGTATGCTGTATGTAAATATATCTATAAATATATCTATTTACCATATAGAGTCTACATACTATGTATGATAAATGGAATCTGCCATACCAAAACAGCTACAGTTGCTACAACAATCGGGTATCAAACACAGGAGAATATACCAAGAACACTTTTTAATGGCATTCCCGGAGGAAGAAAACAAATAAGAAAACTCATTGACTCCCACGAACATATGCAGATACCTTGGTTTTTTCCAACAACCCAGTGAATTGCCACACCCACGATCCGGGACCCAACCCCTCGGCTCCTTTGGGCATTCCCCGACCTACAGTGGCCCCGGTGGCAAACATGAAATTTGATTGCCAGAGACTTGGTCGGGTTTACCGCAGGATTAAGATGTGACTGTCAGGATGTGTCAGTCAGGACTTTACGTCATTCCTGATTTTCTATAAACCAAACCAATAAGGAAATGTGATAGTTGAATTGAATATGTATATTATATATATACACATATAATTGAGATGGAGGTTACCTAAAATATGGGTACCCCTTGCATCATCAAGGTCGACAATTTTTTCGCGAAACAACCATGGTGACTTGGGGATCCTCCATTTCAAGAACCCCCCAGATGTATTCCGAAACTATTGACAACTTGTTTCTCACCGGATCATCTTATAATATCATCCATCTGGACCAGGATCTTTTGGCTGCCTCTCTGGACCAGTATGGTGAGGCGAAACCTGAATGTCTAGTTGGGACCGTATGACTGGGATGTATCATAAACTGCTTGGTGAATGCTGTGGTTTACCAACAGGATGGCTTATTATTGGCTGTGCCACAGGAATGATTTTTCCGCAAAAAATTGCCACGTCAATCCCCCAGACAAGACAGTCTGGAAGATTGCCACGTTGATTGTCACTTTTCCGTCGAACGGCAAATATGTCGGTGAGAGTCATAATATCTGAATCTTGATAGAAAACAAAAACCACAATCAAAGCACATATATGATATGCCCACAGCACTGTTTCCATTGGTAGTACAGTATCTGCATCCGAATTCACTGTTTTCAGATTCTTTCATCCTTCAACTCTTACAGGATATGGTCTTTAGATGAATTTACACCCCAAAACACGACATTTCCTGTACATTTTCTGCTGGGAATTCCATGGAATCTTGGCCGGTGCTTCGGCATCCTGGGGCCCCTGCGAACTTGACCCACCAAATCCTTCACAGCCCCGACCTGGGAAACCGCTTTCAAGCTGGACATAAGCCAAAGACTTCACATCCGGAATGTAGAACAATAGTTGTTCGCTCAGAGATGAAAGTATTGGCAATATCTAACTGCGATATTTTTTTTTGGGTACCCTGTTTTGAGACAAACCATCGGCAAGTGGCAAGAATTCTTGTCGCGGTCCGGAGCTGATATAGATGGTTTTGAGCCTTTCTCCATGTTGTGTTTATCAGTTTCGAATGTTTCCCAATGTTTTACTGTTAACATAAAACGCTTCCCGGTATGCTGGTTGGTTTGAAGTCTTTGCATTCAACATGTTTGTAGTTGTCATGTTTTGAACATTCCCGAATAGCACCGAACCCCAACTGCCGATTGTGGCTGAAGGGCTGCATGGCGTGTGGATCGTGACCATTCATCCTCCAATTTAAAAGCATCCCCGAAGCCATGCTCTTTCCCACCCCGGGGGTTCCTGTCGAATTGTCCCTTCCAACATGATTGCCTCAGAGGACGTGTCAGCTACGTTAAAAGGATATGTTATACCAAACATCAACAAACTATTCCTATTGCTATACAGATCTATACAGTATACAGTATTATTTTATAGTACCAGGTTACCATTTTCCGACCATCTCAATGATTCATCTTACCGCTGGATTAATTGCCAACTGCGAACTAGAACTACTATGGTGCGCAAGGTTAGGACATTTTAGGGTTTTGACTTTTAGGAACTGCTATTACCTTCATGTTGACAATACCTAGACCCTCCAAGTAGCCATATTTTTTTTTCCCATAGTTCTAGTACCTTTACCATTTGTTCATATCTTTCATGGAATTTCATGGGCTATTTGGAGGGTCTAGGTACTGTCATGGTAAATCATGGTATATCATCGAGTCATCCCTTACATCTTCCACATCTGAGCCCCAAGCGCTACCATCCAAGAAGACGATGGACGATTCGTTCTTCGACGCCACATCCTAAGTATCCTATCCACAATGCAGTCGTGCTAAACATCGAACATGCATTGTTGGATATTGTTGGATATTGTTGGATATTGTTGGATATTGTTGGATATTGTTGGATATTGTTGGTTTATGTTGGTTTATGATAATATGATGGGATATATTTGAATATATTTGACGTTTTTTTTTTTTAAATAACAAGAAAACAAACAGCAAGGAATCAGTAAGGAATATCTGAATATGGCTCAAACTTGGAGCGCCTCTATGGGCCCAGTAGAACCGTTGACGCATCTACACCTGTTTAGATCACACAGGCTGCTTCAGGAAGCACTCAAAACAAACAATTAGGTACACAGACTGCATGTTGCTTTGCAGAGCTTCAACTCAGTCTCACCATTTTTTTGTCCCACCGCGGAGAGAAACCCGGGGAAACATGTTTTTCTCCACTTAGAATTGCGGTAGAAGTGAGTAGTGAAGGTTTCAGTCCCGGTGTGTCTCTCTTCTACCTGCCCTAAGACTCCAACTCTCAAGGTCTCGTAGTACCTGGGAGTGCTTGGAATGTTGGGACACTTGGCTCCAGGCAGCTCCAGGGTATCTGAAAAGGGCTACTGATTCCTGAATTCGACAGCTTCACCTTACGCTCTGTCAACATCTGGTCAACATGTGAGTAAAAGCGATTCAACTATATTCAAATCCATTTTAGTAACCAATCCCACAGATTTGCACATATACTGAGCTGCCTATTGATTCAACAATGTTCTTTTTTTTGGGGGGGAAGGCACTGACAACGCCTCACAACAATCACCCCCAGGCAGCAGCTTTTCTTTTAGCGTGCATGTTTTGGTGCTCTCGACAGCTTTGCAGAATCTGCAGCTGTAACGCAAACGACTGTGAACACAAACTTGCCCAGTATTACAGTCCTTGCAGAATTTCTTGGTGCGATTGTGTGAGCACATCTCTAAGTCCTGGATTCGATCGTTCTTTTGTGGTGTGCCACCCTCAATAAGCCAGGGACATTTCTTGCCCAATCGGACACTGCACGCTCTATGACCCCAATGGGGCACTAGCACATGAATCTTACCACTTCCTGGATGGCGCCAGTACCATGAACTGCGGAAGGCATACTCAGTGCACTGCCCACATCGTACAAGAAGTGACTCGTTACTGCAGAAAACGTTGGATAAAGCCAGAACCTTCTGACTTGGGCGATAAATGCCACCAGCCGAGTGAGCTCTGCCCTCCAACTTATTTTGTGATTCTATCGCACCTCCATTGCTGCCGCGTGCAAGCGGTGAAGCGTCTTGAGCTGACGCAACTAAAGCCTGAAGTTCTCTCCACTGCCTAGCAGCTTTGGATGTTGTCACAGCATGATCCGTGCAGGGGGTCTTCTGCAACAGTTGCCGGATAAAATGCAACGCTGCAGCCACAGCCTTGGATGTGTCTGGATCCGTCAGGTCCAATGACTGTAGGCATCGAATCAACAGCCTCCTCACACGCCATTGCAAGTCGGCAGCTTTGGAGCTATCTTGGATCCCTTCCTCCACTTTCTTAGCACCCTGCGACCCGTGAAACAACGGAGCGCGAAGCCATCCAACACAACTGACGGCCAATCTGGAGATCGCATCACCATCGGCATCACTCGAATGCAACAACTCTTGCAGTTTATCTTCAGCTGCCATCAACATTGTCAGCCTTTCATTCGTATCTGCATTATGGAACTTTCCGATGCTCCGCTGGAGCTTTCGACACTGACTTTGCGACAGACTTTCACTCCACGTATCGTCGAGGGAGTCCTTGAAACACGGAGTGCAAATGCCACTGAAAGATACTGAAAGCAGATACCACTACATCAGAAAATGGCAATGTTCACCCACATTCATGTAAAGATCACCTCATGCTTGCGCCCACACGAAACCAACTTGATGTGACAACTCGACACGATGAAATCGTTCATTTTGATAAACAAACAAAAACATGCACGTATTCCAACTTATCCCGATACAAATCCCAGGTAAAATCAACAAGAGCATACAAGAGCATTGACATCATGGTCCTGTTGAGCTGATTTAACCAAGGGATTCGCATCAAGCATCTCGGTTGCCGGCGAAATATCTATGGCCTCCCTTTGGTCTGCAACATCCCTCAGCGAGAAGGAAGCCTTCTGTCCGACCTTTTGAACCGAACAGCCAGCTGCCTTCCCAAAAGGTACTTGCCAACGTTTCCCACATTGGTCTTCATACTCCAAGCAGCCGCCACCATTGTAATTCAGCTTACACACGCGGCCAAAGTACATGGCGTTCAAGGATCCCAAAGCCCGAACAGCTGGTGCTTTGGGCAGTCTACAGGTACAAGAACACTTGTGTTGTTTCTTTGCTGTATCGGTCAGGTGGGATTCCAATCCGATTCCGCGTGACAAGATGTTCTTGGTCTCACCGATGAAACCCTGTAATCCAATCCATCTGGGCAAATTCATGCACATTGAGCAAAAAACACAACATAATCATGAGCATATCATGAGCATATGAATGACATATAATGAAACCATATCAAACCCCTATTACTGGATGGATGCCCGTCCCCTTTTGTGGGAGATGCCATGTCCGTTTTCACATGGGATGATGATACTACAATCCGATTCTGGAAAAAAGCCCCCTGTCCAGCTGGGTTCTCAGAAAAACATGGTATAAACTTAATACAACAAAAGATGTGGAAAACCAATGGTTTATCTACAAATAGTGTATATATATATACACATGTTTTCCACATCGAACTGTTCGTTTACAGGAGGTTATCTAACTGTATTTATCATATTTCTATCTAACCTACGCAATTTTGATATGTCCCTACTATAAGCTCTAGTTCGTCTGTCAGTACACTAAAACCAAGTATGTCCTTCCTTGTTTTCGGATTACCTTAAATAGCAGGATAAATGCTGTTTCTGGAAATGGAAAGGCTGCATTTTGATGTGTATGATCGCTAGCTAGGAACGAAGCGATTTCCACAACATGAACGTCCGCGTAGAAATGGTATGTACACCAATCTGGGAACATTATCATCATTCACTAATCTGAAATAGGGCTATTTTGGGATGATTCCCATTACTAATCTTTAATCCAGTGAGGTCGCAGTGAGGTCGTTATAATTTACCCAGACCAATGCATCCAAAATTTGTGATGTTCGCAGGAAAGTTCTGGTAGGAATAGATAGAAATGGGTCAAGTTGATCTAGAAACAATACACAGATGTATGCAGAACGCGGGACATCCCAGTACTGCACCTCCAATTGACGATGATGTGTAGATATATTCACCTTTACCACCCAGTAAACTTGGGCTTTGCCACATGAGCTCCATTCAACATGCAGTGGTCACTGGGTGACCACCAGCAAATGTGAGATCTCATCTGCTGAAAGGGTCTCCTAGGCGCGAGCGCCCTCGGCCGCTGGATGCAAACGATGGGAGTCGTCATTAAAAGTCAAAACTTGTTAACGGGAGTAACTGTACACACAATGTACACACTATCCAAGATTTGAAAAGGACCTCAACTTGCTCTTAATTTGATTGTGTTGGTTGACAAATTTCATGAACTTCGACAAGTTCAAATTGTGTATTCAACATCGTTCGAATATTGTACCCTCAAGCGACCCCATCTCTTGCCGTTTCAATCCCTAAATTGTTACTTGTTTCTCCTCGTATTGGCAATAATTTCCATGCTGGTCCTTTTCTGTTGGTCAATTTCCGGCGAAAAAAATTGTTACCACGCCGGTTTCTGTATACTGTGTAGACATTTCTGGTGGCTAATCTCTAATCTATACAATCAAATGTGATTCTCTACATCGTGTCTATATTAGCTTAATCCCAGTTGCAGAGGTGCTTTCCCCATTTGCGAGTTGGTTCATCTTCGTTGTCATTGGTCATTTTCCGATACGAGAACTGATCACCCCTCGATGTCATTGGTTGCATTTCTTTCTTCGGTTCGGTGCACCTATCTGGCCGCGGCTTCAAAAGACGGGCCCCCAAAATGGATGATTGTATAAGTACAAGCCCTGACCGATTGCATAAGTCCTTGACGGCCCAAGCCAAGTGCGAATCATAGCAAGCTCATGGCAATTTTAACATGTTGGTTTGCCCACCATTCATCCGTTACGAAAAAATAGTACTGAGGTTTATATGCTCAGCTTCATGGTCAGTTTGCAGGTTGACGAACCTTCCACAGCAATTTGTCGAGTATCTTGCATGAGTTTGTCAGTACAAGTAAAGAATCAGAAACTCAATTTCCGAATCTATGAATCTGAATGGTTGTGAATGGTTGCAAGTTGGGTTACCCTCTATTTTTGGACAAACCCACATGTTTTTCTTTGCAGGAGAATAAGCCATTGAATTGAAACTCACTAACATGTTTACGGTAACCCATTTCGCAGATAAAGGTTCCATCACATGCCTTCGACAAAAACAAACAAAGAAACCAAATGTTCAGATAGCTTGTATATTAGGATCCAATTTTCATTGTATTACTTTACTGGTTATACCTCCATTCATCCCCATTAAATCCCATGAAATACAATTCTAAATCCCGTGAAACACAATTATAAACCCCATGAAATCCCATTATGAATGCCATGAACTCCTCTCATCATATCTTCGCTTTTGAATCGGGGTTGCTCCAAAGACCCAGCTACAAAAAGGGGTAAATTCTCCCAACAATGGCTACCATTTATCTATATTCACCCAGTATGGTTGAAACATGCCATCAACCATTTACCATTACACACCATTGCTGTAACATCCATTACCCTCCAGGAAATCAACATAGACCCTGGCAAATACTGCAGGGTTTGAAAGATTAGTTTCCACTAAAACTTGGTTATGTTTGAATTTCAGGGTTAACCATTCACCTATGACTTAACCATTTCATGGTCAATCTTTGATATTCCACACAAAAATCATCTCTTGATGGTGATTTTTTGGATTTTCCATTAGCAAAAAACTCAAGGATTCAACCATCAACCATCCAAGGTTGGGGATGACTAATCATTTAACATCATTTAACATCATTTCACATTATTTATCCATTATTTATCCATTAACCATCCATTAACCATCCATGAACCATCCATTAACCATCCATCGTTGGAGCTGCCTCGCCCTGTCTCCTCCACTCCAAAGGTAATGGACTCGCGGATGCCGTCGATGATGGCGCGCCGTTGCCTTGCCTCGGTTTTGTTTGACGGACGCCAACGGCTTGGGTGAAACATCGTGAATCTTAGATTTGAGCTGGTTAGTGTATTTTGCTATTGATACCAAAAGATTACAGTACTATGTAAAGTATCTAATCAAGGTTGACCCAGGAAAATAGGGAACATAGGAGTTTTTCTTGATTTAATGAGCAATGTTGAAGTTTCAATGGGTTGATGTGAAGGAGGAAAAAAACAACACATATCAGGCAGGGGTAAATCAGGGATATTTCATGGGCTCACGTAATCAACAAATCTAGGTTTGAGATGGTGTTAGATAATGATTCAATGGAGAGAAATATGATGGGAATACGGGAATACACTGGGGACAACATGGACATATAGTGGGATCAAAATAACCAGGAAACCATCTGAGGTTTCAATGGACTGATTTCAATGAAATAAATACAACAATCCATGAATTTAAACCCCAATTCAAAACATGTGGGGATTTCCTGCATCTACCTCCAATTGTCGGACCGTGGGACATGCAGTACAAGTAGCTATATAACCTTCTGGCCGAGACCAAAAAAAACATAAGGTAGGATATTACATATTCCTCGACGTACCAGAAATAACACCTTCAAGCTATGCCAACTCTGATTCACCAAGGCTTTCTTAGATACAGGAGGATGCTATCACATGACATGTGCCATGGTGTGCCATGGTCAAGGTACATGGGATTAATGATGATTAATGTAGTATGGTCATCGATCCCATAATGGGCATGCTTGAAGTGTTTCTGTGTTTCTCTATGTTTCCATAATTAAATCTCAAGTACAGGCCATGCACAAATAATGGTCATTTACCAAGTTTTGAGCACGGCATATGTGACATTTAACCAAGGATGTATAATGAGTTATCCTCCAGTAAAACTAACACAACCATCGACATCACAATTATTAATATGTAAATCATGTATAGACGGAACATTTTCTGTAGTTATGTTACTTTGCCAAAGGGTATACGACAACAACCACTAACGGAGGTACACCAAAGTGTGGTTGATTCCACTTTAAAGATGTGCTGATGTGCTGTTAATACCCCATCAAGGCCGCTTGCAACGTATTTCTATTGGGATAACGATCCACAACTGTGATTCTGACGGTGGCTGTTGCCTATGAAATAACAAAGTGACGTTTCGGGTGTATAAACAAACATCAGCAATACACAACGAGGGATTACAACTCAACCGGATTGCATTTTAGCCAATTGTAATTTCAGGATATGTAATCCAATGAATTAACAATCATCCTAATGATCATAGCTTCAGCAGTGCTTCAGCCACTTTCCTGAGCATGATTTAAGCTTTCCCGTCGCTGGGAGAACCACTCAAAAAACATCCCCTGCTTTAAACCCAGGGAACTGGGTAGTAACCCTGCTGTTTGTCAGTTCCCTAAGTGGCTTATACCAATCTCTAAGTGGGTTATAACATGTTATGTATATAAATGGCTTATTATGACAATCTATAAATGCCAGTCACAACTATGGTAGGTGGCTTATACCAATCTCTGAGAATCTCTAAATGGGCTTTACCAATCTTTAAATGGTACATAGCAGGTTATTAGTATGAATGGCTAAACAAAAACTATACCAATCTATAAATGTAAGTTGGTGTAACTTACCAACCACATATATATATATAGTATATATTATATATATAATATATATATATATATTAATATTAAAATACATTATATTATATATACGTATATTGGCAGTATAGTGATCCACAATCATGATTGTATTCTATAAATGTAAATTTGAACACTAACCCATCTGTAGTAAAAAACAATGGTATATCCATAGTGATTAAACACATACTAAAACCAAAAATTACAACCACGTGTTTTGTTTTTTCTGCAATTGTATCTATGGTTTGATCACAAAATATGTGTGGGAAGTAACCAAAACTCATCAATACCCATCTAAGTTATGTAAGTTATAACATCTTATACCTTATAATTATAAGCATAGCCTAGTGATTAAACCAATACTACAACCATAGTATATTCATAGTATAGTGATTAAATTCATAGTATAACCCATGTCAAAAAAACATCACTAATAGTATAATCTAACCACATATGTATATATATATATACATATTTATATACATATACGTATGTATATGCATACATACTAATATGTATATATATATATATACATACATATACATACATACACGTATATATATATATATATATGTATGTATGTACGTATATATATATAAATACGGCGAAGAACACATTCAAACCATTATAACTATAACCATAAAACTCTAACAATAATTTACCATAATCTACCCATGGAGCGATTGGATCTATGGTTTCAAAGTGTTTCAACACCGCCAAACACCAGCGAGTCGCAATCCCTTCGCCCTGCAACTGCTTGGCATCTGCCGCCGCCTCGGCAGCCTCTGCCGAACGCGAACGAACGGGGAACAAACGTGAAAGATGGGATGATTATCGGAAGATCATGGGACAAATCACGAGATTTGATGGAAAAGCATGGGACTTGATATTACCCTCCAATAACTTGTAAGTTAAGGTAGCTATGGAACATGGAGTATCTAAAGATTATTTACCTGTTTATTATAGCTATGTGAAATTGCGAGAGGGTACGTTGAGATATCATGGATATCATGGGAATATAATGGGATGTACGTCGGGATATACATGGATGTAGTACCAACAATGACAACAATGATATGGGTTCCTCCAAGAATGAATACTTGGATACACTCGGATACTGTAAAATGGTCCCACCCTATTTTCAGACAAATCCATGTGGTGAATCAAAGGTATATCGTGGGGGGATCAGCCAAGCAAAAACCGAGCCGTGGTTCATCAAAATCTGATGGAGAGTCGTTGAGACCCATAACGTGTGGGAGTTTTTAGGGGTAGAGGGTTCACCAACAAAATGGGGATACCATTATCATGTCAACAATCAGTGATTGGTGTTTTCAACGGCTCTAAAAAAACAATATGCAGTGGAATGGTTGAAGATAAGAATAGTTGAAACTGCTAACCAGACTTTTACGTGGTAGCATTTACGCACTGTAAGAAGAATGGGGAACATGCTGACTCACCAGTGGATTTTTTTGGGGTCCTAGGACACATGTGAACCTGGTAGGCATCCCCGGAACAGGCGTAACTGCCCTCTAGCAGTCTGGCAAGGGAACATGCTTGGCTCACGAGAAAAAATACAGCAAACACCTATAGGATAAAACTCTATAGTTTACTGCAGCTTGTCCCTTAAACGCAATGAGGGTGGCTACCTTCCTGCCATCCTAAGCTTTAACAAAACTCAGGGCCGCTGCGCCTTGACAGTTCGGACCTGTTCCCCTTCGGACTGCATCTGTTGTGCATCACCTTGGGTGGGTGACGCACTTTAAACAACGATGAAACGATAAAATAAGAAATCATGATGGTGATGGTGATGGTGGTGATGATGATGATGATGCTGCTGCTCCTGATGATGATCATGATGATACTGCCGCCGCTGATGATGATGATGATGATGATGGCGACGATGATTGATGTATGTGTTATGTATAGTTTATTGTTACATGTATATTATACATGCGTTGTGTATGTTTGCTACATGTATCTTATGAGTATTGTTATATGTATGCTATACGTACGTTATATATAATTATATATGTAATCTATGTATGCTACATGTATATTCTATGTATGTTAAGTCCTATCTTCACTGGATATGAACTATACGTAGATACTATAAAGCTCGCTCCCACGAGCTTTGGAACATGATCGAAACCGCCAGCGCCTGCGTCATCGAGTGGGGAAAAAAAGAAGATCTCGACAGTTGGATTAACCATGGCATTAGTGAAGAATAAAACATCAAGATTTCATATAGTAGATACATATTACTGCAACCAAGCCTTGTTTTGTTGCGACCGCAACAACACTCAGCAACAAATCTGTGGCAATCGATCCTGGCACTGGGAAATCTTTGGCGGTCATGGAGTTGCTGGGAAATTCCATGAACTATACTGAAAAAACGTGCATGGCGGCAAGCCCAAACATATCTGATCATATCCAGTTCTATTCCCGGATATGATCCATATCCGAAGATACTGTACGTATATGACGGTTTGTCAAAATGTATGTTCCCGGTTTTGTTGATAAATCGCAATTCCATGCGTGCCGCCTCATGTTTGCCTTTAAAAAACATGACCTACCTTGATGACGTGAAAACGTGGAAATTCTTCATTATCTTTGGAAATCTTTCTAAAACCACAGGAATCGGCTAACGCACGTCGGTTTTCATTCGCTGTCGCTGGTACTATCTCCTGAACTGTGTGTCTCTGTGTGTGTGCCTCTCTGAATGCAATATGCTTCTTGAGATGCCTCCTTACTGTAAGCTACCAAAGCGTGAACACGGCTGTGCCTCTGAATGGGCTGCGGGTGGACCGGGGCATGTATTTGCAATTTTCGCTAGCGCGTTGCTAGCGGCGATCTAGCGCGTAAAATACGTAAAAAAAAATCGAAAAGGTGGGAATATGTGGAAACTGACAGACTTGTAAGAAAAGCTGGCAAGACATTCACGACATGGAGGCCATGGCTGTCAATCAAACCTAGCGCAAACCTAGCGGGTTTGCTAGCGCTGCCTTGCAGAATTGCTGAATTTAGCTGCGTGCCGCCTCATAACGAAGAGGAAAAAACAGTAGACCCAGATGAATTATCAACAACCAATACTAAACTTCTAAACAACTATTTTTGAGAAATGGTCATATATAATAGTATATATCATTATATATATAACTATATATATACATCATTATATATATATACAACTATATAGTTATATTTATATATTTACATATCTATAGTGCCACCAACAATAGCACATGATGATATAGATACAATAATAGAATCACATATCCCATTATATATAGATCAAAAGCTTTTCTACAATATTTGGGGAGATGAACATCCATAACTATCAGCTATATTGCTGCGAATCGACGAGGAAAGGGGCTTGACACATTGTCATCTAGTGGCAAATGGTGTATATATATATATGTATACACATATCCATGTCATTACATTGTGTTGTCCCATCGTATGATAAAAACCATATTGTCTACACACGTATGTATATCTTTACATATACATACATGTACATAATATGCATATGCATATACTTGGATTTCCTTAAGGAACCACTCCCCCCAAAAACAATTCCCCAAGTACGAGTAGTCGATTTACACCAACTGGGAAGATAGACTAACATACCAAATAAATCATAATAAATCAAAATAAGTGAAATCATCTTCAGCAAATCAAGGTGTATTTAAACGTAGAATGCATATCCCGCGTCACAGCCAGGACACGCAGCCGACGTTGCTTGGTGATCTCCTTTGAGATGGCGCAAACGAAGCTATCGCACTGTGAAAGTAGGGTCACCCCCAAGCGATGTGAAAACATAGCAACACATATGGTAAAACATGGTAAAACCCTACGAGAATTTTAGAAATACATGGCGAGGTCAACCTTGTGGATCTTTTTGGGTGCTTTAACTGATACAAACATCACATAGATTTACTGAACAGATCTTTGTCACAGGGATTTTAAAGGGAACATTTACAAGAATTCATTCATCACCAAGAATTACCGGAAGTGCCTCGTTAATATCATGGGTTTCAGTACATTGAACAAATTCAGTTTTGTCGTAATTTGCATTATGATTTCAGTGGAATCCACTTCCCGCTTAAAATAGGACAGCAAAGAGGTTGACAATGTTCAGTTTTACTGTAGAATGTGTTTTCGAGGCTTGCAGGGTAGATTTAACATAAATTCAATGACTCGTGGCTGAGAGCTTGATTCAAGTGTTTCTTAGCTTGCATTTGCATCATGCACAGGTTGATCTCTACTTTTTTCTGCGGATTTCACATATTAGCTCACCCCTCCCAGGTTTGTGTAAGCAAACCAATCCCCTTTGAAGATCTTCAAGATAGGTTGTCAGCTTGGCTGGTGGCATCCTGTTCTTCATGCTTTTCAGACCCCGGACACATTCAAAACATTGCAGGACAAAAGTCACAAACAGTGGGATGCCAACTATACACATATACCGTTCATATACCTTATACACCCTTATACCTCGGCCCTGGGCCTAGTTTGAACATGTTTGCCATTGCCTTGCCACACCTGGCGAATATCAAGGTTCGTTCATGGATTTCACCACGCTGGCATCGGGCTCGACATTCACCACCAAAGCCTGGCTCTTCCGGCTCGGCCACCATTGGTCAAATATCAAGATGGATTGGAATCTAAGAGTGCCAGCTCCCAGCCGCAATCCAAGCAATCCAAGAGTAGTCCAAGAGTCATCCAAGAGTAATGCAAAAAATCTAAGTCATCTAAGCCATCTAAGTCACCATTCCCCGCCTTGGTGATCTCCAGCCCATATTGGATCATGACATCTTTCAGCTTCTCCCTGGCCCAAGATGCCCAAGCTGACGGCGGTTCTTACTTTTGCTATCAATTTGGGGCTGTCACATGTTACGATTAATGGTGATTTAATGGTGATTAAAACAATTTATGGTGATTTAATTGTGATTGAATGGTGATTTGTACTTCTATCTGTCTTTGGTCTGGTTGATTCCCGCAATTTGCCTGTGGCAAATCACCCAGTTCGACACAGCAATTCGTGTCCGGAGAATCTCACATTGTAAGACCCGCTTTAAAAGTTGATTTGGAACCAATTTTCATGGTTTCCCATCATATACCCATAATATACCCATCATTTGAATGGGTCGTTTGAGGTCGATTTTTTCTGCTGACGCTGATTTTCGGCCGTGGCACTCTACAGCCGCGGAGATCTCGTCCTTCTTTTCGAAGCATTCCTGGATGGCGGGAAACCATGGAGTTTTCCACATTGTTTTGTTGGTTTACCCTAGGCCACAGGCTAACTTGCTTTTTAAGATGTTTTAACCAGGTCAACCATGGTCTATGGATGTTTATCGTATATCATTTACAACGGGTACAGTAGGGGCCCATTGCTTTCAAGCACTGCCGCAGCTATTTAGATGGTCCAGTGGCTTCTGAAACACCTAAGAAATGAAGAAAAAGAATCAATCAGCAAATACTCCCAAACATGTATGCATTAATTTTATGGTTGTATTTATGTTGGGGTTGACTTTTTGAACCAGTACTCACCAAAGCTTAAATTGGGCTGATAATTACTGACAATGTTTAAATATATGGTGAATGAACATCTGAAAAATCCATGGTTCAACGGGTGAATGAAGCAGTAGTCAAAACTCTCATCCCTTTGTCCTAGCAACTGAAAGATGCAATCCCTACAATGACCAATCAACAAAAGGATTGCAAGGATTTTGGTCACTGCTGGCCCAGTTTCATCCAACGTGAGGCTGGGCACAAAGGACCTCACCACATCTGACCTCAGGTCGCGAGGGACCATGAATTTTTTCGGCGATGACGAGGGTTCTTAAGTCACGGGGGGGCCCCCAAATCAAATCACCATGGTCGTTTCAATACTAAGTCATGGTGCAGCCTCGATATGATTTGGGGATCTACCCTTGAGATGATTTGGGGATAGCCTCATTTTAGGAAACCTCCATACTAGATGTTCATCCACCGGGTCATATGCTGCAGCTTTTCACCCATACCGATAGGATGCAACCAGTCAAGGAGAAATGCAGCTTTTGACCATAGGCAGAACAAACAGGGATGTACCAATGTACCAACAAACAGTATTGACAAAGCTTCATCCCAGAGACCGAGGTACACATAGGAATCCAGCTGCTCGCTGATGTCATTCAATTTGTACAAAGCCTGTCAGAGCCGAGGTTACCACCAACTTCCCCATGAAGAAAAAACACAACAAAAAAGTGAGATATACTAGGCAAATAACAATACCTATGGCAAATACGTTCCCAATATGTTCCAATAATTTGCTTCATAATCTTGCATCTAAATTAAACATATCTAAAGTAACTGCCCAATTATCAACAACCACATTCTGGATGTTGGCAAAAAATGTGAGATAAATTTGCTGACTCGCCTTGGTCCAAGTAAACCCCAAACCGTTTGGGGTTTAACCATGGTTTGAGGTCCTTATGAAAGAAGACTTGATATGTTTTGCCCCAGATTTCAAAATATGATCCAATTGTTTAGCTCCGTTCATTTAGGTCAACTTAAAGACAAAGCAATTTGCAGGTCCATAAAGTTTCAAGTCTTTTGCTCAAACATGGAGCCAGTAAAGGACTCTGTGTAAAATTGATAACCAATGATTGGTCTCATGGGTATATGTCTGGTTCAATGACTGCATAGCAAATGGTATAGTACCAATTGAAGCGTGCCTGATTATTTTTCTCTGCAAGGAAATTGCTGACTTTGAGCATCTATGAATTCTGATCACAACTGTCCCCATTACACGACTGGTTAAATGCTTCCCATCTATCTATCCAGCCTATCCACTCTCTATATACAAATAGAATCAGATGGATAGTAGATATCCAAATCTATCTAACATAGACCCGGGCAAGCCGGCGGCGGAAGTTTCCCAAACATAAATGACCTATAGTTCGACGCCAGCCTGTCCCGACCGTGTCCTTCCCTCGACAAGCGGCTTTTTTTTTCAGCGAGAGACGAAGCAAAGTCTTCACACTCCACACTTCGCACTCCACACTTCACACTGCACTCTTCGCACTCGAAACTTCACACTTCACACTCCACACTTCGCACTCCGCACTTCACACTTCTCACTTCTCGCTGCTGCCTTCACACTCCAAACCTCACACTTCACACTTCACACTGCGCTCTTCGCACTCCAAACTTAAACTTCACACTCCACACTTCACACTCCACACTTCACACTTCACAGTTCACACTTCTCACTTCCCACTGCTTCCTTCTCACTTCGCACTTCACACTCCACACTTCACAGTCCACACTTCACATCCACACTTCACACTCCACACTTCTCACTTCTCACTGCTTCCTTCACACTCCAAACTTCACACTTCACACTTCTCCCTTCGCACTTCACACTTCACAGTCCACACTTCACACTTCACACTGCTTCCTTCACACTCCAAACTTCACTCTTCTCACTTCGCACTTCACACTCCACACTTCACACGTCTCACTTCTCACTGCTGCCATCACACTGCAAACCTCACACGTCACACTTCAAACTCACTCTTCGCACTCCAAACTTAAACTTCACACTCCACACTCCACACTTCACACTTCCCACTGCTTCCTTCACACTGTACACTTCACACTGCACTCTTCACACTCCACACTGCACTCTTTGCACTCCAAACTTCACACTCCACACTTCACAGGCCACACTTCAAACTCCTCACTTCTCACTGCTTCCTTGACACTCCAAACATCACACTTCACACTTCACACTGCACTCTTCACGCTCCACACTTCACACTGCACTCGTCACACTCCACAGTTCATCTCATCTGAGCTCTTCTCACCTTATCCCAGCTCATCTCTTCTCATCTCGTCCCTTCTCATATGTCATCTATTAAGCTTTCATTAATCAATTCCCAGCACTACTACTAATCACTGTCGCAGCCTTCATGCAGCCACTCCAATACGATTTACGAAGTCCAGCTGCAAAAGACAATAGTATTACGCATGCAGCCGTGGCAAGAAGCAACCTTGACGCAGCCATTACTATGCGATCTGCAGAGACTGAGTTGCAAAACACAATAGAACTACGCGCAACTGGGTCGGAAATTGCAGCTCCAAAACCGGGATCTCGACGCCAGAGCGAAAAAAAGACGATTTTGAAGCACTTTTTAAAAGGATTTTTAGAAGGAAAATCACTGGCGCCAAAATGGAGAAAATCTGCTAACAAATCACTGTCGCAGCCTTCATGCAGCCACTCCAATACGATTTACGAAGTCCAGCTGCAAAAGACAATAGTATTACGCATGCAGCCGTGGCAAGAAGCAACCTTGACGCAGCCATTACTATGCGATCTGCAGAGACTGAGTTGCAAAACACAATAGAACTACGCGCAACTGGGTCGGAAATTGCGGCTCCAAAACCGGATCTCGACGCCAGAGCGAAAAAAAAGACGATTTTGAAGCAATTTTTAAAAGGATTTTTAAAAAGAAAATCGCTGGCGCCAAAATGGAGAAAATCTGCTAACAAATCATTGTCGCAGCCTTCATGCAGCCACTCCAATACGATTTACGAAGTCCAGCTGCAAAAGACAATAGTATTACGCATGCAGCCAAAAGAGGAAGCAACACTTGCAATCCCATTTACACTGCGGGAACGATCCTACAGTTGCAAAGCACAATGGAATTCCATCGGCAACTCATCCACCAGCACCACTTGCAATGCCATTTACAGTGAGGGAACGATCCTACACTTCCAAATCACAATGGAATTCCATCGGCAACTCATCCACCAGCACCACTTGCAATCCCATTTACATTGCGGGAACGATCCTACAGTTGCAAATCACAATGGAATTCTGTCGACCGCACATGCACGAAAAACAGGTGAAACCCATTTACAATGCGGAACCGATCCGAGCATGATCCGCCCATGATCCGAGCATGATCCGACCACACACGAGACCGTCTCGCACCCGTCGCACCGCAGAGGTAGATCATCGAGGTTCGGGGACGGACTTTGTATGGAAAAACATAGGTTTTCGTGCATCTGCTATCTCTCAAAAACGCATTTCGTGCGAGACTTCCTCCAAAACTCCATCGGCAACTCCTCCACCAGCACCACTTGCAATCCCATTTACAGTGAGGGAACGATCCTAGAGTTGCAAATCCCAATGGAATTCCATCGGCAACTCATCCACCAGCACCACTTGCAATCCCATTTACATTGCGGGAACGATCCTACAGTTGCAAATCACAATGGAATTCTGTCGACCGCACATGCACGAAAAACAGTTGAAACCCCATTTTACAATGCGGAACCGATCCGAGAATGATCCGAGAATATCCGAGAATGATCCGACCACACACGAGACCGTCTCGCACCCGTCGCACCGCAGAGGTAGATCATCGACGTTCGGGGACGGACTTTGTATGGAAAAACATAGGCTTTCGTGCATCTGCTATCTCTCAAAAACGCATTTCGTGCGAGACTTCCTTCAAAACTCCATCGGCAACTCATCCACCAGAACCACTTGCAATCCCATTTACAGTGAGGGAACAATTTCTTTGCTAACTCTTTCTGTGACTAACTCTTTTCCTCACTAACTCTTTCTTTGACTAACTTGTTTCTTTGCTAACTCTTTCTTTGACTACCTCATATATCCTGACTAACTCTTTCTTTGACTACCTGGACCGTCCTGACTAACTCTTTCTTTGACTAACTCTTTCCCTCACTAACTCTTTCTTTGACTAACTCTTTCCCTGACTAACTGTTTCTTTGCTAAAAATCTTCCGGACTACTGGTTCTTTGACTAACTCTTTCTTTGACTAACTCTTTCCCTGACTAACTGTTTCTTTGCTAACTCTTTCTTTGACTAACTCTTTCCCTCACTAACTCTTTCTTTGACTAACTTGTTTCTTTGCTAACTCTTTCTTGACTAACTCTTCCTCTTTGACTAACTCTTTCTTTGACTAATCTTTCCCTCACTAACTCTTTCTTTAACTAACTCTTTCCCTCACTAACTCTTTCTTTGACTAACTCTTTCCCTGACTAACTAACTCTTTCTTTGACTAACTCTTTCTTTGACTAACTCTTTCCCTGAACTCTTTCTTTGCTAACTCTTTCTTTGACTCTTTCCCTGACTATCTTTCTTTGACTAACTCTTTCCCTGACTAACTCTTTCTTTGACTAACTCTTTCCCTGACTAACTGTTTCTTTGACTAACTCTTTCTTTGACTAACTCTTTCCCTCACTAACTCTTTCTTTGACTAACTCTTTCCCTGACGAACTCTTTCTTTGCTAACTCTTTCTTTGACTAACTCTTTCCCTGACATTCTAAAAGTCCGTAACACGGAAGTTTCTCCCCCTAAACTTCCTTTGACTAGATAGATATCTATATAGATGGTATATCTATGTATATCCAGCCTATACTGCCGGCCCGTCAAGGCACGGCTTCCGCCGATTTGGCGCTGATCGTGTGCTGCACGGCCACGTGAACGAAGACGAAGACGTTGTCCTACGGCAAGGAAGAAGTCACCAGTAAGCTATCGGAAGAAACTAGGTATCTGTATAGTGTATATTTCTAGTATATATATATATATATAATTATAATCACATATATATATATAAATACAGAGTACAAATTTAGTATAGAATAACATATATATATATTTATATATATTATATCGTGTATATTATGTGTATGTATATATGGTGCTTAAATACTTAGTATATGCAGTGTGTATGTATCTTTCCATATCTGTGTATAAAGACTGGTCAAGTCAGGTACTTTGAGGTCACCAATCAAAGATGGTTGGGAAATTTTTTACATATGTATATATATATATATATTATAGATAACATGGGGATATCTATCATATATCCACTGAATAACTGATTGGTGATTGAGCCTCTGAAATCATCTGGGCCTTCATCGGCGTTCGGACAGGCGGCTAAACTGTTCGGTGGTTTCTGTGCATCAAAAATCAGACATCTGAAGCTGAGTCATCTAAGCACTCAACAGAGAACTGGTTGAACAAACTATATGTAAATATGGGACTGATCTGTACATACAATGTAACACCATAGGATAAATATATGTATTATATAAATATGTCAGTGATACATACGTTCCTTTTGGTTGAAAAGAGGCAAAACCCATCCCTTGAACAAACTTCTTTTCTGTTGGTCATTGGAAGTAGCCTCAATGACCATGGCTGTCTCCCCAGGGCCGGATCTGGATTGCATTGGACCATGAATCCCATCCCCCTACGTCCACCATGCTGTCTGGACCGATGACTTTCAGGGAGAAGGCACCACATTTCACAAAGTCGCTGAAGTGAAGACACGCCCCGTTGAATGATAGATATACCGATTTGACCCACCATGTGAATCCCGCTGTTTGCATGTTTCATCCTCATGCTTATTACCATATCTGTGTCTAGAATATCTGCATTTTTTCCACAAGAAATGGTAGGTAATGCAGATTTCTGGTAATGTTTGGGGGGTACATGGCCCATCTTTTGGCTCCGTCGTCTTGGTGGAGATTCGTACAAAGCTCCTTGGAGCAACAATCGGTCAGAATTTTAGATCGACTCCAAGGGGATTGCACATTGGGATAAACCTATGGATCATCAGCAATAAAATCAGAGATTCTCATGAGAATAACATTGAGACATTGATCGCAAGAAATGATTATTGATGAGTATGGAGTGTGTAATGAACTTGGGTGCTGCAGGTTTTTGACTCTATTTACCAATCAATCAGTTACGTAAGAATGGGCCAAACTATTTGGATAATACACATAGATCCGGTAAAGGACTCAAGATCACCCAAATGTGTCGCTTCAAGCCATGGGTTTTGTCTATATTTCTTCTTACCAAAAAAATGCCATGTTTGATAAGGAATAACCACAAGTTTGGGGAAAGGAACACCAGTTGTTGCGTGACTAGCTGGGAGGTCCAGACCATTTGGACGTGTCTAAAGACTGCGAGGCTGTCGAGACGTCGAAACAAAAAAAACGGAGAACACCGGATTTCTGGGGACTCATTTTTCCTCCACAAAAGTTGGGGGAAAAACTGATTACATATTTGGGATTCGCGTGTCCCAGGAGTCCCAGGGTTTTGATTAGGAGATTGGGAGCAATTTCAATCCCTCCAGGGAAATTCCGGTCCAACTCCTCCGAAGAAAGTGGAAGTCACATCTGCCGGGAGATTTGGAGTTGTTGGACCGGAATGGTTTTTGGTGAACTAAGCATCCTCATCGGTACCTCAATGTTGGACAAATCATCACAGGCAGAGACTTGCGCCATGTGAAAATTGCTGAGACATAATTTCGGAGGTTCCCATGACAAGTTGTTTAATCAATTAAACAGAAACTTGTTCTTCCCAATCATTATGGTTGGGAATAAGTATGATTCCCAGCATTTCACTGTCGGGTATCTTTTTGCCTTTTTACATGTAATACTCAATGAGAATATAATATGAATATGTATAATGTCTATATATATATATACACACGTAGATAATGATATGTACATGTATAAGTAAATAAATATATATATATATATATGTATGTTGTGGATAAACCACAATAATTGACCAACCTGGAACAAATACCCATTTTGGGGATTCCCCCAACTGCTCTTTCATGACCTGAGAAAAATCACTCTCCGCGTCCCCCTCCGAGCAGCTGAATTACTCGGCTGCTCACTGACCGAAAGTTGACCTAAAGGAGAGGGTTGTTGGTCACCTTTCTGGGCGATCACCTTAGATACCCCTAAGTCTTATGTAACAGGATATTCACTGGTTCTAATGTGCATTATTATATTTTAAATGAGTTCTTAATAAGACCATAGTGAAGTTGTTTTGTTCTAATTATTGGACTCAATACACGATACTATATGTACACATACATCAATAGATATGACTAACCATATGAATTGGTTCTGTGTTTAGGTTGACAAGTTCCCAAAGAAAAAAAGGTCCCATTCACCAAGATTACCCAGCGAATTCTGGGGGCTCCTGGGTGTGTCTGTGTGTGGCTTTGACCATCAATTCCAGTTCAGTGAATTTGGACCCATATATAGATAGATAGATAGATATATATATATAGTTGCATGCATATGCAAACACATATTCATCTTTATCTGTGGCCCCAATTGAGAAGCCATCTGAGTGAACATGGGCAACAAGCAATCTCCACACATCCACTAGCCTAAGCGTACACCCAATATGGATTTGTCAGGCAATAGGGTAGCACTAAATGCACGGGTTAATCATTATTTCTTCATTGAATGGCAATGTATTGGGGACAAATCCACCATTTTTAGACACACGCAAATCATAGCTCATATGTTTCATTTGTATCCATTCAGTACACGTGCTAATTCTGCCCATGATATTTCCCATTATTGGAACCTATTTCTTCTTAAGCGTTCTTAAGTTGATTGTACACATCCCCATTGTATCCATCGAATTTCTCATTATAGTCTTAGATAGTCATAGATAGTCATTATAGTCTTAGATGGTCCCACTACATCATAGATAGTCTTAGATGAGATAGTCATAGATAGTCATAGATAGCCCATTTGTTTTTTTTTGATGCCCATTGATGTGTACCTCAGTCCCCCAGATCGCGTCAGCCCGGGTGACACAAGCGCCACAGAGGTCCAGTCCGGCCCAGCGTAATCCTGCCAACAAGGACGTTGCGAAGGGAAACTCAAGCAAACTCAAGCAGGGAATATACATAAATATGCGATATATATATATATATATATATGTATATTATATACTGTATATATATATATATTTCTAGACTCTCAACTTGAGGACTTACTAACTTGAGTTCTTAACCACTTAAGTGGGATGATCCTCCAAGTAATACCTTCAAAATCATGAAACCTCCGAACCTCGTGTTGCGAAGAAACAGGTCGTCACAGATTCGCTTGACTGGTGGTTTCAACCCAGCTGCAGGGTCGATATTATGGAATCATGATCGGGTGGATCACCAAAAAATATCCAAAACCACCAGCCACTTCACTCAACCAAGCTTTGATGGCGTATCTATCTCCATCAGCTGGATTGAAAAATCACATGTCCAAGTTAATGTTTTATTGCATAGACATAGCATGTCAAATCAACATAGAAAGATATAAATAAATAAATGAATAAATAAATACATAAATAAATAAATAAATATATATATATACATGCTGAGGATGAGGCCGAAAATCGAATTCAAAAAAAGCTTGGAATCGAATTTAAAAAAGGATTAAATTTGAATTTAATTCCTACGTGTCTGGTCTTCATCGACCTTAAAAAAGGATTAAATTCGAATTTAATTCCTACGTGTCTGCTCTTCATCTGACCTTCAAGAAGGAATTAAATTCAAATTTAATTCCTGTCATGGACGGATTTTGACGGGAATTTCAGACATGGAAATCTTGAGAAGAAGGCTGTCACACTTCTGTGCGTGTCATCCTTGCGGGTCCATGGAAATCTTTGCAAGGCGCATCAAACTCACACGGGCGACTAAGGAGAACTTACGGCTTAAAATTCTGGAGGTGAAGGGGGCATCTTGTGTCGGGGACCCCTGCAATAGTATTAAGGGGGCCTCACCTGGCCTCGCCAGCCTCGCCCCGAACAAGCCAGTGGCAAAAGCCATCATGCTCACATCTTGGCAGCATCTGGCCAAATTACTTTAATTCTTACCTCGTCTCCCTCGTGTCTTAATTTGTTCCCCATGATTACTGTCCTCGTTCGTTAATTTGCAGGTGCAAATTAAGGCTTTACCTCGTTAATTCGAAGGAAGAAAGTAGCTTGTGGGCCTTCTTTCCAGGGTCCAACCCCAAGGAAAAAAACTTTTCAGCTTCCGAAAAGTTTTTTTCCACGATCCACGGTCTCTTGCAGGGATTTTTAAATCTGAGTCTGATCGGTCTTTGCGCTTCTTGCGCTTGGGTGGTGGCATCTCTGACATTATCGCAGAGATGCAATGCTCTTCTGGAGCAACTCTGAATCCTACTGCTTCTGCAGCCGTCAACCCACGAAGCGGGCCTCTGGCGATAGAAAATAAAACTTTTTGGGGCCTGAAAAGTTTTTTTCCCTTCCTTGCCTGCTGACCGGCCTCTGGCGATAGAAAATAAAACTTTTTGGGGCCTGAAAAGTTTTTTTTCCTTCCTTGCCTGCTGACCGGCCTCTGGCGATAGAAAATAAAACTTTTTGGGGCCTGAAAAGTTGTTTTTCTTTCCTTGCCTGCTGACCGGCCTCTGGCGATAGAAAATAAAACTTTTTGGGGCCTGAAGAGTTTTTTTTCCCTCCTTGCCTGCTGACCGGCCTCTAGCGATAGAAAATAAAACTTTTTGGGGCCTGAAAAGTTTTTTTTCCCTTCCTTGCCTGCTGACCGGCCTCTGGCGATAGAAAATAAAACTTTTTGGGGCCTGAAAAGTTTTTTTTCCTTCTTGCCTGCTGACCGGCCTCTGGCGATAGAAAATAAAACTTTTTGGGGCCTGAAAAGTTGTTTTTCCTTCCTTGCCTGCTGACCGGCCTCTAACGATAGAAAATAAAACTTTTTGGGGCCTGAAAAGTTTTTTTTCCTTCCTTGCCTGCTGACCGGCCTCTGGCGATAGAAAATAAAACTTTTTGGGGCCTGAAAAGTTTTTTTTCCTTCCTTGCCTGCTGACCGGCCTCTGGCCCCCAAAAAAGTTTTTCTAGCCAAGCCCAAGCATGCAACAGAACCAATGCAGGGCTACCTCGTCGAGGTCGGCTTAATTCTGATGAGCAAATTAAGGGCTGACCTCGCTAATTCCTGCAACCTGCCTCGTTGCCTCGGCTGTCCTCACCAAAAAATATCCAAAACCACCAGCCACTTCACTCAACCAAGCTTTGATGGCGTATCTATCTCCATCAGCTGGATTGAAAAATCACATGTCCAAGTTAATGTTTTATTGCATAGACATAGCATGTCAAATCAACATAGAAAGATATAAATAAATAAATGAATAAATAAATACATAAATAAATAAATAAAGAAATATATATATATATACATGCTGAGGATGAGGCCGAAAATCGAATTCAAAAAAAGCTTGGAATCGAATTTAAAAAAGGATTAAATTTGAATTTAATTCCTACGTGTCTGGTCTTCATCGACCTTAAAAAAGGATTAAATTCGAATTTAATTCCTACGTGTCTGCTCTTCATCTGACCTTCAAGAAGGAATTAAATTCAAATTTAATTCCTGTCATGGACGGATTTTGACGGGAATTTCAGACATGGAAATCTTGAGAAGAAGGCTGTCACACTTCTGTGCGTGTCATCCTTGCGGGTCCATGGAAATCTTTGCAAGGCGCATCAAACTCACACGGGCGACTAAGGAGAACTTACAGCTTAAAATTCTGGAGGTGAAGGGGGCATCTTGTGTCGGGGACCCCTGCAATAGTATTAAGGGGGCCTCACCTGGCCTCGCCAGCCTCGCCCCGAACAAGCCAGTGGCAAAAGCCATCATGCTCACATCTTGGCAGCATCACATGGACAGTGTGGCCGAGCGGTCTAAGGCAGGACAGACAGGGAGGCAGGAACCCAGAGAGAGAGAGAGAGAGAGACAGCTGACAGCTGGCTAGCTAAGCAGACGGACCGACAGCAGACATCTCCTCATCTTCACATCCTCCCCAACCTAACATCTTACATATTCACATCCTGACATCTTCTCATCTTCACATCCTCACATAGACCTTCACATCTTCTCATCTTCACACTTCTCATCTTCACATCTTCTCATCTTCACACCTTCTAAGCTAGTATGAAGCAGCAGGCATGTTGAGGAGCGATCACGGTCCTGGAGAGACCAGAGATAGTGAGAACAACAATACTCTTCTCTGTGCGGGAGAAGGCCCGCAGGAAAACCTGATGCCCCGAGGAAGGGTCGAGCCCTCAAACCTTAGGTTAAGAGCCTTACACTCTGTCGACTGAGCTAGGCGGACCGTGTATGAAAGTGGTTGGTTACATTTACAACAAAAAGGTGTGACCCGAGGGGAACGACCCAAAAGGAAGCACTCGGTGGCTGGAAAACACTGAACGAGCCGATCGGACCCCTCGTGCGCTGCGGGAAGAGCGATCGCAGTCCTGGAGAGAAAAGAGACAGGGCGGGAGAGAGAGAGAGAGAGAGAGCCGAGCTTTGTCGGAACCTTCTCCGGCTATTTCCGGCGGGGATCCGGAAACTCGACCCGACAGACCGCGAAAAGTTCACAAAGCGGGCCCCCGGCCCTCTCAGACCTTCTGCGGAACCTTCTCCGGAAGCGAAGTACCAAGTTCCTCCACATATACTACGACCCGCGGGGGTCCGGAATTTGGAACCTTTCAGCCCCGAAAAGCTCAAAAAGCGGACCCCCGCAACAAAGCCTCGCAGACGTTCTGCGGAACCTTCTCCGGAACCAAAGTGAACCCCTGGAATCATCCACAGATACTACGACCCGCGGGGGCCCGGAATTTGGACCTTTCAGCCCCGAAAAACTCAAAAAGCGGACCCCCGCAACAAAGCCTCGCAGACGTTCTGCGGAACCTTCTCCGGAACCAAAGTGAACCCCTGGAATCATCCACAGATACTACGACCCGCGGGGGTCCGGAATTTGGACCTTTCAGCCCCGAAAAACTCAAAAAGCGGACCCCCGCAAGTAGACAAACAACCAGCCCCCAGAACACAAACATCAGCCAGCGCCTTGACAGGTCGTGGATGTCAGTGTGCTGTGCTGAATGTTCTTCTCTTTCAGCCACCGCTGCGCGCCTTGCCGCAGAGTCTCCTCGGCCAAGAACGCATCAGTGGCCACGTGAGACCATGGCTTGCGCCGCCGCCCCCGCCGATCCTCTTGAGCAGCCATCTGCCAGAAGATTGCATCTGAGAAAAAGCCATCTGCCAGAAGAATGACATCTGAGAAAAGGATTAAACTCGATTTTAATTCTTCTGATACATGCCCAGTAGGTTGGAAACTAGAGAAGAATTAAATTCAGATTTAATCCCAATTGAATTTGATTTCCAGTCCTATTTCATACAAATAATATCAAATAATGTATGTATATTTCTATATATATATATACATACACTGTATCTACATATACATTGTATACATATATACACATTGGTGATTGAATCCACACCCCACGCTATGTGTCGCTATGTTTGAGGCGAGCTCCTGGTCGCCCTCCACCGCGCTCCTGGCTCCAGAATCTCCTGAAATTTGCCGAAGCGTTCCAGGGCAAAGAAGCGATCCTGGCGTGATGGGCCCAATGGGATGTCGCTGATATCCATGGTATATTTGTCGGCACTAGTGGACATTAATTAGGTACACTTATATCTATCCCCTTAGATATCAGTGGTATATATATATATATACTGATGGTTCAAACATGTGTTTGAAAACATTGGATATTGTGGGGTTATATGATAACGATGATATACTGAGATCAGAATGAACACATCGTGACCGCTGGCGCTGCTATTGCTAGCAAAGAACCGCAGTCGGTGACCAATAGTGACCGCAACAGGCCCAAGATGTTTAGACCATGCATATATATATATATATATGTGTATGTATATATATATGTATCTCTATATATATGTACATGCACATCACTTATACCTAAGGGGATAAAGATAAGTATACCTACCTAATATCATTCGAATCTAAGGCTTCCAAGATGGTAGACCCAGAGCTGCCTGTGGGACGATCACCAAGCAATTTCCGCAGGGTAAACATCCCGTCCTCGGATTTGATGGTGAAAGCATGGTGATGAGCTAAAGCCAATGGAGAAAAGCCAATCATAAACCATTAAATGGGCATGGATCCAGTGTTTCCAGTGTTTCCAGTGATATAAACCAAGAATATCCAGTGTTATGGTCAGCAATGCTGACCATCCCCAAGTTGGGCAGGTGAAAAATGGTCATCCACACCAGCACTATGGGTGAAAAAAACCCTGGTACCCACATGGCTATTGTGGCCGTCCCAAATGGCTGGTGTAGCTGGATGTGTCCCAGCCATGGCTGGTAGCAACAGTTTTTCCAACCAATTCTGCGAGGTCAGCAGCAATTCTGGCTGAAAAACACAGCGAGTCACCACTCTGAAACAAGGTCATTTTGGGATGTTCTTCCCTACAAATCCTCATATATTTGCCTAGAAAGTAATATGCATATATATATATATATGTGACATATATACATATTATATATAGACATTAACTTACAGATACACATACATATGCATTAATCATACTCTATTGAGGGGACCATGGCATGATCATTGCAGCCAAGCATCTCCTCCCTGGCCGGTTGCTGCCCATCAGGATGGACGCGCGCCATAGGGCAGCAACGAGGTGACGCTGAACATTTAGAGGTCTCCAACGGGTATAACATACAGAGTATATACATGTACATATAGGTCTCACATGTGCATCTTATACATATAGCCTATTCCAGGTATTCGATATACATATATATATATATATACATACTCTATATATAAATAGATATAAAATAGGCTATATTATCGCCCAAAATAGCAATGTCACTAGGAAATAGCCAACTGATTAAGAGGAATATGTCCATTTATTTGAGAAACCCATCAGTTTTCAAACATGAATTCAGTTCGACCATGGATATCCAGAATTGCAGGGATGTAGGAGAAGCATGCATTGGATAACTCAGAAGGTTCCCGTTGGACAAATGTGTCATGGCCACACCAAATGGGGTACTCACCATGCGTTTCACCTGGATGTTCATCAGGTACCATGGTTGGGCCAGCTGAAACTGACGCAAAGAAAATATGCGCAATGATAAATGGATTGGTTTAAGGGAAAATCTACAGCAAACCATGTTTTTTTACCATCAACTATAGGCTATAGGAATTCCCGTAAATCTTCCCTCAAACCAATCCAATAATATCCAATAAAATTACCAACGAGGCATGTTTGGTGGCATGCCAAAAAAGGAAGTGGCGCAGTGGCACTTAAGGCAATGTCAAGTGTCTGGGTTCAAATATCACCACAAATACACCATCCAACAAAAAACGCAAAGACGGTTGCAGAATCGAGGGGAAGGCCAGGCTCCAATATATCGATGGGTATCATGGATTTCAGGCTTTGCCTGCAGTGGAACTCATGGAACACATCCTGAATAGAGCCCACTAGATTGATGGTATGTGGAGCATTGTTTTATCTTTCCATACATCAAGAATATTCCAGAATATCATGTCACTGTATTCCAGAATTCCAGAATATGATGTAAAGCATACTGCATACATTTATACAGGAGCACGCAAATAGGTAGACAAGTTGTTCCATGTATTTTGATAATGATATTTACATCGTTTTACATCTATTTACCTTGTAATGTCCAGGCTTGCAATCTGCCTATCTCTTTGGTGGTTGCTGAAACGTGGGGCACTGCAAACCTTGAATCGAGCACTGAACAAATCCAGCTTGTCAGCCTTAGCAAGACTTTCTGTGGGAACTGGATGGAACTCGTGGCTTTGCACGAGCGAAGCTGGTAGCACTTGGAGATGGCGGCTCTTCTACGCGCTGCTGCTGAGTTGGTCTTTGGCTTTCTCGGTGGCTGAACCTCCAGAGGTGCGCGTGAAATCGCTTAGATAACAAGACTTTGCGGTGGGTCAGTACTCCAAGTTGAATGCCAACTTTATTTCCGTTTGAATGCAACCAAAACATGCTATCATCAGATATCTGTAGGTTGATCATGTAGCATAAAACGACATTGACGAATCAACCAGCGAAGCAATCCTTGATGGAAACAACACACCCTTTCTATTGTCACCCAACCCACGCACCCCTTTCCATGCCCAGGCTGAGATACCCTGCAAAAACATTGAACAATTCTCCATAGAAGTTTCAGATAATCCACAATCTCCAACCATTCAGGGTCGCTCCAACCCATGGTGAATCATAGCCACAAGGGGTGGACATTGACCATTTTTACCTCTTGATTTTCCCTGGAGAACTCTCCCTTCTGGGATGTTGGCAACAGCGCTTTGAAGACCCAATGGGCCCAATGACCCAATCTTTGCATTGCAGATCTCACCAGTGCTGAACCCATCTGCAACCTACCGGGAAAGCAGAAACCAAGCAGCCATCCAGTAGTCAAGGTAGTCTTCCATGGCGATGGAACATAAAATTGTCATGAACACCCCCCTGAACCCCCCTTCATATCAAACATAACAATAGGATGCAAGACATGTACTGTAAAATACTGTAAACACATCTTTCATTTTTGAGTAAGGTTGCCACAGGGTCCACTACTTCTACATACTTCTACAACCTCTACAGTTTCTGCTGAGGGGTATTTACAGTAGCTTTGAAACTTACAGGATAGAGAGAAAGCCACTGCACCCTTGGCCTTCACTCTTCCAGAACTCGCAGGTGCTTTGGCTGGTGGTGGAACAGAACCTTGAGGCAAGGCGCTTGGGGCCCTTGGGATGTCTTTTGCTCACCATAAATCATGGCCGTTCTGGGAGGGTCATATCCGTCAGAGTTGGCCAGAATGGTTCTACCCAACTCAACAAAAGTTGTGATTTATCAAAATTTACCATCTGGTTACTTAACATAGCTATGGTATAGATGGTCCATTTATAGATGATCGTCCCAGATATAAATCTCCATTTAGTTCGGGGATTTTCCATGGGTATCACTATTCGAAGGTTCCTTAAAATGGGGATACTCCCCAATCATCCAAACTTAGACTATTTTAGGATTGAAACCCATGGGTTTTGGGATCCTCCATTCTAAGAAACCACCATTTATCACCACTTTGGGGAGTCATCCTACCATATTCCTCCATGGGCCGGGATGCATGGACGTGCCCACACAGCTCATGCCACCGTTGCGAGCTTGATGTGGTCCCCAACCACCCTGGGTCCAAACACCTGAGGGTGATCCCCCCTGGAGACGTGCCAAATATTAGGCAAATATGGTTGCTTTAGAAGAACAAAAATCAGCAAAATCGTGAACTAGTTCAGTGCACTTCAACGGAACGTATATTTATATTTGGTTTTGATTCCCGGTACATGAATGGAAAAATTGACACATTGTAGCCTCTCCAAAATCCTGAAAAGGTGACCTTTTTATGCCTTGAATGGAAAAGGATGAGTGACTGTGCCAGATCTTGAAGGCGCTCAAACCCAAGGATATCTCTCATGACAGCCCCTCATGAGGTTCCGTTCCATCTGGAAAAAGTGAATCATTGGGGATCATCATCATCCCAAATGGATCCAAATGGGGTAAAAACAAAAAATAAACCACCAGAGAATAAAAGATAAAAGGCTACATCGCCGGGTGCTTAAAGGAATGTTCTGCAGATTAAACAGCACAATGCCAGTAAGTTTTGCAACCCAGTTGAAACATGAACTTGGCACCAACCAGTGTGACATCCGTGGGCTACCAACTTATGTATCAACAGGGTGGAGACAATGGCTGCAGCTGCCTCTGTCGCCTGAGCAGTTTGGGCCTGTCATTGCAGGTGGGATGAAAATAAATATAAAACAGCTTGGAAGAGCCACATTTAAACCACATCTCGTCCTAATATTGGTACCATACCAAAACTCTCATACCAATGGGATCCACATTCACTCCCCATCTTTATCGATGCTATTGCTTGGCGTTCAAATCCTACCCAAAGAACTAAAGAACCCCATACCAACCCGAAACATACAGGAATTATATTATACTTTCTTCGAGTGATCCCCACCCTGAAACACTATTCTGACATAGCTTCTGACATACCATCTGGAAGCATATGTGGCATATTTATTTTGACATTCTATCTGACATTCTTTCTGGCATATACTTAACATTTCATCCGGAAGTCTATCTGACATCTCTTCTCACATACTTTCTGGCATATGTTTCGACATTCGTTCTGGCAATCTATCTGGCATCTACTCTCACATTCTATCTCTGGCTTCTTTTCAGGCATTCATTCTGGCATCTATTTTGACATTCTCTCTGACATTCTCTCGCGGCGTCTGGCTGAAGTCCGGCAGTGCCCACTGAGCTCTGGAGCTCGCGGTTGAGCAGGTGGAGGCGGAGGTGGAGGAGGCAGGCAGCATGCAGCTCTGATAAAATCTAGAGACCCTCACCTGGCAGGTGGGGAAATAGAAAGTTGAACAGCTACATAATATTGTATAATATTGTATATATAATAAGATAGAAAATTATCACACATCATCCACGTCATTCCCGCGAAAAAAACATCCTATTTGAAACCTCCAATCACTGTGGCGCCCAGGCACAACCTTGGCTGGACCAAAAGTTGCAATTACTCCTGTCATTTGTCCGACAGAACCTCGGGACATCCACTTCACGTGGCGTAAGCGGCGCGCGCTTGAGCACTTCTTCCCCTCATCAACTACTTGGGAAAATGCCAATTAGAGCTATTAGGGGACTTACCAATCACCAAAATGATTCATTACTTACTGTAGACGTTACTGAGCAGGATGATCATCAATGACCATCCAAGTTTGAGTCAAAAAATGGATGGTTGAATAAATAGTGGAATTATATAAGGATGAAATGACCAGCCTTCTGATTCTGTACCAAACTGAATCCAAACTGAATCCGTCATTCTTGCTTAGCTTAGATCGTATTGTTTTCCTGAACCAACTTACCATTAAGGTGTTTGGTCCATGGATCTGCTGCCATGTTATTAGACGGACAGATTCAACTACTTATTAATCGAACCGTGGATACTCCTTCACATAGCTGATTATACGGTATTATACGTAGCATATTTCCCGCCAACTTTAGATACCTGAACATATCCTCCACGGTTTTTTTCTTCATTACCCAAAAAGATACCACCTGTCACCTGCTCACATCAGCACCGCATGGCCAATGCTTCGCCAGGGAACGAGGAGGAGCCCGCGCAATAACCTGAGCTGGTAGTCTCCCTGGAAGTTAGATAGGAACATCATCCAGAATCCAGTTGTTGTTGATATGCATACTGCATACATATATTGTATGATATTGCCGTGTATATTAAATCTTCGTGTGTATATATATATACAGACTGCAATCTTTTATATCTTGGATCCTTCCATTATCATGCTTGTTTGCTGCAGAGCAATAGTAGGTAGGGTCATAGGATCGGCGCTACAAGAATTGTCCAGTGGAAAGATGTCACGGACCATGGGATAAACCTGTGATGTCACGACAGTGACACAGTCGGGAAAAAAGGATATGGAGTTTCTTAAAATGAAGCATCCCCAAGTCACCATGGGTTCCAATACTAAAACGACTGGATGATTTGGGGGTATCCCCATTTTGGGAAGCCTCCATATCATAGTTGAACAGTGCTGGACTTTTGGAAGCACAAGACCGGTATAAACTTCTGCATACATGCCACCATAAACTTTTGTTAAGTGCCTGGAACAACACGCATGTGCGCTTCAGGTAAATTTATGTATATCTTAGACGTTTGTCCTTTGCTCAGCAGCCACAGACAGCGTATTCAACACATGTTCTTCATTCCGATGTCAGTGGAATAATTCAGGGATGAAATATGAAACCATCAAATCTACAGGATTACTCTTTGTATCACAGCAAAGAATATTTGGAGTCACATAGCTGCCAGCAACCTGCCAGTGACACGGACCGAGCCCATCCCAGAGCACTAGCATAATGGCACGAGTTGTGTGTGGCTAACATGTTTGATTCATGTTAATTCACGAGTTAATTCATGGGTTAATTCATGTTAATTCATTGATTAACCATGTTAATTCACTGATTTTCGTGGGATGGGATTGCCATTGGAGTTCCAGCCAAGAATCTCTCCCCATCCAGATTTGGTGCCCAGTTGACCCACGAACAGCCCTTCTGGGACCAGAATTCGCCTCGTGCAGAGAAAGACCATGAACGTTGGTCGATTACCCTCTGGTAACTATGGAAAAGCACCATTTTTAATGGGAAAACTCACTATAAATGGGCCATTTTCCATAGCTATGTTGGTTTACCAGAGGGTAGAGTCTATTGGGGGAAGCAAATTCGTTAAATTATTCCGGAAATGTCTTCGGTCAAAATTCACAAAAAGCATGGAGCCTTGGGATTGAGAAGGCTAAGCCAACAAACTGGAGTCCAAAGGCATATTGTTTTTTCAGAAGTGAACCCAAGAGCGGGATTATATAAATGGTAGGTAGGAACAAAAATGCAAGAAAATTCTACAATCAGTCAACCAGGCACTTGCCAAAAAAACTCCAAGCGGTCCCAATCAAAGGGAAAAATAAATTACGGGTACGGTACATTCATCATCCTATTGACAGACCGACTCAGACTCAACGTCCCCAACTTATAGTGTATTATTCACAAAACATCACAACATAATTTCGGTATAGCAGATCTCGGCCATTCCCAGACTTTCTGGGGTCCGGTCCTAATTTTTCTGGCCCAGTGGCAAGTTGATCGAGATGGAGTCGCGCAGAAATTGCTGGTGCCATAGCAGTAGCCGCCACTGGTGTCGTCGGCATCACCTTTGGACGCCTTGACCTCGGATTTTGGGTGCTCACATCATTCCGTAGATGGTGTCTCTGTATGTGTACGTTTACATTGTGTATGTATATATATATATACAGATATAATATAATACAATCTAATTATGTATAGTTATATGTCCGTAGTATATACAATAGAAATTGGAGATGATAGGAGTATACAGTATACATCGGAATGGTGGGAATACCATGGGATACCAAGTGTGCAACCTTCAACCTTTTGTGCCTAAGCTTATCGATAAAATTATCAGAAATTGGTAAATTACGTTAACTTATAATTAATTATATCCGTATGTTTTGTACTTTTACTGTGCTATGGGTGCTTTGAGGTTCAAGGCTTCTACCGTTTCCTGCAGTTGAATGGACAAGCTCACATCGGCTTCTGCGTGTGAAGGCCCAAATGGCACGATGAATGAAGACAAACGGTAAGTGTCATTGAAGCAATTGCCATCAAATGATATCAAATGTATCTAGAAAGCAAACATTGGGACCACAATGCTCTGACATGCTCTGACAAAGTGGTTTTCTATTGAGGAAAGTCCATTGTTGCGATTGCATACGATTACAGCAACTCTAGCGGTGTTCTATGATGTTCTAGCTGAATTCCCCAACCGATCACTCAGTAGTGGAGGACCTAAGCAACATTGGGAAATTCCACTGTAGCATCCTCTGGGGATCATCCAATCTTCAAAGGCAACTGGGTTTTACCTGAAAACTCTGTGGCCATGGCAAAGATGCACAAAGTTGCACAAACCCTCAATGAGTATGTGACTTGCTCTCTGGGATTTTTCCAAACACTCGGAATTGGAACTTTGCATTGCCGAGTCAGATTGCCAGGGGTTTACCCTCCTCTCCAAACCGGGACCAGTAGACCGAAGTGACCTGCAGGGCACTAAGACTGCACTCCGCACCGCAAGCATCGCTGGTAAGCGCGTCCAAGATCTCTCCTCTGCCTCGACAAAACTTTTTATAAATGACCCAAGATGGGTATGGTTCGAAAGCCTGGTATCCTGGCTTTGCACCTAAAAAAGATCGAAATTTCTGGTAAGTGGATGCCAATTCATCTCCTTGAAATGGTATGAAATGGTATTTTTCTATGTGTATTAATGGAACCCCTGAGCCCCTACAGTAGCACAGTGGAGTTGGAGCCAGCCAGAACTGATGATAGCAAACGCTGAAAGGAGTACCAATCTTGTGCCAAAAACGTTGCTCTACCGCATCATATCACCACAAAGTCTCTAGGCACTTGGATGCTCCGTAGCTAAATGGTCACTATGAGGGCTCGTGTCCTCGGAGTGATCAGAGTTTTATCATTTTATTTGGTTCGCCCGTGTTTGACACACACACATACGCATACACCAAGAAGGCAACTATGCCTCATTCTTTTGTGGGCAGTAACCCGTGAAAATGTCTGTGCACCTATTTAGAATGTATATTATAATGTATATATATATATGTATGTATGTATGTATATATATATATGTATATATATATGTATATATAAATACCTCTATATGTATATATATATACAGTATTTGTAAATATAGAACACACATATATATATATATATGTGAACATGTATATTTCTATATACATACATGTGTGTGTATATATATATGTATGCATATACATATATGTACATTCTGTATATATATATGTATATAATATAGTTCTTGAGCTATAAATCCTGACCGAGACGCCCGCAACGAGTGACAGCAAGAAGATACCTAGAATCGACCAAACGGGACCCGGCCGATGGGGGGTCTATCATGGCATCCACCCCAAATAGATGTGATAGGGGTGTCTCAAAATGAGACACATGATAACATGATACTCCCAGATAGGTGATTAGATGTGATTAGCCAAATTGGAGGTACCCTCATTTCCCACAAAGTTTTGACTTGGTGGGGTTGATTCCAATTCGCAGGGGAATCCATTGAGGGACGTGCTAACCATAGTTGCTATGCGTTTCAACGGTTTTAATCCATGCTCAAGACGGTTTCATGGATCATGCATGCTCCAAGTAAGGTCTGAGTTGTTAGATAAAGTAACACTGAGGAAAATCATAGGTATTCATAGGAGAGAGGGACGTTGCCGATGAGGATGATCTCACAATGATGTGGTCTTTGTCTTGGTATCAATGAACATTCATGATATTATTCAGCAGCATAGGAATCAGAAAAACTTTATCGGACGGTGTTCAAAAGCAAAATCATACAGTCTGAATTCTGAATATAAATGTATATATAGACACATACTTGTCTTGTAATGTGTGTGTGTGTGTCCCTATTTATACAAACACTCTATATGTATATATATATATATATGTCGCAAACGTGTTGAAATAAAAGGCATTAATCTAAATTAAGGTCACTATCTGAGCGCAGGCTTGGCAAAGATGGCATTTGTGTGTACTGCTTGTAGTTGTCACACTTGGATGTTCCTTCCCAGTTAGGCAAAAAACAAACGGGAAAGCTCGACCCAGATCAATAAAGCACAATAACAAAACAACAATAATCCTTGTATATACATACTATTAGCCAATATGACCCAGAACATTTCAGCAAGATAGCAAAAATAACGCAATTCATCCTCGTACATACTGTAACCCAATATGAGGCAAATGTTTCGACCGCCCAACCCACCAACCAACTCTCTTTTAGTACGAAACTATCCAATCATTCCGGTAGTGAATGTTGCTGCATATCATCATATCCATCTAACATATTCTAACATCATCGAACGTCATATATCCTCAACCAGTCAACAGCCACCAGCTGGCACCAATCTTTCATTCTCAGCTGCGAAGAGCCCACATGTCAGCAGAAAGGGTGGACACACTGACAGAAGGACTAGTTGCGGTGAGCCAAAGGAAGCCGCAGAGATTTTCCAAGGCATTTTTTTTGAGAAATCCTTGGAAATTGTGGGATAACATTAGGTCATTCAAAAGTATTAAAAAGAAACTGTTGGCTTACCTCACTGACACCCCACTTCCCAACCAACATCTCAGAGTATCCCAACACTTCTCTGGGCCCAGGTTACCATCACACCATCAGAATCAGTCGAGAGAATCGGGAGAATCAGCGCATTTTGTGAAACGCACATTTATAAAAATCATGCCAACTGTGTAAGGGTGTGTAAAATCGATTTAGACAACACAGAACTTTAAAATGCTTAAAATGACTGAAATCACGAATCAGCAGCCAGAGTGGTTGCTCTGTGTGAGAGCAAAAACCATGTGAGCAAGGTTCAGAACCTGCTGCGCGTCCCGTCAAACAACTGGTTGGTTTAGAACGGACTTCCCAATTCATGGGTTGTGATCATCCCCAATATCCAAAGCGCAGTATTACCCCCGAACTGATCATGAAGCAACCATCATTTATATTCATTTATCACGTACACTTGCATACCCAAATCATGGGTGAAACTGAAAACATGGTAAAAACCCTATGAAATATTTATCACCTACATCCACTTGTATATCATTGTATATCCATACCATGGGTAAACACATTTAAAACCCTATGAAATGACGAACAAATCAATCATCAATAGGGGTGTCTCGACCCGCCGAGGCCTGTCACAAAAGGGGCGCCCGGACAGTCTGTTGCATGTTGTTGCAGCTCTTCTGTGCTGTCTCCGTGCCCACGATTAGCTGCCTGACGCAGGACGCGATTTCGAAATCGCGATATCTCACATAGAAATTGGGATGAAATGGGCAAATCTAACCACGAAAAGTGGGAAAACTAAGGGATATATGTACATATAATATAACAATCATTGAGAAACCACATGTAAATTAACGGGATCTAATGGGGTATACAACTAACAACATGGAAATTCATGCGGAATAGTAACAACTCAAAATCGCAAAATAATGAGTAAATCCTGGGATATCATTGGATACATAAGCAACGATAATGGGATATTGTATGATATTGTTCAATTGGACTTAATGGGGAATACCCGCCCAAAAAAATGCATTTAATGGGACTTAACCAACAATCATCATAAATTATATGGATATAATTGGGATATATATATATATCATTATATAATCATCTTAAGATGAAATGGGTGCGTCGTGTGTCTGATAACGATGTATATCTCCCAAAATTGCAATTTTGATGAAAAAAAGTGGATTAAGGGGTACCCTATCTTCCAACACACCAATATGCGGATTATCATGATATACCATGAGCTGCCTTAAACAATTCGGAAGTCATTCACATGAGAATCAGGTGTGCATGGGGATGTGGCACCTGCTGGCCAGGATGACCCACCTCCATTGAGCACCAGAATAGGATTTGGTGATGCTGGCAACTCAACAGGGACAAGCAACTGAAACCAACAACCAGTTGAATGTACCTAACCTCCCAATTTAACTAGGTTGGCAAACAGTAGCTCCTTGGTTTCCCATTTCGCAGGAGGAGGATACAACCATAGCTCAGCTCACCCCTCCGTTCACCACGAGGTGGTCACACGGATGAAACATATGTGGGGGTTTCCTGTTCCAGGTTCTGAAAAAAAACACACACACCAATCACCATGGTTGATAATTAACTCAATTTCACAATTCCAATGGTCATAAATGCGGGTGCAACCATTTTTTTGGGGGAACCTCAAAGTCTGGGATACTGTATGATATCATAATGATAAGGCTCTACACCATCTCAAAATAAAGAGCTTGCTGTCAAGCTAGCCTGGCTTTGAAGGAAAAAACGGTCTAAGGCCTTGAGCCTCCCTTTCAGTTTCAGCCTTTCTCTGCTGGGTCATGTCTTATGATGATATTTGCTAGTTAATTCTACCATAGAAGTTTGCCATTTCAGCCCTGATTTGGGGATCCAACGTGTTGTTTATCTCTTTTTTGCCAAGCAATTTTTGGTGCAAAATATCAAAATCAGATTTTGCCAGGTAAGTCAGATTTTGCCAAAATCAGATAAACCCCATTAACTATCATGAACTATTAAGATGTTCTTGACCTTTTAGCACTGCCCCGCATCGCTGGGTTCCGCCGGCCCCATTCCGCCGCCAGTTCCTTGACCGTCGCCTGACAAAATCTGTGAGAACTTTGCAGGGACTCGTTTGGCAACGTTTGCGCAACATCATTTTGGAACATTTCATATTTTCTGAACTATAAAAAACATGGAAACTTCCAAATCCGTTTTTTTTCGTGATTTTGGCTTGATCACTCAACTTGCCGTCTTTGCATCAGCACTCCATATCCTTTTCAACACCTCCCAATTTGGCTCAAGTCTCAGATGCCCTCACACGAAAATATGTTTCTGTTGGCTGATCAAACCGTTTTATGGATCCACACACAACCCAATGAGTCACCAAAATTGACCCAACCATAGCGAGAAACATACATCGTTTTTATCACTGCACACATGGAGGTTTCCTAAAATGGCAGTACTCCCAAATCATCCATTCTCATAGGATTTTGCATTAGAAACAACACATTTTGGGGTATTCCCATTTATGGAAACCCGCAAATTGCGCTTGCGCCACATTCCCAGACTAAGCTCAGAGCATGGAATTTGGGACAAATCTGCCTGGCCGAGTGTCACCTACTTCATCAAAAAAACTTGGTGGTTGAAAATAACTGGAAGACTCGCGGGAAAAAACCACAGATATTCATAGGGATGTTCACAAATGATAAAAATTCCACACGGGGTGATTTTTTAAGTCAACAAACTTCTCACTTTAAATGTTGGATTGGAAGAAACGCAAACCTTATTGAGGTTGAAAAGGTGCCAACGGCTGAGTTCCGCAGGGATGTGTGGACTGTTCATGTCTAACCGGAGTGACATGTCAGGCCTTGGGTCATAGTATGTGCGTTACCTTTTTATCATCATCCCCTCTCACACCTGCCAAGTAAGGGTCCCTCTAGATTTTTTTTTCCTTCTTATTCTTCTCCTTATTCTTCTCCTCCTGGTTGTCTTCTTCTTCCTTCCTCTGCCAGCTCGTCGGGACTGTGGGCATGAATCCGAGCCATAGGGAGCTCCGCATGCAGTTCTTGATGCAGCTGGGCAGATGTCGATGTGGACCCGAACCAGCTCTGGATCGCCTGGGTTCGAACACATGCCAGAGAAAATGCCAGATAGAATGTCAGACAGAATGCCAGAATTTCATGTCAGACAGAATGCCAGAATTTCATGTCAGACAGAATGCCAGAAAGACTGCCGAATAGAATGTCAGAGAAAATGCCAGAGAAAATGCCAGATAGAATGTCAGACAGATTGTCAGAATGAATGTCAGATAGAATGCCAGAAGGACTGCCAAATAGAATGTCAGAATGCATGTTGGATAGAAAGCAGAGAAAATGCCGGATAGAATGTCAGACAGAATGTCAGAATATATGTCAGATAGAATGCCAGAAAGACTGCCGAATAGAATGTCAGAATGAATGTCAGATAGCATGCCAGAGAAAATGCCAGATAGAATGTCAAACGGAATGTCAGAATACATGTCAGATAGAATGCCAGAAAGACTACCGAATAGAATGTCAGAATGCATGTCAGATAAAATGCCGGAGAAAATGCCAGATAGAATGCCAGAATTTCATGTCAGGTAGAATGCCAGAAAAACTGCCGAATAGAATGTCAGAGAAAATGCCAGAGAAAATGCCAGATAAAATGTCAGACAGAATGTCAGAAGGAATGTCAGATACAAGTAGAATGCCAGAAGGACTGCCAAATAGAATGTCAGAATGCATGTCAGATAGAAAGCAGAGAAAATGCCGGATAGAATGTCAGACAGAATGTCAGAATTTATGTCAGACAGAATGCCAGGAAGACTGCGGAATAGAATGTCAGAATGAATGTCAGGCAGAATGCCATAGAAAATGCCAGATAGAATGTCAAACGGAATGTCAGAATACATGTCAGATAGAATGCCACAATATAGGCTATGTATATATATATATAATATTCCATATATACTTCGAGATGATATGTCAGAAACTATGTCAGAATAGTGTGTCAGGGTGGGGTCACTCGAAGTAAGTCAGTTTCTTGTGTAAGGCTTGATGTGTCCTGATGCATCACCTTTTTTTTTGTGGTTTGGAAAAACACACACGCACACACACACACACACTGGTGAAAACACGCAGCTTGAAACATGCTGCAGGAGCAAAACTCTAAAAATGGCTATGGCTTCTCAGGCGTGACATGTAGCTAACAATGCATATTTTGATATTTCAAAAGGAGTCGAGAGGGATTGTGTTAACTTGCCAGAATCACAATTTTTGATGATCAGCTATGAGCATGGCAATATCACTACAGAAATGGGGTCCGGTCCGCATCATGGTTTCGTCTCAGCATGGCTTGTGGGAAGGGTTAATGTTCGCACCTTGCCAGCCAGGATCTGGAAGACTTTGTCCTCAGGGCCAATCGTGTCTTTGTGGTAAAAATAGAAACGGGGGTTTGGTAAACCACAAACAAAACAGTCAATCCGATCCGCCTAATGTTAGAGCCACCCCATTCCATGGTCCCAAATATGTGTCTCTGAATCCCCTCTTAAACCATGGGTTCGGGTGTGTGTGTGTATTTTGTATAAACGGGGGCTCGGATTTGTTTCCCTGATTAACTATCAGAAAGGGAGCTATATAAATTGGTTGGTGAAAATACCTCAATGACATTGATATATCCCATTAATATACCAAATGAATCACCATTCTTAATGGTTAACCTCCGTTAAACCACCATGTCACTCATATCCATTAGTAGAAGTTACCAGTCGTACCGCACAAGGCGGTGGCGGAAGTTTCAGGATAGGAAACCTATAGGAGAGCTTGGTTGTTGTGAATCACGGATGGCAGAGCGAATCCACTGATGGACCAAAAGGTGGTGGGAGCTGTGTTTTTTGGAGTGGTTGCAATGGTTGCAGCGGTCACCTCACCACAGCTGCTGGATGTAGTGTGGTGTAGTGCAGTTGTAGTTGTAGTTGTAGTTGTAGTGTAGTGGAGTTGTAGTTGTATTGTAGTGTAATTAGTGTAGTGTAGCTGTAGTTGCAGCTGCAGTTGTAGTTGTGATGTGGTGCAATTAGTGTATATAGTGTAGTGTAGTGCAGTGTAGCGTACTGTAGTGTTTTGTACTGTGGTGTAGTGTAGTGTAGTATACTGTAGTGTAGTGTGAAGTAGTGTAGTTGCAGTTCTAGCTGTAGTTGTAGTTGTGGTGTAGTGTTGTGTAACTAGTGTAGTGTAGCCTAAGGTAATGTAGTTGTAGCTGCAGTTGTAGTTGTAATGTAGTTGTAGTTGTAGTTTTAGTGTAGTGTAATGTATTGTCGTTGTCGTTGTCGCAGTCGCAGTCGCTGTAGGAGTAGGAGGAGTAGGAGGAGTAGTAGAAGAAGCAGCAGCAGCAGTAGTAGTAGTAGTCGTCGTCGTCGTCGTAGTAGCAGTAGCAGTAGCAGTAGCAGCAGCAGTAGTAGAAGCAGTAGTAGCAGTAGCAGTAGTAGCAGCAGCAGCAGCAGTAGTAGTAGTAATAGTAGTCGTAGCAGCAGCAGCAGCAGCAGGAGGAGGAGGAGGAGGAGGAGTAGTAGTAGTACTAGTACTAGTACTAGTACTAGTACTAGTAGTAGTACTAGTACTAGTAGCAGTAGCAGTAGCAGTAGCAGTAGCAGTAGCAGTAGCAGTAGCAGGCTGTTGTTGCTGTTGTTGCTGTTGCTGCTGTTGTTGGTGTTGTTGTTGTTGTTGCTGTTGTTGTTGTAGTTAGTGTTGTGTAGTTAGTGTTGTGTAATTAGAGTTGTGTTATTGGAGTCGTGTAATTAGTGTTGTGTGATTAGTGCTGTGTAAGTAGTGTAGTGCAGTGATTAGTGTAGTGTGGTAATTAGTGTAGTTTAATGTAGCGGATTGATTCGTATTTATACTTGTAGTATCTTGTAGTTATAGTAGTAGTGTAGTGTAGTATAGTGGTAGTGGTAGTGGTAATTGTAGTTGTAGTTGTCTGTCTGTCTGTCTATCTATCTGTCTATCTGTCTACCTGCAAGCTTGAAAATGAACCTATTCTGCGAGACTTCCTCAATTTTTTGAATTTGACAACATCATAAACACAGCAATTCTGCGAGACTTCCTCAATGTCTGTTCGAAGTGACAAGAGCAAAAAACGAAGCAATTCTGCGAGACTTCCTAATTTTCTGACGGTGACAACATAAAAAACGAACCAATTCTGCGTGACTTCCTTCAAAAATGGACGTTGAGTGCAGAGCTGTCTCTTGTATTGCGTCTGCCACGCGAAATGCATCTTTCCAGATCCCCTTCAAATGTCCCACGGCTGCCATCGTTTTTGGAAGTGCCGCAAAACCCTCACGTTTTGCTCCCTTTTGGCAAGGTGCTGAATCCCTTGCGCCTGCCACGCGACAGGACATCCGAACGTCCAAAAGTGGTCCAAACATGTGGCGTTTTGACTTCGAAATGTGCTTCGCGCCACAACGGCGTGCACTTTTTCAACATCTGAACTTCCAAAAGTGCTCCGAGACCGTCAGTTTTTTCACTTTTGACTTGGCAATGTGCTTCGCGCCACAATGGCGTGCACTTTTTCAACATCTGAACTTCCAAAAGTGCTCCGGAGTTTTTACATTTTGACTTGGCAATGTGCTTCGCGCCACAATGGCGTGCACTTTTTCAACATCTGAACTTCCAAAAGTGCTCCGAACCCGTCAGTTTTTTGCACTTTTGACTTGGCAATGTGCTTCGCGCCACAACGGCGTGCACTTTTTCAACATCTGAACCTCCAAAAATGCTCCGAGACCGTCAGTTTTCAACATTGTTGACTTGGCAATGTGCTTCGCACCACAATGGCGTGCACTTTTTCGGCATCTGAACTTCCAAAAGTGATCCGACACTGAGGCGTTTTGTACATTTTGACTTGGCAATGTGCTTCGCGCCACAACGGCGTGCACTTTTTCGACTCTCAACTTCCAAACGTGGTCTGACAATAGTATAGAATAGTGTGTTTTGAGCATTTTGACTTCCAAATGTGCTTTGCGCCACAACGGCGTGCAACTTTTCATCTCTTATCTGGCCACATGGCTCCGCACCCGCCGCTTTAGCGAGCCTACTTTTCGACCCTCCGGAGCCACAAATCATTGGAAAAAACACAGTGGTTCGCGACTTTTCTACCTTTTCGCGCACCTGGATCTTCTTTCTTCGGAGACTTTCTCGTTTTGATCTTCTTTCTTCTTCGCTTCTCTTCTCTGACTCTTCCCATCTCTGCTTTTCATCTGTCCATATTGTCGGAAGTTTGACTTCTAAACTTCCGTCGACAATAGTGGTGCAATGGAAAAAGGCCATGGCTTGATTGAGAGCATCAGAAAGGCTTGAAACCAAGGAGTAGCACGTGGACACTTCAATAAGCAACCTCATCGGGTTGGCGAAAAGTCACAAAAGACAACAATATTGGAAACCCACGTCTCTATCAACTAACTTACTTGAGGCTCATTTGATCAACATACTAAAATCTAACGGTATCATATCCTCATGAAATTGTTAGTTGTGTACCCCAATTTCTCTCCCATAGCCATCTTTTTTAGAGCATCTGCCATGCTTTCTTCGCTCGCCGCGCCAAGGTGCCAAGAGGTGTTGAATCTGCGGTGCGGCGTGTGGGAATTCTTTGATCCACGCCTCAGTCCACGGAAATCTCGATGGGATCCAATCAACCCCTAGAAAATACTATGGGTGTAGAAAAGTTTTTGGTATTTTTTTGCCTCAGGTTTTGGATTTTCTTTTGGCTTTCTTTCCAGATACCATTTGCCTTGTATTTGCAACAGTTTGGAACTAGAACCTGTCATTTTGCATGGTATTTGCTACATTTTGGCATGGTAACTTTGCATTTTGCATGGTATTTGCTACATTTGGCCATGTTCGCCTTCCACTTTTGCATGGTATTTGTCACATTTTGGCATTTCAACCTGTGATTTGCATAGCATCTGCTACATTTTGGTACTTCAAACGTTCATGTGGGTCTCTTGAGGGTTTCATTTAAGGTTTCATTTCGGATTTTATTTAGGGCTTCAGGCTTAATTTCGGGTTTCATTTAGGGTTTCTTTAGGGTTTCATTTAGGGTTTCATTTAGGGTTTCTTTAGGGTTAAATTTAGAGTTTTATTTAGTTTTTTTTCCGGTTTCATGTAGGGTCTCTTATCGGGATTTCCTATCAGGAGTTCTAAACGTTCAAATGGGTTTCTTTAGGGCTACTTTAAGGTTTCATTTAGGGTTTCTTTAGGGTTTCTTTAGGGTTTCATTTAGAGTTTCTTTAGGGTTTCAGTTTGGGTTTCATTAAGGGTCTCGTTTAGGGTTTCAATTTAGAGTTTCATTTAGGGTTTCTTTAGGCTGTCAATTTAGGGTTTCAGCTAAGATGTCAGTTAAGGTTTTCATTTAGTTTTTTTTTTTCAGTGTGTTGTCTAGGGTTTCTTTGGGATGTCATTTAGGGTGTAATTTAATTAAAGTCTTTAGGGTTTCATTTGTGGTTTCTTTAGTATTAATTCATGGTTTCTTTAGGGTTCATCTAGGGCTTCATGTAGGGTTTCTTATCAGGATTTGTTTAGGGTTTCTTTGGATTTCACCTAGGGTCTCTCCAGGGTTTCATTTAGGATACAAACAGAACAGAATAAAGCAAAAGAAAATGAAAGACAAAGAGACAAAAAGACAGGAAGCAAAGAAGCAAAGGAGCAGGAAGTAGAGCAGCAAAAACGCATGACCGAAGAAAAGAAAAAGTAGATAGTAGAAGTAGCAAGGCAAAGAAGTAAAACCGCAGAGAAGCCGGGAAAACAGAGAAGCAGAAAGGCACAGAAGCAGGGAAAGGAAACAGCAGAAAATCAGAATAAGCAGAGAAGCAGGAAAAGCAGAGAAGCAGGAAAAGCAGAGAAGCAATGAAAGCAGAGAAGCAGAAAAGCAGAGAGCAGAAAAGCAGAAAAGCAGAGAAACAGGAAAGCATAGAACCAGGAACCCACCCAAAAAATCAAAACCTGCCGCGAAAAAAACAAAAAACAACAAATAGCCCTCCAAATATTATAATAATTGGATGTTATTGGGTTATCATGAACTCATAAACCATAGTTATTTGAGCTATAAACCAACTTTGCTATCTTGGCGACAGCTGGGACAATTAATGGGAACCAATCAATCGATATTCCCATTGAATCGATGGGTTGAACGGATCAAACAGACATGAAGATAACTCGTGTTTTGTTTCGATCAAGAGATGTCAAAGTGCAAGGATAAAGCCTGGAACGATCATGGCATATCTGGATTTTAAAAAAGGGATCGCTGACCAAAGGTTTTGAACCACAGCCATGAAGGATCCAAGAAACTGCTGGATAAATCCATCACCGTGATAATATTTAGTGTGGATGTATGTGGATGCTCATGACCCTCAATGATAAAACCAATGATTACAATACATTTGGGGCCTATTTAGCGCAAACAACTATACAATGTTCATTGCAGATCCCATAGCTACAGCCACAATCGCTCCCAAAGGCTTTCCGCAAGGTATCAAAGCAGAACTGTGAAATCCCTACGACTTTGACCCTTGACTGTACATGTGACAAGTCACCTGCCGTGATGAGGAACTGCGTTCAGTTGTGAGAATGCCCAGCCAAGGACAGAATCTACAAGCAGAATGCAATGTTTAAAGTCTCCCTGAATAAATCCATGCTTCTCTACTCGACATGGTTCTCCAATTTGTTGCTCCTGAGACTTGTCATCATACTGATGAAAGATGTTACAACTTGGACATGTATGAAGTCAATGTAAATCACCCACATCCTCAACCTCGGGTACTTCCCCCAAGGGCAATTTGAGTGGGAGACCATTTGTCTATCAATTGTGTCAACTTTATCAACTGACCATGAACCCGTTCAGCTACATACTTTTTGTGACATACTGTGGTTGCAAAATCACCAGTTGGTAGATGGTAAACATCCCTTATAATCCCATTATGTAATATATTTATAGTATGATTTAGAGTGTTTCATAGTTACTATCTACCACGATTATGTATAGATAGATTTTTAATTGTAGATATATACTCATATAATCCCATTATTTACCAGTTGAGTTACCGATGGGGTCCCAGATCCACAACTGGTCGCGCTGTCGTTCGGGTGTCCCTTGCGCGCGCGGAGAGATAGCGCTGGCTCGTCTCCCACGGCCTGATCATGGAATTGATGTGAATTTCTCGGAAATTATGACATGTTAAACATATATATATTGTTATAGTTATATATATATAGTTATATATATATAGTTATATATATAGTTATATATATATAGTTATATGTATATATATATACACGTATATACGTCGCATTATACGTTGCGACCAGTTGTGTCAAGTACTGACGCAAAAAATTCACACATAGAAATTATAAATAATTATATAATATAGTTTATCCATGTTTATCCACGCTTATCCATGAACTTTATATAAATGAATGTACCAATGCATGTGACTGGGGGATGTAAGCATCAAAAGCGAGAATTCGGCAAAAAATGAAAATCCATCAAACCAGTTTTCATTTCATAGCAACCCGGCTTTTTTTGTAAGAGCTTTTTGATGGCCCTTCTCTTCCACTGTTTCCAGGTCCCCAGCTTGTCTATCTTTCAAGGACCATATTATATTGGGAATGGGCTTATTGTACGCTTAAGACACATTTGCTGAGTCATTGCTTTTGTTTACAACCATGTCTAAATTAACCTCCTTAAAAACACTGGGGTTGATTCCTGGTGGGGTTTACCACATGAACATACATGAACCTTGGAGGCTTCGCAAAATAAGGTTACAGGCTACAGGAATATAACTCCCTTATCTGCTGGGTTTGGACTGCATGAAATGTTTCTGTGGCTGGCCATTTGGGGTGAGAAATAACATGTGGTGAAACACAAAAACAAACTTGACCATCTGTGTAGATCTGTGCGTTTCTCATCCCACATCCTTAGAAACCAAATGATTTGGTGAAACTTGATGTCTAGCATTTGGTAAAGCACTAAATTGGCCCAGAGTCAACATGCAATTTGGTACTCGCAAAGCTTCACAGAAATTGTCTCCATTCTTGACTACTAATGATATAATGGGATATATAATACATATATTTAATAATAGTGGGATATAATGGGAATATATATATATATAGTGTATATATCTTGATCTTTTCCAATGGGGTTGGTGTCATCTTTCTCTTGACTCGTCTCATCCTGGCCCAGCAAACCCACCCAAGGCAGTACCGCTCGGTGGATGTTGGGGATGCCATAACATTCAAATCTGATATATGCAATAATAATATGTAACAAATATTCCGCACTAAACCACCTAAATCACCCCCTGATCAACAACAACCATGAGTGATTTTGGGCAGTGTTCAATTCCGATTTGTCACCCTTCGGGAGCCAACAGGAATACCAGGAACGGTCATTGAGTCATGGACTATTATTAACACCTGCCGAAACCAGCAAACTCTCCATTCTACTATGTTTCTTACAATTGATCACAGTTTGGTCGACTCAAACAACTTCCACAATTCATAACGTTTGAAAGTGGTGGGGAGGCTCCGGGCACAGTGTGCATTTGTAGCGAACTGAGATGGATTCAACCATAGCTCCGAACGGCGAAACCTCCGTTCAACACCGGAGAGTTTCTGATCCATTATTCTCAACCCCGATTAATTTTTTTGGGGGGTCCCCTGAAATAGTGATAGTTGGCTACGAAAATGGTACCCCGCCACAATAAAACAGCTTAGTGGTTTATTGATCCGGGGTTGACATTACTGTATATCACCATGTACCATGAGATCCCCATAAAAGATCCAAAATGCTAAAAATTCCTATCTTTGAGTCACTGGTTTCCGTCCAAGGTTCAGCTTCTGACCCTTGAAGTATCCCCTAGGCAGCCGCGAGGCAAACAGAAGTCTTATTGGGTTCACAAAAATGGGGAAGCACAACAGAATAGTCTGCTGTATACTTCAACAGTTTGATTTCTCTTGTTGAGTTTGAACTACCAATAGTATCCAATAGTTGTTAGTTGTTTGTCTAGTAACAAATCATTGTAAAATGAGGTTGACGCGGTCTTCGTTTGCATCAACTTTGCACCTGCGACATTTCCATGACTAAACAGAGGCGTCCGGCACGTTCATGATGGGAGGCCTAACATCTCTATAACAAACTATAGCAAGGTGAATCTTAGCTTCTCTGCAAAACACAATCTACTTCTTAGCTGGGAAGTGCACTGAGTGCACTGTATGCATATACAAATACAATTATATACACTATTGATCATGTAGGTACACTATTTATGTACATAATAAATCAAAAAATATGTATGTGTAATATGTAAATATAGTATCCCCATTCGTGGCAAACATCGCCGTCCGCCCTGGGCCCCCTGGGCCCCCTGGGCCCCCGTTCCCTGACTCTGCTTTGGGCGACTTCAACTGGGCCAAGCTAGGCCGGAACCATAGAAGGAAAGGGCTTGGAGGCTCCACATGTGTCTGGATGAATCCCATCATACAGTTTACCTCCGGTACTCAAAAATCGCACTTTGGAAACATGTCCATTGTTAGCAGGAAAACATAGGAACACTATAAATAAATTATTCAATAGCTATGTCAAATTACGCAACGGCAAATTAACTGTTTGCCGTGCCTAATGAATGTTTGATGTCCTGCACTGCACATGCTGGATTTACTGGATCAAGCTTAGATGAACAGTTTGATACTTTAATATTATTCTCACAAATGGGGTCATAAATATATTGCCCCCTAACATTTCGATGTGGTTTTCCCCACCATGTGTAAATCATTTTCCAAACAGGAAACCAGCAAGGTTTTCCACATCTAAACGTTTAGCACAAGGTACTCAAAATAAACCATGCGGTACCCGGTATACCCCAAATTGCAATCTTATTGGAGAAAACAATGAAACAAGTATGATAAATCCAAAGGAATTTTGGTGACCCGCTTCTCAGACAAACTTTTGTTGATCTTCCAGTGTTCCAACAAAGATATCTCATAATCAAAGTGAAAAACACATGTTACAAGCTTTTGAGTTCTCCGTTGGAGAGCAAAACTATCGGGGAGCAGCAGGTGGATGGTGAATTTCACCTGAAAGTGCCACAACTTTACCACACGAAACATGGATATACAAACGTGGATCATATTGGAGTGGTTCAAACACTTTGTTTGCGGTTAGTGATCGATGTATTTATCCATCCATCGATTTATCAGTTTATCTACCGGTCTGTCTATCCAATCTGGTCCAATCTCTCTTTATCTGATCTTATCTACTACTGTAATGTACACCAGACATGATATACACACACATATATATATATATATGTAAATATACTATTAAATACTACCAATATATATCCTAGACATATCTACTTTACACCTATAACATCCCATAACTGAAATATATTGATATACTAGTTCATATACAATCGTATACATAATCCTATCGTTCTTACCGGACATATGGTCCCAAGACAACGGGAATCCTGAGACGCCATGCATCGCCCATGTCTTCGCGCTCCTTGGGGTTCCAGATCCTGACGGCGTGGAACACACACGTGCTGGCACTCGTTGGACGCATCTGTCAGCCACAATTAGATGATTTACACTGGTTGGATATGTAAATACCTTGTTAACTATAATATACATATATGGTGATATTATTGTTATTATCATTAGTATTATTATATAGATTCTTATTATTACTATTATCATTCGCATTGCCATTATTAATATCGTTATTTCTGTTATCATGATTATGATAATTATTATGTTTATCATCATTGTTATTATTATTATTATTATCATTGTTATTATTATTGTTATCAATATTATTATTGTCATTATTATCATTTTCAATTTTCTTATTCTTATGATTTTGATTCTTCTTATTATTGTTCTTATCATGTTTCTTCTTCTTCTTGTATATTTCTAAAAATACTAAACAACATACATTAGATATTAAATGTATATATATATCATACATACAATAATACACACACACACATAAAATACATTAAAATACTACAATCTACATTACATGTTCTTCGGGCTAGGGCAGCCCTGGTGGGATCATCCAAGTCACAGGGATGTCACTCAGGTTCCAATAGAAAACATCAATGGATTGAACCGAACATCTACAGAAAGTCATGTTTTTGTTTTTGTTTTTGCCTCACATCTACAGGTGTCCTGTAACTTTTCGCATCATTTCTCGGGAAAAAAAACTAAAATCCAAGATAAGCATTTCAGGCACAAACATGCCAGCGTGTCCGCAAATGGCCGCCAAAGCCAACCCACAAATGTCGGTCATAACGACTATATCGATATGTTCACTGTCTTACCCCTGCACTTTGGGGATAAGTAAACGAAATCTGACCACCTTTTACCCAACAATCCCCGACTTTAATGTATGTAGACTAACATAATTTGAAGATGAATTTTTCAGGTTGGGGAATAATGACTATAACATACTATGTACAGTATAATATGTATATATATATATTACACTATGTAAGACCTCACCATGCGGCTCTTTTCTGATGGCAAACACATCGCCATCGGCCTGTAATGCGGCACAATGGAAAGCTGCTTGGATTCGGTCTCAGGTACTTCCTTGGCTTCGTAGTCCTGAGGCATCATGGATCTCACCGGTTTATTTTTTTCATCGTCTGAGACTCAAACCATCCAATTTTGGGGCGCAATGGTACACACTTCTACGTTAAATAAGTTAAATACAACATATTTTCCTATAGGTTTTACATATTCGCTATAGGTTTGCCAATTTTCACTGTTTACATTATCGTACATAATGTGAATCAAAAATCTACATCAACTACTGAGTATCTACTCGCAGCGCGATATTTTTACATCCTGCCCTTCATCAGTTGGTTTCTCCAGGTCTCCTTCAACGCTTTCTTCACAGCAGCTTCGCCTGGATCACCATGGGAAAAAACTGTTGGGATGGACATGTTGATGGCAGAAAACCCCAATTTTCAAGTGATGAAACCACATGAAATCACCATGTTCTCGGTTTCTTGGGTCATGGTGTAATGGATCGCTACAATCGCCAAAATTCTTTGTGCTATCATCATTTTCCCGGCGTTCTTATGTCATATCTAAAGGGTTTTACTGCCAGCCACGGATGCTTCAGTTCAAACCTGGTAGCCCCTTTCAAACCTTTTTCTAGATCCACATCTTCTATCCGAGAATTGGATGAAATCGAAAAGTGAAACCCATACATTGTTTTTGAATGGGTATCTCTATATACTATTAAAAAAAACATTATGTATATCTACATGCATACATATATATATAGTAAATATAGTAAACATTAATTATATCGATAGGGCTTCCTGTAAAGCCCTTTTCAAAAGCAGTCCCCCCAGAACGCCATCCGTGCCTTTGGGAGCTGTCGCTGTCGCTTCTTTGAGCCGTTCCTGCGCCTGTTCCTCCGCAGCTTTCTTGTCCTTGAACAGCTGTCCCGTTCATTGGAGTTTTATAGCTCTGAAAAAACATCAGCGGTTGTTATAAAAGTTAAGATACATATGTATATATATATATATACGTATATGTATATACATATGTACATATATTTACATGTGTGTATATATATACATATGTATATATATACACACATGTAAATATATGTACATATGTATATACATATACGTATATATATATACATATACATACATGCATACATACATACATACATACATACATACATATATATATATGTATACATATATATATGCATATATACACATTGTGCTTAAATATAGTTCATACTTATATAGTTCATGGAGATTCATGCAGTATGCTCTTAATTTTAAGTGATATTCTAGGATAACACTGTGTTTAAATAAACACACAAAACATGTTCGATGATATTACCGAACCTATAAGTTGGGCAGCTTTATGGGAAAGCCATCCAAAACCTTTTCCGGGCTTGCAATTGCAATGATTGATTTCCACAGGGTAATATGTTGTTTGATGATATTACAACGATAATTCATGATATATCATTGACCGGCTGGATAGTGTTGCTATCATTATTGAACACGCATCACGCGGAGAGTTTTTCATGGCGAGGAGTTCACAAGGAAATGATGGCTACTTTGCAATGAACAACTGTACTCAATGCATGGTAATGATACTTCACTGACCCAACTTGAAGCAAATTCAGCAGTTATAGTTGATGCAGAAGAAACACTTTTTGAAGAAACCGTTTTGACTATGGCAAGCACATTTGATAAAAAAACATGATCACCCCAGTGGTACAAGTACTGGGTCCCGTATCTTCCACGGCTACGAGATGCAGGTTAAACCTGCATGAAAATTGGGCTCAAACTCAGGTAACTCCCAAAAATGCACAGGAACCATTTACACTACAACATATGATTTGAACACCTGTGGTCCCCTAGGACTCAAGGGATTTCATGGTCAATCATTAGATACTCTGTAATGAGGTTCAAACTGGTTGGGGCGAAATTGAAAATTTATTGCCACTTAATATCTTTACATACTGTCATAACACTTTTGATTTTGTGGTCATGTTCACTAATCCCATCCTCATCCCCTGATGTGATTCAGAAACGCTAAGAAGTAGGGGGATGAACCATGATGACATCCCAACCATGCTGAACAAACATCCTGGTTGGGACCACCCGTGGCCACCAAGGCACAAAGGCTCGCTTCTCAGCATCGAAACAGCCGGTGATGCGCAGACCAGCCAAGTCCTTGCTGCGGGCCCGGTCGGTTTAGTGATCACTAGGTGAAGACCTTGAAGTAACTATAGTCTATAACTAGAGTTCATGGGATTTACGGTAGTAATGGTCTAGATGATCTAGCCTATAGTTCTACCACTTTAGTTGGTGAACGATGGGACTTATGGTAGATATAGAATACTACAGATAACTATAGTTCATGGGCGTTAAAAACCAACATAACTAGGGAGGAATCACTGTGTGGTTGGTGGTTTCAACCCGAACTCCTCAATAATGGGACTGTCACTTGGGATTCTCATCATTCTCATCGTATTTCTATCCATTTCCAAGGTTGATGTATTATAAAACGTGTTTGAAAACACCAAGAAGATTGGGTTGGTTTGGTGAAGTCTACAGGAAACCATGGTCTTGCAGGGTGACTGCCGCACCTGTGTATGTTTGGGGGGGCCGGGAGATGGCGATAACAATAGCGTTCGAAGTTGTACGCACACTTGATGCTACGTCATGGGGTTGGAGTGGGATGCATTTCATTCCGCGTGGGAAGTCGCAGTTGTTTTGCCAGGGTCTTGCAGTTTCACTACTATATAGCAAGTCGCCAAACACACAGCTCAGACATTATATGTTAGCCAATGGCAATGGTGACCTTCAGCGTCACAAAACTTTTTGCTCCGCCCAGAGCACCAAAGTTTTTTACGATGCATTGAGGTGAACACATGCAGAGTAGTCAGAATGCTCGGGAACTCAGGTGTTCTCCGTTTGGCCAGGCCAGAAAAAAAAACATTGAACGACAAACTGGTCCAGAAAACACCCGGCACGTTTCTTACATAAGACAATATAGACTAAATACCTCAAACATATATACATCTAAATAATTCTAAAAAAAATATATACATATACACATCTAAATACAACATATATCAGAGTGTTCCTGCAGATCTTCCCGTCATGGAATTATGGAACAACGCAGTTGCTAAGATATAGGGGTGTCCGAGAATGGGATATTTGCAAATCCTAGGGCATGCAAAGAACTCATCACTTTCCAGAACAACAAGTAAATGTTTTGTGTGTGTCCCAATTTTGGACAAGACTTATGTACAGCAGTTCCTTGTGGATCCAAGTATAGTCACCTCAGTCATCTCTGAGGGTTTCCTCTGTATCTTCTTATGTATTTGGATTCATAACAACTTTCAGAATTGTCCGATTTCTTGAGATTCAAAACACAGGCGGATGGACCCCGCACTTTGATATGGTTAATAAATTCAAAAATTCCCATGCATGTTGCAACACCTTTAAGTTGTGAACTAGCCATCCAGTCGGCCTTCCAGCATAAATGGTTTTGTTTGAACCCCATTCCATTCACCGGTGAATCATCAATTTACCAAGAAAATTATACAACCATTTGTTGTGGTATGTCCAATTTTCAGCCATGTTCGGGCAAAATCCATAACGACACCCCGGGGTATTCCGGGAGGATCAACCACCGGTGCTGATGATTCCCGGTACCTTCGTTCCGTAGTCGCACTTGGGGGCACATGAAATGCAATCCTGCGCCGACACATCGACGTGGCGAGGATACCAATACTTTGGTATAGGATCAGTGTCCCAATGCCGAAAAGGTTCAATTTGTAATTTTGTAAAAATAATATATAAATTAAAAAACAATATTTTAAAAATATATAACTAAAATAATAAATAAGTAAATAAACAAAAAACAAATATATAAATGAATAACAAAAAATAAATGACAAAAATAAGTAAATAAATGCATATAAATAATAAACATATAAATAAACTTCACTGGCAAGAGACCCCAAACAGTGTGCGTGTGAGGAATTTGCATGGCATGATGACGATGATGATGATGATGATGGTGATGATGATGGTGGTGATGATGATGATAATAATGATAGTGTTGCGGACGATGATGTTGAGGGTGATGATGTCGAGGATGATGAGGGGCAGGATGATGAGGTGGAACGTGACGTTGAGGATGGTGATGATGTTGAGGAGGATGGGGATGAGGATGATAATGCGGAAGATGAAGTGGAGGATGAAAAGGTGGATGATGATGATGATGATGATGATGACATCGAAGACCCATCCAAGTTGCTGTGCAAACGTACCTGCAATTGTTGAATCGTGATGGGATGTGGCAAGCCCAAGAACCACCATGCCGTTTTTCAACGAGAACCACTTCAGAATTTGAATTAAGCACATGAACGGATGAAGGTGACTTCTCATTTATCTTTCTGCACAGTTGGCGCAATCTGAGACTGCGGTGAACTTCTTGTCCATTGCAATTTTCTGCTTATATTGTGGGATTCTTCGTGGCTTCTATTGATTTTATTCTATTCTTCAAGGTGGAGACGAAGGATTTTTCCTTTCACTCCACACCAAACCCTCCTGTCAGGTGTAACTGAAATGTTTTTGCACGACAGATGCTTTCCACATCAAAATTCGACAAGACAAGTCTGAGCAAGTGTGTGTGCGTGTGTCTCTGTCTCTGTCTCTGTCTCTGTCCCTGTCTGTGGATATGTAGGTATGTAGGTATGTATGCATGTATGCATGTATGCAAGTATGTAATGTATGCGTGTATGTAAATATACATACATCTCTCTCTCTCTCTTTCTAATGATATATAATATATATAATATATATAATATATATTGTATATATTGTATATATAATTAATGAATATATATATATATTATATTATATATATTATATATATAATATATTATATTATATTGTATTATATTATATTATATTATATATATTATGTTATATATATATATATTGTATATATATATATATATATTAAATAAATATATATATTATACTATATTATATTTATATATTATAAAATACATATATAAATATATAAATATAAATGTATATAAACATTATAGATATATAAGTAAAAAGATAAAAATAAATAAATAAATAAATAAATAGATAAATAAATATATATATATACACATAAATATTTATTTATGTACACCTTGTATATACGGTATATATACATACATTTGTGCACGCATGCATTATTATACAAATATGGACATGCACATACTCACATGTACTGTTTTCACAATCATTGAGATCGCGTTTTTGGTCAAACAGAAACCATAGAGAGAGACTTGTGCCAAATCCTTGGAGCCAACAATCTGAATAGTTCCACGATGCGTTTTGACTGGTTGGGCATACCTATATAGCGGTTCCAAGATCAAGGCTGGTCAGGGCATACCTAACGGTTCCCAAACCAAGGCTGGTCGCCAAACCCTCTCAAGCAAGCCACTATGATTTGTTTGACTCACAGCCACAGCAACTATCATATGGTTGGGACATGTTGGGACCATCTCAGTAGCTCCTGCGGAATATGGATACCAAAATCTCCTGAGCTGCCTCCCAACTACCACAAAAACAATCATGGAACGAGCCGGAAATATATCAAACTCAAAATAAAGCAGCCGCCAAGAGGTTTTGATTAGGTGGGCCGGGTTGAAGTTGACACCATATGGCAAAACACTGATCCAATCAGTGGGTCTCAATATGCCTTCATTTTTTGACATTTTGCAGCCAGTTTGCAGCCAGTAGGGCCGGAACTGCTGTTGGTACTGGCCCTTCGGCAGCCGTTGCGTCCACATGGGGGCAGGGCTGCCAGCTTCTCCAGCTATCAAGGGCGTTGCAGCAACAACCAACGGGATATGACAACAGGATACACCAGCTAACAAAAACTGTCAAACTGGGGAATTTCCGTTGCAGCTCCAACAATCAGACTTGGACCCATCCGGACCCATGGATCGTCCTCTTGAGATTGATCATGCTGTGAGCATTGTCGGCATTTCAACTGCTTCACCGTCTCCACTTGCCTCAGTCCCAATTAAAACAGCTCTCCATTTCGGAAACCAAAGCAAACTTTGTCGGTAAAATGGAGCACAATGGTTTGTCATTTTAATTGGTCTGGGTCGCTTAAAAAAAGTAGACAGCGTTTAAGGATAACCATCCCCAACTCACCATAGTAGTCCGCATAAAACCCTTGTCCAAACTCTTGTGAGGGTGTTCTCGCAGCATGATATCTGTGACAGTGTGGCTCTTTGAGACGCGTAGAAAATGCATGACTGACATGTATTGCCAATAAACGTCTTCATCGTCATGACATTCATGTAAATCAAACGACTCCCCGGAAAAGGTACTCCCAAAATAGTGAAGGTAAGGCCTTATGTTTTGGTCTTGGTCGTATTCCCCATCAACCGTAACCACAAGGGACATGGCTATAGAGACTGTAGATCAAAACCTTAAAACATCAACAAGCAGAAAATGGGATGATTATCCACTCAAATCTTGCACCGTAGGTTTTGGCTCATTCCCATGTGCCATGGTCATCCACCCATGTGGGGCTCAGCGGAAGTTGGGCCCCTGGCCATGTGGCAGTGGTTAAATCTTCTCCTTGCTTGACCTAACGGATGTTTTTTGGGCCTGTCTTAAAGATGGTTTATACGGGAAAAATGCACAGCAACTTGTACTTGGGGGACCGACTCTGTGAATGGGCGAGGAATGTGAGGAGAAAGGTTAATGTAAGACCTTTTTTGAAGAAGATGCTGTAAATCACGGGATATCACAAACTTTAACAATTTGTGGATAGAATGGTATGTGGCCCCAAAAAGCAGGGTCAGCATTGCTGTGAAGCTGCACCACGGGCGCAGTCTGACCAGCCCCAAAAAATCTATCCGCGCCCTTTGCGCAATACGCAGTCTGGGCGGCCCGCGGCCCAACTCTATGTTCCAATGCCGAATCAAGAAAGCGCCAGCGGCGCAGGTAAGTGAAAAACCATTTTGTCAGTCTTTAACGTGCTGGAAACAACTTCACCCAAATAGCCACGTTTTTGGGGCCGCCGGTGATGGCGACCGTTTTTTCCTCGTTTACATGTAAATTTAAAGGAGCGGCCCCGCATACCTCGTTTGATAATTACAATGTTAAACCAAAAGGGGAGGAGGGCCACCAACGGGCCTAGAACCCGGTAACACAATGCTAGCTGAAGAAGCACAGACGCTGACTTCTGGTGCGTCTCCAAACGGGGGTCTTTATGTGTCTTTCTATACCTCCACGTGATAATTTCTTTCTCGCTTCTGTGAACCGGGCCCTCGCAATATACAATGGGGGTTTGATGGGGTAATCCCCCCAATTGGCCTCTTAATGGGACTTAACCAAGTATATACTTTGATTGAATATGTCAGGAAATAAATGGGAACAGCAATGGGGAATATGATGGGGATACACCCATATCATCTTGGTTCCAGTGGATTTAGGAACGGTACCAACTTTCGGACAGCCTGCATTCGACATTGCCATCATGGCATGCACAATACTACACTGACCCATTTCAATGGTGAGATTAGAAACCAACCAGTGCCACATCCAGTCACTTTTATCTGGTGGTTGAACCAACAAAGTATTTCAGCATAGTCCGTTGGTCTGTTAGATCACCGTGACAAAATGGAGAATATTACGTGCTTCCAAATTGCCCTACAAGAAACATAACCCAACGATACATAGTTACACATTGGGCAGGATTGGTCCACTTCGAACCGAAGATACAAAATTCCAACCCCCAAGACACGCCGTCTTTGGTTTTTTTTGTTTTTATTTTTTAAATCTCTACATGGGAAAATATATTTCAAGGAGACCTTCTTTGTTCCCACATCACTGATGAAGTGGGCACCACGTATCCAGGCAATCCGTGGTCATTGCTGCTTAAGATTCGCCCTGTCCATAACCTTGCTGGTTAAATCCCAACAAAATAGCCGCAAATAGCCGGTTCAAGGGTCACATGGTTAAACGCCGAAATATGCAACATGGTCCATCACTACTGTAGAAGTACCAGCCCACATGTATATACGGTGCATGTATATATATATATATACATATATAGAGTGTGTGTGTAGATTTAAATAGATAAATAAATAAGTAAATAAACCTAAATAAATAAATGATTAAATAAATAAATACAGAAGTCAATAAATAAAATATATATAAAAAATAAATAAACAAATAAATAACAAATAAATATAAATATACATATATACATAAATAAAGGCATATTTATTTATCTTTAAAATTATCGAAGGAAGTTTAGAAGTCAAACTTCCGACAATATGGACAGATGAAAAGGCAGAGGTGGAAAGAGTCAGCGAAGAGAAGAGCAGAAGAAAGAAGATCAGAGAAGCGAAAGAGTCAGAAGAAAGAAGATGCAGATTGGCGGGGCGGAAAGGTAGGAAAGTCGCGAAACACTGTGTTTTTCCAAAGTTTTGTGGCTCCGGAGGGTCAAAAAGTAGGCTCGTTAAAGCGGCAGGTGCGGAATCATCTGGGGAGATGAGAGATGAAAAATTGCACGCCGTTGTGGCGCGAAGCACATTTCGAAGTCAAAATGTGCAAAGCACACCAGGTTCGGAGCACTTTTGGAAGTTGAGGTGTTGAAAAAGTGCACGACGCTGTGACGCGAAGCACATTTCCAAGTCAAAATGTACAAAGCACACCAACATCGGAGCACTTTTGGAAGATAAGATGTTGAAAAAGTGCACGTAGTTGTGGCGTGAAGCACAAAAGTGTTAAAAACTGACGGTCTCCTACCACTTTTGGACCGCGTGGCAGGCGCAAGGGGTTGTGCACCTTGTCAAAAGGGAGCAAAACGTGAAAGTTTTTCGTAGCAGTTTCAAAAGCGTTGGCAGCCGTGGGACATTTAAAGAGGATCTGCAAAGATGCATTTTGCGTGGCAGGCGCAATACAAGAGACACATGAGTCAGATAGGTTAGGAGGTCAGGGCGCTGATTTCCTGAGAGCGGCTGCATTTTTGAGCATCAGATCTTCAGGTTTGTCAAGATGATTTTGCATGACAGGTGCAGCACTTCGTAATGCCTGGCATCACTTTTTCGTGGCGGGCACA